ATCCATGGCTCATTCTACAGCCACAGCGAGCAATAAGAAGACTCAACAGCTCGTCGAGTACCTCGGACTTTCACAGGCTGAGTTGAACGCTCCTGTTTCCGTCGAAGAGGTTTACCTCCCCTCCCCTCCCCTTCCCTCTCCACACTTCCTCTTCCTCCTCCTCTCCCTCCTCCTCTCCCTCCTCCTCTCTCCCTCACCTCCTCTCCTTCTTACTCCCTCTTCCACGCTTTCCTTCCTGGTTCTAACGCTGCGCTGCTTCTACTAGGTTCGCAGCATGTGCGAGTACCTCGGCATCGGCGAGGAGGAGACCTTTCTCATCCGTTTCGCTGTCAGCGCATTGCAAGCTCCTATCCCCAAGGACTGGATGGTGCTCAAGGACAAGGTACGCAGACTACAGCAAGCAGGGAGGGAGCGAGGGAGGGAGACAGGGAGGGAGACAGGGAGGGAGGGAGGGCAGAAGAAGGAGGGAGGGGAAGAGGTCGAGCACGTTACGGAGGGAGAACCAAAGGCAGAGGATAAACATGGAGGGAAGGAGCATCGGGGGAGGAGGGAGACAGCCAAGTCAAGGGGCGGGTGAGGAGGAGGCAAAAGCCGCTCAAGCTGGTGATGGCAGCAAGGAGTCCCGTTCTACTGCAACAGGAGGACGAAGAAGACGAGCTACAGGCATCCGTCGGACGAGATGTTCATGCAGCGAGTCAAGGCAGAGAGGAGGAGGTGGGAGGAGCTTACCAGGAGCGAGCGAGATCGTCTGCTCCTGCAGCAGTGAGCCATCCCCCTCCCACCGCCCTCCTTCCCGCCCGTCTGACCCTTCCCCGCAGCAAATGGATGAGGTTTGAGGAAGAAGACGGCAAGACCTTCTGGTACAATTTTGCAAACAAGCAGAGGAAATTTTCCCCTCCACCCGCGGTTTGTGTTCCTTCCCTCCTCCTCCTCCTCCTCCTCCTCCTCCTCCTTCCCCTTGTAGCCCTCCTCCTTCTCTTGTGACGGTCAAATCTTCAGGAAGAAACTCTGACATGACGGAGAGAAAATTCCTCCTCGTGCGCTGGTTCCTCAGACACTTCGAACAGCCTCGCACGCACAATTTCTTTCAACGTCTTTTTCTCTTGCAGCATCTCATCTCACAGATCTCATCTCATCTCATCTCATCGCATCTTTCCAGTCTCTTGTCCCGTCACTTGTTGCCTTTTCGTTTCACTGGATCATTCATTCAAATCTTCATGTTTATCTCTCAACAAAATGTCATCACTGGGACGAGCCCCCCTCGCCTCGCGTAACTTATATAGACATGTTAATAATATACTCGACTGACCTCTCAAGTTCCCCTACAATACTACACTCTCAACTTCCCCTACATGACGCTACACATCCTCGACCGAGACTCTTCCTGGGGCTCAGGAGAATTTCTCGACTCCACTGACTTGTTGCTGCTCAGCTTGTCACTTGGCGGGTCAACTGGCAGTCAGAAATCACCTGCTGCCTCTTGACAGTAAAGTCAAACTGCCGGACGGTCGTAACTTGGGGAAACTTCCTGCTTGTTTCAGCTTTGGCAAGCTGCAAGACAAATGAGGGGACGGCAGCGGAGGAGGGAGGAGGGAGGAGGAAGGAGGAAGAAGGAGGAAGAAGGAAGGAAAACGTAGATGAAGTTGAGGAGGAAGATCATGATGTGGAGGGGAGGAGATCAGCTGCGAGAAACTCACTGGACTTCTTCGATCTCTGCTGCGTGCAAGACATTCTTCATGAAGATTGTACTTGCGACGTCGCTTGCTTTCAGCTTCTGATGGTTCTGAACCTTCAGAAGATCGTGCAAGATATCTGCAAACTCGTCAGTATGGAGCGACAACGTCATGAGAACACTTCTCACTTCGTTCTCTTCCATGTTTCAATAATCTCTCGACAATCTTGATGATCCAGTCAGGTAAGCAGCACAGCTCAGTCGCTCCTTCACCTTCATCTTCCCCTTTCTGCTGGCCACGTGCAACGCTGTTTCGCTGTATCTGTTCAGCTTGAACACATTGATCCCACGCTGAAGCAGCCGTTAGCCACGTCGACAGCGAGACAAGACGCTGGTCGATCTCCTCACCTGGAGCAGCATGTCGGCCAGCCCAAGGTGTCCGTGCCGAGCTGCGTTGTGCAATCCAGTCCACCTGAACGATGTCGTGAGATGCGCAGAGAGAATTAGGATGGAAAGAGGAGGAGAAGGAGAAGGGAGAGAGTAGAAACAGAGGGAGGACAGGGAAGTTGCAGATAGGAGATGAGCAAAGGACAGGAGGAGGACGAGAGGAGTACCCTTCTTTATCTTGTGCGTTGATGTCCGATCCCTTGTCCAGCAGGAAGCTGACTGCACTGGGAAAGTTGAACCTGATAGCCACATGGAGAGGCAGCCAGTGGTCGAAGTCCCTGCAGTCCATCTTCGCTCCACTCTGGAGGAGGAACTCCATCGCCTCGATCGATCCCTGATGGGCAAGTCAAATCTAGCAGAGATCAGGATGTTGCTTGAGATCAAATGACATGTATTCAAATGTGTTCAAATGCCGTTGGTGATCAATCATGACCCGCAGCGATTGGTGACCTACCACGCGAGCTGCGTTGTGCATGGGAGTCCATCCTATCTTGTCTTGCACATTCACCGTAGCGCACGACTTCAACAAGACCTGCATAATCTGCACGAGAACAAAAACGAGATAACTTTCAGCGGTTGTGTAATGGCGATCAAAATCTACCTGTACATTGCCAGTGCTGCTAGCAACGTGAAGGGGAGTCCATCCTTCGATGCTCGCAGCGTTGACAGCAGCCTTGTTATCAAGCAGCGATCGCGCCACCTGCAACTCACATCAGCTTGTTCCCCACACCTCAACATCAACTCGCCTCTAGCCTGCCATGGTTGCACGCAAAGTGGAGAGGAGTCAGGTCATGTGCGTCAGGGACGTCGATCCCGTGCAAGGCGATCAGCTCCTGCAGCCTCTCGCTGCTGCCCAGTGCTGCAGCTCGATGAAGCTCGCAGGTCCTGTTGCGATGCTTCCCCCCAGTCCTGCTCTCATGACTTTCCGTTCGACGAGCGGAATGTGAGTCTGCTATCTTGCCGGACGGGTGAGGCTCGTGGACATCATCGCCCTCCTCTGGCTCCTCCTTGATGACGCTGTAAGCCCTCCCGAGGCTCGTGAATGACGTTGTCTGGTTGGAGATGTCTGCTGTTATTTCCCCGACGGGGCCCTTGAGGATTGGTGGCAGTGCGGAACCATGGGGGGCTGCGGGTGGGGGAGGGTTGCTTCCATTCCTGCGTAGAGGAGAGAGAGCAGCGTCAGACCCACAGACGCCACCGAAGAGGCAACGCAAGACAAGACACAAAGACAGGATTCTGACTATGTCGCCGCCATTGCAACCCCAGAAGCAGCAAGATACCCAAACACATTCTCACCTCGTCAACCCGGTGTCCTGCTTGGAAAAAATGGGAGGGACAGGCAGCACCACGACATTTTTTGGCCACGTGTTTCTTCCTAAGCTCAATGATTTCATGAGATCATTTGGATTCCCAGGAGGAAGGGGCTGGAGAGACGAGATATCTCTTCTCTTGAAGCTTCCAGTTTGGGCCTGGGGAGGAGGGCATGATATGGAATGTGAGATGGTTCGGGGACCTTCTCCTATCCCATCCCAATCTGATCCCGGCATCGAGACAGAGGATTGTTCCGACCGATTGCTGGGGACCTGCGTTTCCATGTCCGACATCACACAGGCTTCGTCTTCCCTCTCAATCTCCCCGGTTTCCTTCATCTCTCATGAAGAAATCCAACGAGAATCAGGATGCGTGATACGTCTGAGATTGGTCCCCCAACAAGATGGCTTCGCGGAAGCCAACTTTCATTCTCTGTGGGCCAATCTCGTATTGGAAGTGGGTGAGAGATGTGCGCGTTATCTTTGCCACTGGCCCTTCGCCTGATTCGTGATTTGCTTTACTTCCTCCGCCTGCCACCGAAAATCAATCAGAATGAGGAGTCGAAGAGGAGGGAGCGGGTCATTAAGACGAAATAAGACATTTCATGACTCTGATCTCCGGCCTGCAGGTTTTCTGTACTTGTACATCTCCCAGAGCAACCGCTTGGTTGATTAGTGTTCAAGTTCCCTATTCCACTACTGAAAGAATGTGGAGCGAAACTGAACTTAGGTCTTGCATGGCTTATCGCACTTGTTTCTCAAGCATAAAAATGGTGGAACACACATTTATCGTACTTTCATCGCTTGTCTCTTCACGCTCCTACTCTCCCATCCGCTTCACAACCGCCCAACCGTTTTTTCACACAGGGCTCCTACCCACACGTCCAGCCCCATACTCGTGAGCCTTGCAGGAGAAACACCTCAATGAACCTAGAGCAGTTTCCTTCTTCCGTCTTCTCCTACAATCTTGACTTCTCCTCTCCGCCTTCTCTCCGCTCCTCCTACCTCCTACCAAATTAGCCGCCTTTCATTCATGCTCGACCCGCACACCACCCCCTCCCTCTACCCTGTCTACCCCCTCCATTTAGGGTGAACTCGCGGAATAATATTGTATCGCCAGACCAGTACCCCTCCTTATCCCACACTCACCCCTCTATTCTCATATTGACTACCCCTGTCAACCTAAGTTTTCTACCACCCCACCCATACCGCCTTCCACATTACTTCATATATTGGCCCAGATACCCCCACTACCTCCACTGAACGACTTTGCAACCCCACCCTCTGTGGAAATTGACATTCAGTACCCTCACCTCCATCTTCCCCCAGTCACTACCCCCTGATTAGCTACATGCATGGCATCGGCTTACCACACCCTACCCTATCTCTGAATTTAAAAAGGTTGTATTCATTACCCCACCACAGTCCTCCATATGTTTGTACCCCACCCTTCTTGAACCTTCATTGCTTTTTTTGACAACCCCACCCCCTGATTCCTCGTATCTTACACCCGACCCATGATTCACTCATAAAACAATAGTAAAAAAGGTGGATACCTGGACCCGTGCACCCCTACCCCTTATTAAAGAGTCTCTAGATCCAGGGGTGAGGAAGTACCCCTTGTTGTGACTATAGTTACCCATCAAACCCTACCGGGATACCCACCCCGATGTACGTTTGTCCAAGAGCTTCCAGGACCCCCACCCCATCTTTTTCAACTACTAACCACCACTTTACGAATGTATTTTGGTCGAGTAGTGAATATTCGAAAGAGAAAGTTTTCCAAATTTATATCAGTTATAGATTTTCGCTGACAAAAAATGTGTTCGTGAGTGGGTCATTATTGAGAATATCCACTCGATCAAACGGGTACAACTTGCTCCAAACTGGGGTGTGGTCAGACTCCTTCGGTTCTATAAAAATCAAGTTGTAAAATCTTATCCTTTCAACCAAATCGGTACCACTGACATGGGTCATCATCGCTGAAAGTATTTGTTTTCGAAATACAAAGACGTACTTTTTAAAACTTTCTTCAAATCTTTCCGAAGTTCATGCGCACCGGGCTCGGGCGGCCGGGGCCCGGCCGAGCCCTGCAGGCCTGTCACTCAAGCGGGCCCGCCCGGTCGGAGAACGTCTCACAATTCCACCGAGCGGTTCTATGCCGACATGATGCAGCATGGCCATGCACTCGCGAGCCGAAGGTGAGGATGTGCGAGGAGGAAGACTCGGGGAAGAGACTCGATGAAAATCGTGTATGGTTGACATACTGGAAACTTCCTCCATTCACAACTAGAGATAATCGATTGCAAACGCCCAACTCCGTGTTTGTGCTGCATCCGGTTGCAGTACAGGTGGCCCTAGAATTAAGTAGCAGCGCCTCTAGGCACGTAGCTGGCACAGGCTTTTCGTGAGCTCGTGACATGCATGTTGGAACTGACTGGGGTCGTTTTGCTCAGGAAAACATATCTTGGTCGTGAGGATAGGAGGAGCAACGAGGCACAAACTTTATCATGCTGTCAAGAACCTTGGGGTACGTTTGTCTTGTGCCAACCCCGTCATCTCGAAAGGTTTCAACGACGTGATAGACAACTGGGTGACCTACTCTTCCGAAGATAGCCTCACGGCAGTAGAGAAGGAGCTGCTCCAGAAGTTCTCGGAGTTGAACTTGAGGTTCGATGCTGTCGTCACCTTCGATGAGTTCGGCGTGCAGCTGGCGAGCATGCTCGCTGCTTCCCTGAGCCTTCCAGGGATTCCATTGAAGGTTGTGCAGTGCTGTCAGAACAAATCCAGCTTCCGTCAGTTCTGCAAGTCTAGGGAACTACCCTGTGTAAATTTTGCATCGCTGAGCTGTTCGGAGGGTGTAGATTCGTTGGACGTGCAATACCCTGTGGTGATCAAGCCAAGGAATGGAGCTGGGAGTCACTTCGTGCAGCGAGCGGAAAGTAAAGTGCAGCTCCGGAGTGCGATGCTGGGAATTCTTCACACACTCAAGACCAGGAGGCTGACGTCATACGAATGGTGCGACTACAGTAGTCTGGAGGACATCAAGTTTCATGTCGAAGAGCTGGTGGAAGGGAAGGAGGTGGATATCGACTGTGTGGTCTGTGACAATCAGATCCGGTACTGCAACGTGGTGGACAACAAGTCAACAGGCCGCCCGTTCTTCTTGGAAGATACATGCCAGGCCCCCTCCTCCCTCTCTCCTCAGGTGCAGGCGCAACTGTGCGCACTTGCTGCGCGGATCCTCGAAGAGATGGCCAGAGCGTGGCAGTGCAGGATCACTGGGACTTTCCATGTAGAGATGATTCTCTCGGAGCACGGCCCTGTGCCCATTGAGGTCAACTGCAGGCTAGGAGGTGCAGAAACTCGTTGTTTGCATCTTGCAGCATGGGGGGTGGATCTTGGCGTGGAAACAGTCCTTGCACACATGAGCCTTCCATCACCTCGACTGCAGCCGTTTGCCAAGTTCTGTGGCAGCTTGCGGAGGAACTCCGGGCCCCTCCTCGAGGCTCTCGTTCCTAATCACCGGTTTGCCTGCTCTGCCAACTTACATCCGAGCGGCTCCGGCATTGTGAACAAGATTGATCTTCCGCTCAACAAGTTCGGTTATGTGGACCACATGGTCTACTTTCAGGTCGGAGAGCCCATCCTTGTCCCTCCCAAGGGCTTCCAGTACCTCGGATGGGTGGTGGTGCAAGCGAAGAGCGAAGGTGAGGCTCGTGAAAACTTGCAGAAATTCGTCGGCAGCGCGGTGATGGAAGTGCGGGGGGGTTGCACGCCTGCTCAAGAAGACAGCTGATGTCAAGAAGGTCCTCTGGGTTTTCAAAAGTTCCCCTTGGCTCCTAATGAGCACCCGCTTGTCCTGATTTGGTCCTCGATATTTTTCTTGTCGGTTTTGATTCAGTATGTTTATTTTACGAATCTACAATCATACATCCCGCCTCTCGCCATGGTGAGTGTTTGTTTGATCTTGCTGAATTTTGCATTTTCTGTTCTCCTACCTCGTTTTGACTGAACTATTCACACACGCTTATCCCAGTTTTCACCAACATCCACTTTGGACATTCCGACACTTTACATATCTACCCATAATTACGAATACATCCTCTCTCATATGGTTCTGGAGTTTTTATCATATTTCCTTTCATCCATCATTTCAACCGGACGAAACATACCTCCCTTCTGAATCTTCCTCTGTTCACTTATTTCGTCCTCAACAATTCTTTTGTCTCACGAACCCTTTCAATCTCACCTTCGGCATGAACTGCTTATTTTAATCTGTTCCATTCGATGCAATCATTGCAAGATGTTCATCTTTCTCCACCATCGTTGTTCCTTCCATTCCCCTCCTTATTACTTCTCCTCGCGTCTCCCTCTCTTCCCCATCATATTTCCCCGTCGCAACTGGTTGACAGGTCTAAAACTCCTACCCTCCATTCTAGCGGACCACTATATCACTACCCGTCCAATTTTTTGTGTACCCCTTATCATTTTGATATACCCCTAATATGACTAGATATTAACCCACTAAAATCCAGTCTCTGAACCACCCTATCTATCAAAACAGAGGAATTTATTACCACTACCCCTACTTTCAGCTTGCATTCATCCTTCCACCCTACTGCTTACTTCTCCCCCACTGCTCCCCCACCCCACCCCTTTCAAACTGACTTCCCTTGACGGTGATCACCCACTATTTTGCATACCTCACCCTTCAAATGTGGAAATTATTTGATCCCCACCCCCGCATATCCAAATCAAATTCTCTTGATACCCGTCATTTTCTTTGACAAATACAGGGTATAAGTTTTCAACACCTCTATATCTATAACCCCTACCCTCAAATATGTACCCCACCCCATTTTAACAGTGGGAGGCAAACCGCCCCTAGGGTACAACCCCTGTATTCCTCAACCTTGCGTCCCCTCAACCTCCCCGAAAATGACGATAAATCCAGTTCATGTTCATGAGCGACGAAGAGACGAAAGAGAAGGAGAGCAGAGAGCAGAGGACGAGGAGGAAAGGCGAGAGATACTTGTAGTGAGATGCTACAGCGGTACTTGTGGTGAACTTGACATGTAACATGGGTCATAGACAAGAAACATAGACAAGAGACATACGGGAAATTAACTCAACGAAGTCATTTGAGGTTATTCAGGGAGTAAGCGCTTCGTTCTTGTTCTGCTGGGAGTATACTTTCTGTGTCTTGTCCTGAGAGCACTTCCAGGTGTTGTGAAAGGATTTGTCGGCTGAAGCATTCTCGAAGATCGGATGATCGGTTGAGCGTAGGACATATTTGTTGTGGCGGACATTTTTTCTTGATTTGTTCGGATGCCTAACGCGATAGCTCACATCCAAGTGGATGACACTACGAGCGTGCGAGATACACTCAGAGGAAAGACCCTTCTTGTAGTGACCACGGGAACCTCGACGAGATTTGATATCTACAAGCGTCTACAACAACTTGATGTAGATATGTATTGTTTGAACGACAGAGTGGTGGACGAGTGCAGGACCTTCTTCAAAGGATGGATTCTTCTTGACCTGCACATGGAGAGCCACGCGCTGCTGGAGGAAGTCCATGGGAGGATGAATGAGTTGAAGCTGTATCCTGACGGAGTCGTCTGCTTCGACGAGTTCGGTGTGGAGATCTCGAGCTTGATTTGCGAGTCTTTGGGACTGCCATGTATACCGCTCGATGTCGTCAAGTGTTGTCGCAACAAGTCAAAGTTTAGGGAGTTCTGCAGAGATCACTCCCTGCCTTACGTTCGCTTCGTCAACTTCTCGTCCTCAGAGGAGCTCAAAGACATAGAGGACAAGATAACTTTCCCCGCCGTCTTCAAGCCCAAGGATGGGGCTGGCAGCCAGTTTGTGCGGCGAGTCAATAGCAAGCAGGAGCTTCAGCAGGCGTACATGTTGACCGTGTCATCACTGCAACGAAGCCCCGGCTCGTTCTCATGGTGCTTGCAGGAGGCTCAGGGGGTCTCATTTCACGTGGAGGAGCTGATTGAAGGGCAGGAGGTAGACATCGACTGTGTTGTGTCCGACAGCAAGCTGCGATATTCGCGCGTGATCGACAACGAGAGCACGGGTGCTCCTTTCTTCCTCGAGGCCGGCTGCTCTGCCCCCTCCTCCCTGCCGCAAGACGCGCAGGCCAGCCTGATACGGATGGCGCAGAGGATGGTCGCCGAGTTTGCGAGGGAGGCCAACAGGAGGATAGACGGCGTCCTGCACGTGGAGGCCAAGTGGAACAGTCGAGGATGCGTTCCAATCGAAGTCAACTGCCGCCTTGGAGGAGCCGAGTGCCGTTGCATGCACATTGCAGGATGGGGAGTGGACCTGGGGGTGGAGGAGGTAATGGTCGCCATGGGCAGGAGGAGCCGCACTCTGGACGAGCACGAGCGAGAATGCCGGCTGTTGCTGCAGCAGGATGACATACGCCCGCCCCTCAAGGAGCAGAGGAAGCAGGGAGTGTTCCTGCGCTCCATCAACTTCCATCCTTCTAGGTCGGGGAGGGTTGGGCGCCAGTCTGTCGCGGAGGACGCGGAGGGGTACGTGAACCACAAGCTCTTCTTCTCAGAGGGAGATCTGATCCAAGTCCCGCCCGATGGCTTCCAGTACCTCGGGTGGATGGTGGTGAGGGGGGGGACGGAGGAGGAGGCGCGCAGGCGGCTGGAGCACGCGGTCAAGCTTACCTCCCTTTGTGTACAGGATGCGGCAGTTTGATCTGGCAGCCAAGATTTATGATCTCCCGTTAAATGTGAAAGTTTTGCTAGCAAAGCGAATTTTGCCTTGAGCGAGAATAAACAATCTCTTCTTCATCCTCTTGCAGCTTCGTCTCGTCCTCAATCCCTTCAACCTCCTCCTCTCTCCTCTCCTCCTCTCTCCTCTCCTCCTCCCTCTCCTCCTCCTCCCTCTGTTCAGTCATCTCCTTCTCCTTCTCTGCGAACATCTTCTCCTCTCTTGTTTCCTCCTCTTCACTTCCCGGTTCCTCATCCTTCTCCTCCTCATGACGAAGCGTTTCTTCCTCGGCCTCTCCTTTGTCTTGCCTTTCCTCTTGCAGGATCTCTTTTCCATGCTTTGCCTTTGCGTCTGTGGATTCCTGCTCCTGCTCCTGCTCCTCCTCAAGAACTCTGATCTCATCCGCTCCTTCCGAATTCACTTCTTCCTCCTGTTTCTCCTCCTCCTTGTGTTCAATTTTTCCCGCCTGCACCTTCTCCTCCAAGGCCTCCACATTCTTCCCCTCCACCACATCCCTTGCACTTCTCGCCTCCACCTCTTCCCCGTCCCCGGCCTTCAGCACCTCCTGCACGCTGCTCTGTCTGAGCTGTAGAGAGGAAGGAAGAAGCTGCTGCTGGAGGAACTGAAGGGTCTGAGCCCACATCCCCTCCTGCACGCGAGATGAGGAAACGGAGCAAGGAGAAGGAGGAAGGTAGGCGGAGGGAGATAAGAGGACAAGAGAGGAGGAGCAAGGGGAGGGGAGGAAGGGGAGGGGAGGGGGACGGAGGAGGACGACGAGGAGTGGGGAAGAAGGAGAGAATGAGGAGGGAGGGGAGGAAGGAGGAAGGACAGGACAGCACAAGAGGACGGCTTCACCGAGATCTCATGCGCAGCCTCTTCATCCACGGCAAGGAGGAGCGATTGATAGTTAGAGGCCTGCTGGACCTCGACGACAGCTTCAATCACAAACTCAACCGGACCTAGCGAGAGATTCAACATGTCAGAAGATAGAGAGAGGCGAGGAGAGCAGGAGATGAACAGGAGAGGAGGAGAGGAAGTAAAACAGATGTGAGGAACAAGAAATGGAAGGGGGGAGAGAAAAAGAGAAATTTGAGGGAGGGAGGGAAGCAAGTGACTTGGGACAGGAACAGCCGAGCAGGAGGAGCAGGAGGAGTAGGAGGAGGATGAAAGGAGGAGGAGGAGGAGGAGCAGCAGCAGCAGATGAAGAAAAGGAGGAGGAGAAGGTTACATCGAGGATCGTGGCGACCATTGACGATCAGACAAGGTCGAGGATACAGCGACTTGAGGCTCGGACGGAGAGCATAAGATGAGAGGATTCCCTGAGAAGAGATGAGTGAAGGAGGAGAAGAGGGACTGCATGGAGGGGCATAGAAGGCAGGCAGGCAGGCAGGCAGGCAGGCAGGCAGGCAGGCAGGCAGGCAGGCAGGCAGGCAGGCAGGCAGGCAGGGGAAGGAGGGAGGGAGAAGGGAGGGAGGAGCGTACCGGAGTGATAGAATTCCATACAAACTTGACAGTCTCGCTGGGATGAAGGGGTTGAAGTGAGAAGGGAATGTAGCCATGAGGGGAACATCGGTAGGAGAAGCGATCGAAGAATGGACAAGACAAAATGGAGGTCGGTGGGAGAGTACGAATGAGGAGGAAAAGAGGAAGAAAGCTGAGCTGGGGAGAGGATGGAGGAAAAAGGAGGAGGAGGAGGAGGAGGAGGAGGAGGAGGAGGAGGAGGAGGAGGAGGAGTAGAAGCAAGGTTCACCTGTCTATCTCCTCCTTCCCAAGTTTCTCCCGCGCGTGCTCGAAGACGGGTCTGCGAGGGGGATGAGCTGAGGCAGGGGCGGAGAGGCTCATAACCTGATGGTAGCGACGCGAGCATGGAAGCAAGACTCCCGCACCGCCCGGTCAAAGTCTTGCACGCCGATGAGCGGGAAGAGGAGGGAGAATCTGCGAGAGAAGTTCAGAGCCATGCCCGTGATCCGAGGGGCAGGAAGGGAGGACAGAGCAGGGGCTGCCTTGGAACAGTGTGGAGGGTTCGGGAGGGGCAGGAGGAGGAGCTAGGAAGGAGAGGATGGCGATCAAAAGGACTTGGCTACCTATCAGACGCCACTCCCGCAAAGAAAGAGATCATTCCTCCGAGCGAAATCCCTCCTGCTCCCAACCGTGAGCAGAGACATCTCCTGCCCCCAGCTGCCGCTGCGCCTGCTCCGCTTGCCCCTCCCCCCTTTCTTCTCCTGCTCCTCATCGTCCCCTTCCTCGAGCTCGCCCTTGCCCTCGCCCTCCCTTTCCCTCTCACTTCCCCCTCCCCCCTGTCCCTTCAATTTCTTCCTCCTCCGTCTCCTCCTCCTCTCATGCCGATTGCTATGGTCGAAGTGTCCAGGGATCCATCTTCAAAGCTGCTTGACCCGGAAAACAAGTCCTTGCTCCTCCCTCGCTCGTCCAGAAACTGAACTAGTCGGAGACTGGAAACGATGGATGAGAGGAATGCAGAAATGGGGGGAGGGGGGGGGGGGTCGGACAGTCAGGAGCGAATTGGAGGCAAACGGCAAGAAATTCGAAGAATGTGGCAAACGAAAGAGCAAGCCAGCGAGGGCAAGAAGAGAAGGAGGGAACGAGGGAGGGAACGAGGGAGGCTCACAGGTCAAAGACGTTGTCGAGGATGAATGGGTTCCGATGTCTCGAAGAGGAAGACGTCGAGTTGTTCGCCATGTCAAGAGCAGTGACCATCGCAAGCTGGAACAAGTGTTAGAGAGACAGAGGAGGTGCGAGGAGAACCAAAGGAGTGCAAGGGATGAGCAGTGACGCCGAGCAGGTCGGAGGAAGGGAGACGAGAAAGTTCAAAATGAGCAGGGTGAAAGAGTGCCGTGGGCTGAGCCCAAATGAAAGGAAAGGATGATCGGAGATCTTGAGGTAGAGTGATGGATAGCAAAACAGATGAAGATGGGTCTGAAGGAGGGAGGTGTTCCGACTGTGAAGTGTTGAGAAGCAGGAGGAGCCGGAGGAGCAGTGAAAGAGAGTAAGGACCACCTGGTATTCGCTGCTGTCCTCCTTCGGATTGAGCTTCTTGTCCCCCCGCCTTGAATCCCTCAATCATTCCCTCCTATCCACTCGGACCTCCTCTCCTCTCCTCTCCTCTCCTCTCCTCTCCTCTCCTCTCCTCTCCTCTCCTCTCCTCTCCCTCCTCTCCTCTCCTCTCCTCTCCCTTCCTCTCACCTGTCTCCATGAAGCCGCACATCGATACAGACCCCGACCGCCCCCCTGCATCGAGCCACCTGGCACGCGGGTAAGAGCAGGGGAGGGGGAGGCAAGAAAGACAGCACGAGGTCGCAGACGTAGTTGACTGTCGCAACCGACGACCTGCTTGCAAGCTCATTCCTTCCCTCAACCTCAAAGTCGGGCCTCACCGACAGTCCCCCGTCCCATGCATCCAGATGATCACCGGACGGCCTGCCGCACTTTGGTGTTGCTCCGAGACTTGTTTCTTGCAAGCGGCGTCAGTCGATTCCCCTCCTTCCCCCCTCCTCCTTCACCAGCTCCTGCAGTCTCCCCTCTGCCTCCCGCAGCATCTGACAGCGCTCCAGTCACCCTCGTGACAGATCGACTCCCACGAGGCACCTGCTCGTCTTGGATCGACATGTCATCCTTGCTCCATATCGCAGTCTGCGAAGAGGAACGCGTTAGCTGAGCGGGGGAGGAGAAGGAGTGATGTGTGAGCTGAGAGGGGAGAGCACCTGGATCTCCGTAAGGCGTCTGCGGGCTTCTTCCAACTCCCCTGCCTTGGTCGCATCTGCTGTGCTTCCATCCGCAGCCTCAAAGTTTGCTTCTGCGTATATGGACACGAATACATCCTCCTCCTCTTCACTCCGGAACCTCCACTCCTCCTGCGACGATGGTCAGACATCATACCAGATCTCTCACAGTACAACTCACGTGCATCATTGTCCTCTCCTCTCCTCCTTCCTCTGAATTCTTCCCGGGGGTGAAAGTCTCCCCTGAGATCCTCTCCGCCTTCAGCTCAGCATGCAGAGTCCTCTTGCCGTCGTTCCCTACCGTGGGTGGACCCATCAGTGTCCTCCACCCACGACAACACGCGTTAGCGCACAACCAGCGATCACTTGGAGGATCGTCTTGCGAGCCTCACCAGCCTCTGGCTCAACTGAGCCTGCGATGAGGTCAGAACATACTCAGTTCATGCACTACCTCCCTTTCACCTCCCCTGCCTCCGGACGAATCTGGGCAGGTGACGAGGGTCACCTTGGAAGGCCGTGGAGGCCTCTTGCAGAATCCTGTCGTATGCATCGATGACTGACAGTCGCTGCAAGGAGCTCCCTTCGCCTGCCGACTCTCCTCCTCTGACCCAGCCATGTATCCGTCGCTCGCCTGACAATCCTTCTCCTAGGCTGCAGTGTAGTGTTACTGTGAGAGTGTGGGATTAAGTGCAGCACACTATCATCAAGAGGACGGTGTCATGATAAAACAACTTGGCATGTACACGCTTTATCCCATCAATGATGACCTATCTCTATCTCTGACCCAGCCTCCAGAACCCTTTGATTCCTGCAGCGCTCGGTTCGCGATGCATTTCTAATTCATCCCTTCGTCCCCTTGTGACTAATTGTCTGTCTATCGTCTCCCTCATTTTTCCTGTCTATTTGGATATCCTACTTCATCACGCTGTTGTTGATCTGTGAGTTGCCAGCGTGCTGTCAACCAACAAAAATCCTACACCCCTGCTAACTCACCCTAGTCCTCTTCCACTCTCACACATCCTAGAGCGATGATCCTTGAATCATGTTCTCTATCGCCCTGTTACTGATCCTCCTCCTCCTCCTCCTCCTCCTCCTCCTCCTCCTCCTCCTCCTCCTCCTCCTCCTCCTCCTCCTCCTCCTCCTCCTCTTAATCATCATCATCATCATCATCATCATCATCATCATCGGGAATCCATGTTTAATTAACGTTAAATTCTTTCTGCGAATTCATAATATGTTAACATTGTTTTCTGTTTTACCATTAAAATGAATACCCACCCCATCCCCCACAACCAGACTATCCCCTCGGACCCCAGAACTTATCAAAAGAGTTTAGTATGGAAATTCACTGGGGTAGGGTGATTGAGACAGGGGTACTTAGTCCATAAAACAGGAGATCTGGATCATGGTGGGTAGTCAAAATGTACCGGTGGCATCCCGATCACCAGGTGATGGGCATGTGGAGACTAGCAGGAATTGAATGGGAAAAGGGGGGTAGGGGTCAGGTCGGATGATCGGAGTTCAAGTGGTAGGGTGTGCCACCTGATATAAGTGGACCGGGTCATAATACTTATAGAAGTGGGTAGGGGTATACCATTTAACGGGTAGTGGGTCCATGTCTGAGTGGAGGGGTACTGGGTGGACTGCTGGAAATGGGGATCAGGGGGTGGCAATGGATAGTGTGTATCTGTAGGGTGGGGTGGGGTGCCGAAACTGTTGTCGGAAGGAGGGGGGGTGGGGGTAGGGGTGTGTGGCGGTAAAAGAGAACCAGGGAATGGCAAGATTTCGATGCGGCGGAAGCGGAAGGAGGGAGAGGAGGGAGAGGAGAAGGAGAAGGAGACGAAATGAACAAGTACGTGTTAGGATCAGTTCAGGACGGATGGTGTCTAAAACGTGAGCAAAAGGAGTGTAAGAGGTGGGGAAAAGGTGGTAGATTGGTGCCCGGTACAAATCCGAGGGTGAAATGTTTGAGGGGAGGGGGAAGGGGGAGAGCTGGGGACATGGATTTATCTGGCAACAAGGTGGTAAGAAGATAGATCAAGAGGTAGGAAGAGATTCCGTGGGGAAGATAAGGTTGTTTGACCAGGACAACGGTCAACTTGTATTTCAAATTCTCTTTCATGCAATACAGAATCTGGGAATTTAGTCCGAAGGATAAAAAGTTGTATGTTGGCGAATGCAGAACCAGCACGTGCTATCGATGCTCATATGCATGTGGATGAGTTGAGACTGTCGTGTCTGCTTACGCTGCTTTGTTGCTGCAGACATGAGCAGGGGCGTGAGTGCCTAGAAGCGTGTGGATGAGCTCGAACAAGACGGACAAGAAGCCATAGTTATAGAGAGCACTGCTTGGGGCTTAGGTCCTTCACCCCTGAGGGTGGCTGCATGCGCTACCACCGGAATGCTTGAAAACTCTGGCGCGTCCCAAGATGCGGGAAATAAGATCGGTATGCAGAGGAATGACCTGCCTGAGACTCGAGGCTGAAAGTATACCAGCAACCTTCGTGAAGAGTTGTCTAGATGCGCCGGCCTCGCTGGATGCTCGCAAGAGCATCGTTCAGGTTGAGTGTGCTTGCAGCTCACCGGAGAGGTTGGTTTGCTTACACTCCCTCAGCTGCATTCCATCTGCAGGACGACACAGGAATCTGCTCTGCTCGTCGCCAATGGAGGAGGCATCATCGCCGGTAACTTGGACCTGAGCAAGCACGTCAATCTCATGTATTTGTGCTGCAGCCCATAGGATGCTGTCTGCCTCCAACAGCAAGGAGGCGCTGGGGATCCTGTGGACGTTGAGCTCGTACAAGACGGTTGTCGATGGTTTCACTCCCGAGGTGCTCTGGGATGTTGTACGCATCTGCAGGACGAGCAAGGACCCATGGAGGCAGACGGCTGCGATCAGCACGCTGCACAACCTGCTCTGCTTCAACTACTACGAGAAGGTGCTAACAGCTGGGGCCCTCGAGCTAGCCATCGAGCTAGTCTGTAACCAAGAAAGCGCCACGAATGAAGTCAAGGCGGCGTGCGCTTTGCTGCTGGATCAGTGCTGCTTCGACAAGATATCGAAGCAAGTTGCGGTCCAGTGCGAGCGTGTCGGGGAAGCTTCCCAGTGTCGTTCCCTCAACGTCGTGCAGGCGGTGGAGCTGAAACCGATAATCGAAATCCTTGAGAAGCAAACAGCAACTGTCTACTCGAGCACGAGCTCGAGTGACAGACGGGGGGGGTCAGTCCAGCTCGGCTGACGTGGCAAGAGACGCTGCAGACCTTCGAGATAGCCATGACGCCGGCAAGCTCTTGATCGGAAACCTGGTAAGGCGTCCATGGGCTGGTCGAAGGTTTCTTAACCTGCTGCTGTTGCCAGCTTTCCTTCCTGTGGAATGCGACTGACGACCTCTACTACTCTGACCCGGCTGGTTGGAGTCGCTTCACCATCAGAGCCTGCGAGGTGAGCCTCTTCTGGACTTCATCTTGACGGCGTTTGACATGCACCTGTCAGCCCGAGCTCTTGAAAGTCCTTAACAAGATTCTCGTGCACGGAGATGACAGTGAAAGACATGCAGTCGGCGCGATCCTCCACAACTTCTCTTGCAACCGATCCTTGCATGACAGGTGAGCTGAGTTTGTAGGATTGTCCTTCAGCCATACTGACGATTTGAGACGCAAGGCTCTTGGAAAATGGCGTCGTTGACATGATTACGCAAACAGTCCAAAAAGATGAGGACGTGCACATCTGCTGCTTGCTGGCAGCAGCAGAACTTTGCGGATCTGAGGAATCTGGCAAGCACTGTAACATCCTGCACAAATTCAATGCTGTGTATGTGCTCGTGAGCGATCTGCGAAAGCGGTGTGGCTGCTATGAGGACTACTCAGTCAACGAGAGGGTAGGCTGATCTCCTTCCCCGATGATCTTCTTGCTCTGATGGTCTCGATCAGGAGGTGAGCCTGAGAAAGCTGCTCAGTGCTCTGGAAAACATCGCGTCCTCCGACGTCCACAAGGGCTCCCTGCTCAAGTGCGGAGTGATCGACGTCATTTACGATGTTATCTCAAAGAGGATCGTCGTGAGCCCCCATCTCCTCCTCTCATGCCTTCCTCTGACCTCCAGCAGGACCACCGAGGGATGACGCTCGGCCTGCGGACGCTGCTGCACCTGAGCTTCGAGAGGAGCGCGATCCAGGTGATGGAGGAGTTGGAGGGGTGTATGCAGCTGATCCTGTTCCAGGACTTGTTGCATCCTCGCCTTGTCAAGCTGATAGCGGACACTGCCAAGGACGACCAGATCCCGCTGATACCCAAGGAAAGCGCCAAGACGCTGGATTACCGGCTCAAATACTTGCGAGACCCCCTTCTCCTCTTCCCTGCCAACGACCACAAGACCCAGAGCTACGGTGCTCGCTGGCTCCGGCACCCTGAAGAGATTCGCATCCTCACGCTCTCGTACCACGAATCGGATCTGCCAGTTGTCTCCCGCATTCGCTCCTCCCTCCTGTCCGTTGGCTACGCCTTCGCTTCGAGCGAGGACTCTGTAGAAACAGGTTGGTCACCTTGACGACGAGATAACATGCTCCTTCTTGCTGTCTCGGCTCTTCCCCCTCTCTTCCTCCTTTTACTCAGAATACTCCGCATCAAGAGCTCCTGAGAGATGCATATCGAACCCCATTCTCTTTTCTGTCATCCCCTCTGTTCCTTCCTTTCATCTATTTCATTGTCTCTTCTCTCGTTGTAGCAAAGTCTCCTCCTCTCTTCCTATAGTGATGTGCATGCATCGTGCAGGCAGCATAGACGACTTCATTCAGTGTCTTCAGTCGGAGCCAACGGATCTTCTTGTCTGCATGTCAAAGTCATACCAAGTTTCTGCCCGGGCTCGCTTCACCACAGAACTTGCTCTTTCAAGGTCTCCCTGCTTTCCTTTCCTTCTCCCTGTCTCGATCTCCTTGGCTATTTCTTGACTTGTTGAGAAGGGGGTTGCATCTTGTAAGGCTGAACATTGAAGCAAGGTTTGTCACCCTACTCTCGTTGTTCCCTTCTCTCTACTCCTCCCTGTTTCCTCCTTCTTCCTCCTCCTTTCTCTCCTTGCTTGCAACTCCAATCCTATCCATGCTTCCAGCCATTCTTCCCCTTTGCTGGCAATGACGACTTGACCACTCGCACTTTCCCCTCCTCCACCTTCGTCCTGCTGATACACTTTTCTGTGGGTAATTCGTTCGTTTCTGTTGCAGTTTCCATCCTTTCGGTTGGTTGGCGCAACTTGCAAGCATGCAGACAAAGGACGGGGACAGGGAATTTCAGAGCGAAATCTGCGTGACGGGAGCAACGGCCATGCAGTTGTCGGTACTGATAGCAGCGCTGGGCAAGGTACCGTTGCTCGAGCCTTTCTCTTGCCTTCCTCTTTTCTCTCGAATCCGCCCAGCCCCCACAGTCTTGTTGACTTTCTGACACTCACAGCGAAACATCGTGAAGCATGCGGCAACGGATCCAGCATCAAACGGTGAGCTGTGCTCATGTCCCTGCTGCTCCTGCCTTAACTTATCCTCTCCCTCTTGCCTCTTCTAGATCCCAGGAAGGGCCCCAGCAGCCCGAGGAGCGGCTTCGATCATTCGCGTCTGTGGGATGTGACACCACGAGGTCGGCCTCGACCGGCGCTGCTGACTCAGCAAGAGAAGCACCCCGACAAGCTCGGGCTGCTGCTGATCGAGAGTCCAGCTGGCGAGGTGAGAATCACTGTGCCGAGCACGTGCAACCGGTTGCTGGCCGTAACCTGCCGATGCAGATCTGTGTCGCTCGGGTCAGTCCGGAAGGATCGGCGGGGAGGAGCGGGCTGGTGCGGGAACGAGATGTCCTACTTGCTGTGGACGGGAAGGAGGTCAAGGTGAGAGAAGAGCTGCTGCCTCCTCCTCCCGCGGTGCTGACGTGCTGGGGGAAGGGTATCAGCGTGACGCGGGTGATCGACATCATCCGGAATGCTCGAGGAGACGAAGATCGCGGGAGCCTCGTCGGGGGGAGTAGGGGGGGCGAGTCAACGCCCTCCAAGGACAAGAGCGCGTCGGTAGAGCTGCTGTTCTCCCGGGGAGGGCAGGAGCTCTGTGTCGTCCTGCCCCGTCCTCCCGTGTCATCCCACACCTCGTTCGAGCGGGTTCAGTGGGGCCTCGACCACGAGGTCATGGAAGTCTCGCGGGAAGGGAGGATGGCGTACGATGATCACTTCCTGCCCGCGAACCTCCGCGCCAGGAGCAGCACAGGAGCATCGACGGCTCGAGCGAGGATCGAGACCAGCCCAACACAGACCAACGGGGTCACTGTCACTCCTTCCTTCATCAGCAAGGGTGAGCCGTCAGCTTGCCGCGTCTCTCCTCCCCTTCTCGTTGTCTCACCCGTAGAAGCAGAGGGTTCTCCGGGCAGGCCGGCGCCAGCTCAGCAACGCCTGGCAGTCACTTCATTGGGCATTGACGGCGAGCGGGGCAAGGAGATTGGGTCCTTGGGCACAGACTTGTGGCAGGGGGCGAAGCCTGTGAAGTCAATCGTGAAGGAGGATGGGGACATTGATACCGGTCAGCCCTTCTCTACTTTCTCCTCACTCTCATTCTCCTCAAACATTCCTTCGTCCTCTTCCACCTCGTTTCGATATCATCCCTCACGCGTTTTCCTCTCCAGAGACCCGGCCGTCGGTGAGGACAGCAGCGCTCTCCGCTCGCTTCATCCTCTCATTGAGGAGCGTGATCATCGACGCTGGATGGTTTCCCAGCAGCGAGCTGTCGAGGAGAGAGGACGTGCAGCGGGTGGAGAGGTCGTGGCTGACCTGGCGCCTGAAGCCCGCGAAGGTGCTCAGCTCACCGATGCCTTGCTCCCAGCTGACTGTGAGCAGGAGACGAGGAGGGAAGCTGCCGCAATGGAGGAGGAGCTTGACAAGGTTGTAAGGATGACACCGTCGGATGTGTCAAGGTGAGGGCTGAAGGGCAGCTGGAGGTGGAGGTGACGATGGTCGTGACCAGGTGGCTGCGAGACGAGGAATTGGAGGGGGTGGAGCAAGTTCTTCATGTCAGCCGCTTGCCGGGCAGCTGGGGTAGAACTGACTTCCTGCAGGGAGGAAGCGACGGGAGGAGCGTGGTAGAATTGGTCAAACTGCTAAGACGGGACGAGAAGATGTGAGTGTAGTATAGGCGAAGGCACTACTAGAACAGGGACAGGAGAAGAGAGGAGCGAGATACGAGGGAGAGAGGAGCGCGAAGGAGGAGTAGGTGACGGGTTGGTGCAGGTTGGTCTCACTGCTGGACCATCAGCTGAGGGGCGATGCGACGAGGTGGGAGGAGAAGTTTGCAGTGAGGGCTGGGATGACGGGTTGGGGCAGGAGAAACAGGTGGGTGGTGGCCCTCAAGAAGCTGCTGGGGAGCTCGAGGGGACAGACGATGGCGGGTGAGCTGAGCTCCCGCTGATGGGGCCAACGACCATGTCAAACAATAAATTACAAGGACATACAAGGAAAGCTCAACATGCTGTCCCCTCTTCCTGTGAAGCCTCTCGCTCCTGGTCGACCCTCCTCACAGCGACTGGTTGCCATCGCTCCCTCTTCAGGGGGAGCGAGGGATGGTGGGGGAAAGAGACTAGGGCCCTCCCTGCCAGAGGAGAGTGCTGGGGTCGGGGATCTGCCGAGCCGTGAGACGAAGTCGATCTCTTCAGTCACGTACCTCGTTGCGATCCATGCCGACCTCTCCCGCTTCCATCCCTCCTAGGCCGTTGGGGAACAGCAGCATGTTGGGATCAGGTGCCTGCGACCGTATCAGGTGCCGCAGAGCAGGAGGCAGCGGGGCCACAGACCGAGCTCTGGTCCATCATTGATCCTTGCATCCCGTTGCCGCCCTGCTGTTGCTCTCCTCCTCCTCCACCGATGCCACTAAGGTCCATGGGAGCGTAAGAGCCCCCGAGGTTGTTCATGTAGTGACCGGAGCCCATGTAGCCCTGCCCGTTGGCGTCCTCGAAGTTCGATGAGCCGACAGGGCCCTGGGCCGAAATGTCCCGAAGGCAGGAAATACACTTCCCCGGTGAGTTCTCCAACAAGAGCTGCAGGTCCAAGTCAGCAGCAGCAGCAGCAGCAGCAGCAACAGCAGCAGAGGAGGAGGAGGAGGAGGAGGAGGAGAGAGGAAGAAGCAGCAGCTTACGTTGGCTGTCCCACAGTTGCACACGACGATCTGGTGAGAAGGGCAGGAGGTCAGGGAGGACCCACGAGGCTCTCAGTGTCTCACCGCATTTCCGGACCCACATTGGTTACACTTAAACCTCTGCTCGCCTTTCGGGATCCGGTTGGGAGCGGAGCAGCTCATGCACTCGATGCTCTCGTGGGGCTCGTCCTGGTCGTAGGATGTCTGCTGGAGGGGAGGCTGGCCATTCATGTTCATCAGCCCCTGGTCGAAGTGAGAGCTTCCTTCCGGTCCTCGAGGGTCGAAAGTCTGGACATTCGTGGACCCCGCGCTCGATTGGCCGGAAGGAAACTGATACAAACGACTCAGACGAGGAGGGGAGAAGGAAGCGAGGAGGGGGGGGAGTACAGAGAATATGATTTGAGGAGGATGCACAAGACGGTGAAGGTCGCATGCTACCTGCTCCGTCATGAATTGGCCACTGAACGAGAAATCGTTGTAGCCTCCTTGCATGGAGTTTTGAAACTGGTTGTTTTGCTGCACCTGCTGCATGCTAGTGCTCGGCTGGTATTGCTGCTGTGAATGATTCACCTGCTGCTGATTTTGATAGAAAGGATCTTGAGAGGAAGAAAATTGCGAAGAGTGGAGGTGAAGTTGTTGTTGTTGCTGCTGCTGCTGCTGCTGCTGTTGATGAAGATGATTCTGATAATTCTGATCATGCTGGTGCTGGTGCTGGTGCTGGTGCTGGTGCTGGTGCTGGTGCTGGTGCTGGCTCGCTTTGGCTTGTTGCATGGCTGATTGTTGCGGAGTAAGCTGACCAATCAATTCTCTTTGAGGGAAGCTGAAAAGCAAACACAAGTAAGGGAACTATTGGTAATGGAACGATCAAGAACCTGAATATCCCCTCACATTTTGGGCACCCGTACTTGGCCGAACCTGTAAACCAACACAAATCAAACAGAAAAAGCAGCAGGAAGTTATACACGAAACGGAGATGGGGTGAAAGTACTCAATTCACGCAAAATCAAAATATTACGCACCTTGCTTGACTGTCAACGGTTGGCCACAGCGAGAGCAAGTGAGCATGTAATCTCCTGAAGGCAAGATGCTGTAAGAAACTTCGGCTTTCTTGCCAGGTTGTGAGTTCTCGAACTCTTGAATGGCTTCTTTCTTCTGTTGATCAGTGAGCTTCTCGTCTTCGGCGTCACATATGAGACTCTCGTCCATTTCCACAGTTCGAATCATCCCCCATCTCTGCTTTGCAAATTGATCCTTCCCGTTCTGGGAAGGCGCCCTCCTCAGCATGCTCCGAAGGATCTGGTCTTTCTTCAAGGTCTCCTCCACCTCCATCTGCTTCTTCTTCGATGGCGCAGACCATCCTTCGTCCTCCACGTCGTCCAGGTTCACTTCGTCGTGCAGAGTTAGAAGCTCCTTCATCTCAAACTCCAAATCTTTGCCCTTGAAATGCCTCTGCACTTGCCATGAGTCTACTGCACGAGCTGACCTGCTCTGCTTGTTGATCTGCCTCTTGTAGATCTTTTCTTCCATTGTCCCCCAGGACACCAAACGATACACATAAACTGGGCGGGTTTGCCCATAGCGATAAGTTCTGAATATTGCCTGCAGATCATGGGAAGGATTGAAACTGCAATCAAACAAGACAACACGGTTTGCTGCGACCATATTTACACCCAGAGATCCCGCTCGAGTTGAGATCAGGAACAGTCGAGCACGAGAGTTGGCTATGTCGTTGAAGTTGTCGATGTCATCCTGACGCTGTTTGGAGCTCCTTGAACCATCCAAACGGTAGTAGTCATGCTCTCTTCGATAATACTTTCCGCACACGGGATTTCTCTCCAACAATTTCTCAATCACATCCAACATGGTGAGAGACTGGCTGAAAACCAGAACTTTCTCGTCTACCCTGCTTGCTTCAGTCAGCAACTTCCACAAAACCAAGACTTTGCCAGAGTGTTCCAGCGACATCACGCTCTGCAGAAACAGATCGCAAGTGAGCAAAAGAAGTGGAATCAGTATCATTGCATACCTCTTCATTGAGATTTGCTGCTTCGAAGAGCTTCATGTACCAAGAGGCGTTATAAGGTTTGTTCTGATTACCCCTCCCAAACAGCTTCGAGAGAGGGGGAGGGTCTGTGCACTGAACATCTGAGTCATAGTCGTCACCATCCATGGTTTCGGTATTCGAGTTTGCTGTCCCAGCGTTACTCTCAGTTTGATTGTCGTCTTCGGGGTGCTTTTTGGAGTTCCACAAGATGGCAGGATGGTTCCAAATCTTCATGAGCGTGTGGAAAGCCTTGAAGACGCTTTCGATTCCGCATTCTTCTTGGTTCTCGACGGCGTATCTGTACAGTCTTTGCTGCAAAGGGGAAAGTCGAATTTGTAGGGTGAACTCAAACTTGGGCGGCAGGGCTTTGATCAGGGGGGTATAGTCCTTTCTTTGCACCATATGACACAATTTCTGGTGCAACACGAAATTTCTTCTCTTCATCACTTGAACATCCCTTTCGTCCGCATCTTCAGCCTCACCGTTCAGAATCGGGATCTCGAAGCGGTTTCTGAAGTCTGAAAGAGATCCAAGGTAGCCTGGGTTTATGAAATCGACCATACAATGATATTCTGTCAAATTGTTTTGCAGAGGTGAACCTGTCAGGACGACCCTCCTCTTAGTTTCGACTCCAGAAAGTGCCTTTGAAATGTTTGACTTGTGGTTTCTCAAAATGTGCCCTTCATCTGCTATAACAATGCCTGGCCCAGGACTCTTCAGAAACCTGTGGAGCTTGCCTCGAAGTTCTTTGTCGTTGATTCGAGTACCCTGACCAAGATTTCTGTACATTTCGTACCCCATGCACATCACTCCCCCTCGCCTGAACCAGAGTTCAAGACAATCGCATCTACTCTTCGTAGTTCGCCCAGCTTCATCAAGGATGTATATCTGCAGTAAAAGCAGACGTCAGGATACAGGTGCAGAGCAAGGACAAAGCAGGGAAGCAAAGTTGAAATTGAAGCAATGTTCAACCTCGATCTGTCGTCCGCATGGCAGTCTGCCACCATCGGGTAACCAACGTTCAAGTTCCGCTTTCCAATTATGTAACGTATTGACAGGCCCGAGGACAAGCATGCGCCGCAACTCAACGTTGTCACGAGGTATGTTGGCCGCAATCGTGTGAAGCAAAGTTATAACCTGTGATGAGAGATCAATCCAAGTCCAACAAAAGACAAAGTCACTATCTTCATCTATCTCACCTGAAAAGTTTTTCCGAGTCCCATATTGTGAGCAAGAATACATCCAGTGCCCTTATCATTCTCCTCCAGTGCCAACAAGGAACCTAGCCCTCCGCGTGCTTTCTTGTCCGATCGCCCATCCATCAGTCTGCGCCACATGAAACGCACACCCTCTATCTGATGATCTTTCATCCTCACAGCCAATTTAGGGTGGATTCGGATCTGGGAAGAGGATTCAGCTTGCGGATTGATTATGTCCCGCAAGTGGTCATCGCTGCCTTTTTTAAGGATCTCTTGCTCCCATTTTCTGCGCTCTTCCTCCCGTTCTTGCAAGCTCCTTGTCTCCGCACTTAATGCAGAGTCGTCCTTGATCTTTCGGATCTTCCTTTTGTCCTTTCCAAGAACTTTTCGCTTCCGCTTACCATCTTGGCCTTCGCCATCTTTCTTCTCAGCATTATCTCCGTCTTCCTCATCACCAGATCCACTCTCTTCCTCGTTGTCTTCATTCCCAGATGCCTCCTCCTCCTCAGACGCCAGGGATTGCTGGTCTTCCCCTTCACTGTCGTTGATAATAGGCTGTGAGACTATGTCATCGGCATCCCCTTCGTCGTCTCCATCGTCATCTTCATCCTCCTCTGCATCATCACCATCGTCACCATCGTCAACACTATCCATGCTGTCTAGCCCATTCTTGCTATCCATATCCGCATCAGGAAAGGCCTGCTGCGCCGGGGCCTCCTCTTCCATTTCGCTTGCAGGCAAGGTCACGGCCGCGGCCTGGACATCCTCGTCCTGCGGCTGGAATTCTGCCTCCTGCTGCAAGTCGCTGTTGTCTCCAGCCGACACGTCACTTGATGGTTCTGCATAGCCTTCCTCCGGCCAGAATTGCGCGTTGCTCTCACCCGCAAGCTGCTCTGCCCCTGCATGGACCTCGGTCGCCTCATGTGGCATGTCGTCCGCATAGTCATGTTCAGCCCTTTCATCTCCCATTCCCTCCTCATCACCACTCGCACCGGAGTTGACCCCATCGAGATCAACCTCCATGCTTTACAGGTGTTGAAATTCGAGACGATCTGTCTGTCAGGTAGGTCACCCCCTAGCTCTTCCAAGCTGCCCAGCAGAGAGGGGCGAAATGGTCAGAGCGATCTCCCATCGCAGCCCACCGTCGAATGATATCAGTAGGACCACTTTTTACTCCTTTCTTTTGAAGCTGCTTGAAGCTGTTCGGCAAGACCCTTGGTAAAGGCCACTGATCTTAGTCACGTTCAGGCGATGAAGGTAAAGTCAGACGGGCAAAATTTTAGGGGCTAGAAGCTGCACGAGGAAGAAGCAGCTGTGGCGACTGGAGCACTCAATCCCTCAGCTCTGAGAACTTCTAGAACTCGCTCGCCGTCCTGCATAAGCACGCGAATCCCTGTGCTTCGCCTCCTTCACGTCCTCCATGCGCTGCCATCGGCAGGGGAGCAGATCATAGCAGGGGGGTGAGGGCAGGAAAGGTACCCCTCAATTTGACTGAAATATGGAGACAAATGGAGGGGTACTTTTATTTTTTTTCCGACATTTAGTACCAGTGAGAGGAGAACTGTCATCGGCTCGATGAATGGGGTCTTCTAAAATTAACTTGTTGGTTGGGTGTACTGGTTTGGAAAATCTATAGTACTGTGGATGAGTGTGAGTGGTACGACAAGGTGAGACATGTATTTTATTACTGTACAAGCTGAGGAAAATATATAGAAAGATTTGTATATATACCAGTACTATCTCCTTTTTCCTAGAAATTGACTGGGAGAGAGTGGCTCTAGATTGATACGCAATAACCCTTTTTAGGAGTGTGGATGGGGTACAAAAATCGAGGGCTTGGTTTTAAAATTAAAATATTTTTAATTTCACTCAAAAAAATCAGGACAGGAGGCGTTGCAGACTAGCAGCATTAGCATGGCTAGGAGGGGCAGAGGGCAGGGAAGGGGAAGGGATCGGGAGTGGGAGAATATGGTCCTGTTGTCGGAGTGCAAACAAACTTCTTTTGTTGTTGCCAGGTTTCCATCATGAAGAGGAATGTAGCATGATTGAAAGATCAGATTGTGAACTTGAAGTCGGAACACTGAAGTATTGATCCTCGTTGTATGAATCAACATTCTGTTTGCAACAACATGTTATTTTCTAGATTTTTTTAATCTCTGTTTGGTCCCATTCCCGAAGCGCAGAGCTTTGTTTCATCATCAGCCAGTGTTGATGCGAGTGTCTATTATGTCGATAGTGAAGTCAGTGATGTTTATCTGTGCACGGCGGGTTGAGCAGAGAGCATATGAATCAAATGCTCGTATGTTGTTTACATACACAGCATGCAACAGTTTTCTGACTGATCAAGAGGAATGAGACGTATCGGAGCAAGTCCATTTGATCATTCCACGCAGCATCCTTTCCCCCCTCTCTTTCCCTCCCCTCCTTTTATCGTGCTCTGTTCCTCTTTCTTCTTAGTGTAACTACTATACTGCTAGTCTTCCTCTACTTGTGCATTACAACCTGCAAGTTCGTCAAGAATGCCTCCATTTCTCGGTTCTTGTGTGCTCGAGCGACTTGAAGAACACTCCATCCTTCGCCGTCCCTCATCTCCAGCAGCGGCTTATGACCATAGGAGATGAGCGTCTCAGCAACTACCAGCTGATTCCCAGCACACGCCAGGTGGAGAGCCGTTCCGCCTTCAGCCGTGGGCTCGAAGATAAGCTTCTTCCCTCCAGCCAGGCACAGGAAGCTGACGGCTTCGTCTCTCCCGTTGTACGCTGCTGCGTGCATGGGCGTCCACTCATCGACATTCCGTTCAAAGAGCATCTCTTGGGGCCCCAGCTCGAGGATCTTGCTCATAGTGTCCACGTGCCCATGCACAGCAGCCACGTGCAGCAAGTTGCTTCCCCTGTCTGTGCGTTCCCGTATTTTGCTCCGCTCCCCAGCAAGAACAAAGAATTCCAATAGATCGCTCCTCCCAAACTGTGCAGCTACATGCAGGCAAGTGCGACCCTTGTAGTCCCTCATGTCCAAGATGCCCCTTCCTCCGCACTCTATGAAGCTTCGACAAAGTTGCTCGTGCCCTCCTGCTGCAGCGTAGTGCATGGCGGTACGGTCCTTCGCATCCTGAAGCATGAGGAGCTTCTTGCCACCACGCGTTAACAGGTACTCGGCTATTTCACAGTTACCAACTCGTGATGCGACGTGCAAAGCCGTCTGAACCATCTCGTCTCCTTCAAAGAGAAGACTTTCGCCTCCTTCTGCAAGGATCCGACTGACCACGTCCACGTTGTCGTTCTCACAAGCAATATGAAGGGCGGTCCCTCCACCGGCTACCTTCTCAGATAGAATTCTCGAGCCTGCTTGCTGCAGAATGAATTCAACCAACTCGGTATTCCCATAGAAGCATGCAACATGGAGGATGGTCCACTCAAGTTCGTCTTTCTCAAAGAGGACTTCTTTGCTTCCTTGGACTATACTCCTGGCAGCTGCTAAGTCTCCTGACTTGCAAGCATGAATGAGGTTGCGAAAAGTGGAATCTTCGCAATCGCTCTCCTGCATCTTTGGCCTAAAACTTTTCTCCTGACAGAAACTTTGGGATAAGATAGAATCCCTCTTGCCTTTCACGAAGCTGCGTTCTTTCGTGTCCTCCCCGAACTTGAAGTCTTGTCCGCTCACAAACAAGAGGTCCGGGTGGAATTGCTGCTGATGATCATCTTGGAAATTTTGGTTGTCTTTGTTGTCTCTGTCATCAGGAGACCCTGGTTGACAAGTCTTCATCTCTTCCTTGCTTTTCTGCTGAGAGGTCAGCTTTCCCCTTCCCAAGTTTGTTCATCTCACATTTGCAAATCTTGGGTTCAACCGGAGGCAAGCATTGATGTCTTCCAGAGCCGCATCTGGCTGCCCAGCCTGCAGGTAGGCTTGAGACCTCCTCCCTGCGTGACGCCCGGAGTGAGAAAAATCAGTCGTTGTTGCCACATGATCAAGATTGAATGAATGGACATTTGCGGGTATACCATATATTTTGGCGAGTGCAGGGGCTGACAAATGATGCTGCCAAAAACTTGAATCAGGGGACCAACCCAAAGCGTCTGAAACACTCCAGAACATTGCTCTCACCTCTCCGACTTCCACGGCTCTTGAATAGTGAACAATAGCTTCCTCGTAGTTCTCAGCCATACTGGAGGCATGTGTCAAGAAACCCCGATCGCCTCACATCACGTCACGGACACACTGACATGGCCTTGTCTGCTCTGGACAGCATTGCTTTGATGATCCAGTAGATGGCCCGAGGAATCTGGAAGCGAAACGATGAGCCATGGCCTACCAAAGCACAGGAATGGACTGCCAGAGCCGACCTTAGTTGGGCAAACTGCCCCGTTGCCATCGCCGTCTTCGAAGTAGGAATCAGCCAGGCTTCGTGGCGTTGCAGACTCCGAGGCCATCGCGTATGACTGAATGCGCTCCTCTCAGCCAGCCAGGCGCTCCTTTTGCGAGGTTGCAGTGACGGAGACTCTGTCCGAGGCAGCCACACTGCCCTGATCACCAATCCGGGGGTCGTGGCCCAGGCTCAGCCTGGCAGTGGCTCAGGCTCGTCCTCTTGCCTCACGTCCTCCTCCTTGTATCCTCCCTTGCGGGCAAGAGAGAAGGAGAACTGACGAAACGGCGGCAGTCGGAAAAGTTCTCAGCCGCTTTCGGTTCTCCGACTGTCGGCGGTTGAAATTATTTGACTGACCGTTACTCGCTGGTTGTTCCAGGATAACTCAGTCAGTTATAACCGTTACACCGCTCTCTGCCAAAGGGCGTCTAATGCAGGTCGAGGTATGTGAAGGAGGAGGAGGGTGGTGTAGGAAGAGGAGAAGGAGAAGGAGGAGGAGAAGGAAGAGAAGGAGGAGGACAGGTGCGAGCAAGCTAGAGATTGCTCAGTATAGGGCATGATTTTCTTGTTTCTCTCTGGCCTTGCGCAAGTGCTGGTGGGAAGCGGGCAAGAGAAGTTTGGGGAGGCTCCGTTGTTTGCGGGCGGAACGATGTGCAGGCGAGTTGGAGCTGACATTGAGGCTGGGCTACATGGTGTGATATACCGTGAGGAGAGGGAAGAATCAGGCATGGTGCTCTAGAGACGAAGAAAAGGAGTCCATAACCAGTTGAGGGTGGTTCCGATTGCGATGTGCTTATTTGCAAACGCCGACCCAAATTTTGTGGCTGACTCTGACTTATTGATTCCAGGAAGATCACTGATTTAAAATATTGAAAGGTATCTTTGACATGTCGTTCCTGCTATCCATGATCTCTCACAGGCCTCCACCAATGTTGAGAACTTCTTGTCAACGGCTTCTAGTAGCCTTGGTTTGTCTTCCCTTCGCCTTCGCTGGCTCGTTTCTTTCGGGTTCCATCAGATGGAGGGTGAGGACAGGAATGTATGTTAACGTCTCAGCCCTTGATTGCCACGCTCTAGGTTGCCGATGTGAGCACCCACACAGTCGAGTTCCAAGTCGTGTCTTACTGGAACCGCTCGTTCTCGGCCTTTCAAAGCCCAACGTGAGAGCTTGTTTCTCAGGTGTTTCGTTCTGACAGGCTTGTGTAGCCTTGGACCACCTGTTTTGGGCAGCCTAGTAGACTTGCAAGCTCAGAGCACTGTGCGGTTGCGGTTTGGAGATGGTACCTGGACGGTATGGGAAACTTTCATTGATAGCTGATGTTGGAATTCTTTGAAATGACTGGCACGTCCAGTATCTGAAAGGCATGATTACAAATATCAACGAGGCAGAGGATTGGATAGAAGTCGTCACAGCGCCCACTCCCAAAGCGTATTCACAGGCAAATTGACCCTATGTATTGTTCGAATTTCAGGTTGATACCTTTTTTTCTAGGGCTTTGAATACAAATTCATCAATCAAAACTCTTTGTATACTGAAACTCAGGTAACTGTGCTTGTCTAAGTCAAAACAAGAATCTTCTGTGTCAAAATGCCAGGCTGATGTTTACCGTGCAGTTCATCTACGTCCCATGGAAAGTCACGTTCGAGGTTCTTGAGCATCTTACTCCCTGGACTCCTTCAACTGACCGGCACTTGACCAGGGATGTTGTCGTTACAGTGGATTGCAACGAGACAGCGATACTCCGTTCAATATCACGTCAACAGTCCTTGTCGATGGTTCTGGTCTGTCCAACTTTTATGGTTGTGGAGGCAAATTGACCGTTTGTTCAGTATCCTTCTCCCCTGATCCCAGAGTTCTGCCTAAGGTATTTGATTTGGAGGAACCGATGGTCACGTCTGACATGCTCGATTGGAAGATTCATGTGCCAACTGGTGGTCTGTTCACGGTCACCAGCGTTGGTGAATACATTTCTGTCCGAGGCATCTCTGCCGAGTGAAATGACTCTTGGCCCAGTGCAAGATGTTAGCTACAATCAAGCTTCGAGCTCTTCGCTTCATTGGCAGGCCTGTGCAAACACGTGCGTTTCTCTGCATGATCAAATAGATTCGGTGACAAGGGTTTGGCAGTAATTTGCCAGACTTCACCAGACTAGATGCCAATACAGGTGACAATGACTCGGAGAAACATCCACTTTGTTCGAACTTTCTGCAGGGGATATCAAGTGGGATGTCGCCATACCTGGCATATACCATCTCTGTATCTCAGTTTCACTGGTAAGGAGTTTTTTTTGTAGCGGTTGGGGCTGGGGTGTTGATTAAGATTTTTAGGCCTCCCAGCCCACTGTGTATTCTGATGTCGATTTCCTGGTTGTGAGTCAGGTAAGCCTTTGGAATTTGGCTCTTTGATCGGCTTGAAATACTAAAATGTCACATAAGGCTTCGCCATCTCCCATTCAGATCAACACGGATTTCGCCAATGTTCTGAAAGGGTTGTCTGTCTCACTTCAACCTCTGAGTTGCTGATTTTGCGCAACAAGATTCGTCAATCTGAATTTCAATGTGAATGTGCTGGCTTCGATTGAACCAACGATGATCAAGGCCGGAGACCAGATTGGCTTTCAAGGTGATAACAAACACAGAAGTGTGAGGGTGGATCCATGAAAAACACAACCTTCTCTTGCTCGATGAGAATTTCTTATCACACTCTGGGCAGTCGGTTTCGTTCCCGCCATGAGGAACGGTCCTACAGCGCCAGACACCGGGCATTTCACAGTGGTCAGTGTGAGCTTGTCGAATCCTTTACCCTCATCCTCCGGCACTTCAGGCACAGATTGCTTCTGGAAGCGCCGAGGCGACTCTAAAGTTCACCGTACAACCTTGGATGGAAGGTGCTTGACTCGTCCTTGCGGAGGAGAGGAGAGGAGAGGAGAGGCGAGGAAGCTGAACGTTCGTGGTAGGATGGAACTCCTTCTGCTTTGCTGCCTACGTCATCAACGACATGAAGATCAGCAGCGCGAGCTCGATGAAGTGCAGCGATGCTTACTTCTTTGTGAGTGAATCCTCCACTTCGTGCTCTCTCAGCTCGCTCACACTCTTGAAAGGGCTCGGATGTCATCATGGTGGATGCGACTGCGGCAGAGCAATACAAGTATAGAGTAGCAGGGCAGGTGATGATGATCACAGAATCGTAGTTAACGACCTCAACATGGTTGCTAGGTGGTGGCCAATCACTTTGAGGTCCGTGAAGGAGTGCAGCTGAGGGTGAGTCGATCTCCTGGTTTCTCTCTCCCTTCCTCGGTCTTGCTTACCTCCTCTCACAGGTGTCCATCTCCGCTTGGATGCCCAACTCCCTCGGAGCCGTGGAGAGGTGACTGATAGACGCTGCATCCTTCCATTCCTCTTGATCCCTTGCTCTTCCTCTTCGACTTCCCACGTGGATCGCTCATTTCTCGGCAGGAGCATGGTCGCCGATCTCAACGGAAACGGAGTCCTCGATGAGTCTGAGGTAGAAGAGCTGTCCTTCCTCAGGGAGACTCAAGTAGCCTGCCAGGTTCAGATCTTCTACGGCAACAGACCTCGACCCTTGGGAGCCACTCTGACCAGTGCGTTGGAGGAGAGGCGGCGCCGCGCCGCGCCCTGACCCTCTCCGCTGCCAGATGTTTCGCTCAACACCTCGATCCTCACTTACGAGCCCCCACGGACATATGCCGGCGCGGACATTGAGATTTGCATCAACGCGCAAGGAGCGTCAAGCGCTGCAACCTTGTCGAAAGTCAACCAGGTAAAGACGAGGAGCAGATCGCGAGGAGCTCTCAGTACCTCTGACTCCCCCGTCCAGTTCTGCATCACCATCATGGTGAAAAAATGCGTTTGGACCGTCAAGGTAATTCTTCTCACTGAACGATCGTTCCCTGACTCTCTCCCCGATAGACCGGAGAGTCCTTCATCTCCATTGCACAGGTTTGCCCTCTTTCCCTGCCCCCCCCCCCCCCCCTGCCTCAACTACCGCCAGAGCATCGGGATCTCATGGCTGCAACTGTGGAACTTCAACAAGGTTCTGCTGCCTGGTGCTGGCAGTGGCCGAGAAGTGACGGTCGGGGCAGGGGAACTACTCGAGGCCGGACATCGACCTGCGAACAGGAGATCCGGTGAATGTCGGGCAGCTCTACCAGGTGAGCCTGGTGGATCGGAGAGGATGGTGAGATAGCTGAGAATGAGCACAGGTTGATAATGGAGACACTCTGTACAACATCGCCGACAGATTTTCCTCCACAGTCCCCATCCTTTACGGTGACAGCACCTTTGTCTGTCCCTTTGCTCCCGTTCTCCCATGTGTTGCATCATGACCTCTTGATCTGTCTTGTCATCGTGTCTCCTCCATCGCTTCACGTCTTGATGTACCACACTTGCTGATTTCGCCCGCGCAGCTCTCAACGGTGCACTGGACCCGCAGGTTCCCATCTACACAGGACAGGTGCGATCATTTGAATTGATGTTTCCAACGCTCAATCACGATCGCAGTTGATCTGCATAGCATTTGCGTCATGCGCCAACACATAACGAGGAGGTCTGGCTCTTCGACCTACAAGACCGGACAAATCTTACAGATGTTTTGATATTGTTAACTCAAGTCTAGACGAGAGAAAATAACTGATGTGAATAGCCGACAATACAGACAAAAAGAAATTTATTCATGTGCTCTCGTCCTAGTGGCGACGTCGGCTCGGTTTTGTACAGAGGAACCTCATACGAGGCAAAAACTTTCTAATTTCCTTCAGCGGCCTTCTTCTCGGCCGCCTTCTTCAGCCACATCTGCATCCTGGCCTCGATTGCAGCATCCTGCGCCAAGAAGTCAACCAACATCCAAAAAGCACTCTCACATGCACATAAGGTACACAAGGCACAGCACACGAAGACAGAGCAGAAGGGTCATCATCACTGTCGCAAACTCTGACGTTACCTCCTCGGCCTTCTGCTTCTCACGAGCCTCCCTGGCAGCCTTCAGCTCGGGATCCTCGTCGAGCCAGCTGGTGGACTGCTTCTCGAACCCGGTCACAGACTTGTCGATCCATGCAAGAGGATCCTCCTCCTTCTCCATGTCCTCGGGAGCCCCCCATGCTCCCTCCTGCACTTTGTAAGATGGCTTCACAGTGGTGATGTCATTTCCAGCAATATCGGTAACCTGTCCAACACTGAGGTCATTCTTCCGTGGCGCGTCCTCAGATCTCAGTACCTTTCCTCCACTCTCTGCTGCTCTCTTCTTCATGTACTCCTCGAAGCTTGCGGGCCCCGTCGGAATCTTGCCCGAGGCTCCTCCAGTTCCAGAGCCACTCCAGTCATCCTTGGATCGCTTCTCGATCGTCTCGAAGATCGCCTTGGCTCCTCCGCCGAACCCGTCTTTGCGATCGATGGGCTTGCCGTTGAACTGCATGTTGAGAGAGGACAAGCATCCTGCATGATTGTCAGGTAAACCGATACGACAAGATCGGAAGAGAAGCGGGAGGAGCCTACCAGATGTTCTGAGGCTGTTGCGAAGCGGAAGTGGAGTCGGTGCGAAGGCTTCAGCGATCGCCAAAGCAGTGACAGCTACAGCAGAAGTTCTCAACATCTTGGTTCCTGTACCACAAGTCAATCATCTGTGAACCTCTCTTATAATGAAACATTGGAAGTCAAGTCATCGTGTCGTGCTAGAGGCGAAGGTCGAGGAGCACAACAGAGGTTTCGCATCTATCCTGTCGCCCGCTCACTCTCTATCTTCATAGTGATCCTCACAACACACTTGCTTTCTTCCTGGAATGCTCTCTACACGGTGGTATGTTCGTTTGGCGTTCTCAATCTAGTTCCCCGCTTCTCAAGCAACCATACAGTATTCTGCATTGCGTATTTGTTGCAAAAAAGAATTCCCCAAAGGGCTTGTTGAGACATTTCGGATGTGTGTATCTAAATGTTCTTGTTCAAATTCAAAAGTTAGCAAGTAAATCTATAATTTGTGCTAGTTTTCATATATTTTTGTGGGTCATTGGGCCTATTTTACAGCTATAGATGACCCCCAATTTGTAAGGGCGGAACCACCCCTACTAAGTACCCTACCCACGGACACTCGACAGGAAGAATGAGGGTAGTCTGCTGTAAAACTTTTGTGCCCTCGGGCGGACTCCTCAGTGATCCCGCGGCGGGCGGCCGCCGCGGGCGTGAGCCCCGGGCCGTGGAAGTTCCGGCTCAGGCTAGTAGGTGACGGCCCGACGGTGGCGGCCCGGGGGCCCGGCCGCGGCACTGGCGGCAACGTGGCAGAGCGGCGGCCCCGGGGGGGCTGCGGCGATGCCCTCAGGGCCTGGGGGCCCGACGGCCGGCAGTACGCCGGACGGTCCGATCCCGAAGTTCAGGACTGAGCGACAGGGGGGAAACGGGCTGTTGGGCCAGTGGGGGCTCAGAGCCTCCCGGCGTACTCAGAAGTATTCAGTACATTGACACAGTATGATTCCTTGACATTCTATTCATTCACTATTCACATCGTTGATCGCGAAAGACGCGGTAGTTCTTGTGCCCTTTCTCGCTTCTCAGGTCCATGAAGCTCTTCAGCACAAGCTGCAGCTCACAAAGGTGATTGTCGACAAAGAACTTGCGTGTGTAGTCGTTGCTGACGCGAATGTTCAAACAAATGTCCCGGTAACCGCCTGACTTCATCGAGATGTAGCTTTGATCAAACCTGTTCTTAACTCGTGCGATGTAGATCGCTGGGTCGTCTCTGATGATCTCGACGGCTTGCTTGAGCTTGACGATGTCCTCAAACACCAGTGCATACCGCACAATGTCCATGAGACGCGACACGTCACCGTTGTAGGATCGAACTACCTTTTGGATGGCGCGGTGGACGCTCTTGAGCACAGGTCGTCTGATCAAAGCTCTGCTCTCAGGGTCTTCGATGGTCTCTGCCCAGGAGATGTATCGCTTGCCCCCTCCCACCTCCTCGTCCACGAGAAAGAGACATTCGCATCGCGAGCCCAACTCCTTCATCTTCTCGAAGAAGACAGGCTGAATCACGAGAGCTTGCGCATAGAGCTGCTCTAGCGAGTCGATCTTCAGGTGCCAGGGAACAAACGTCACTGTCCTCGTCACCTCAATGATGGACGAAAGATTAGATCCCCGTTGAATCAAACTCGGTCGTCGTTGAGACGTTCCTCCTCTCCGGCTGTTTTCCAACCCGATGGGCGTGCGACGCAAGCTTCCTGCCGTCGACGAACGCGGCAAGTGCTGGACGACCGACGCCTGCACTTCGATCTTGGCGACAATGTCGTTGAGCTCCGCCAAGTTGACTGGGTCTCGCGCAACCTCCTTCCACAGCTGGTGATATTGCTGAATGTCTCGCTCGATCTTCTTGAACGACTGAAAGAGCAGGTACTGTCTCCACACGTAGAAGAGCAGCCAGGCAAAGAAGAGGAACGTGTGGTTCGGTCGCAGTGTGACGAGAGTGATACTCAGGTGCCCTTCCCTCAGGTCGATCAGGAGTGTGTTCATGAAGGATCCAGCGACGCAGAAAACAGGCATCAAGGTCAGCGTGTGCTCTTCTTTGAATTGCATGACAAGTCCATAACCCAGCTCCAAGACGCCCCACAGAAATGATTGCCAGAACCCGAGGGTATCCAGAGGAGTGAACACGGCGATGACAATGTCAACAACTCCTGCCACATGGAACGCGCTGGCAGAGGCTGTCTTGCCCAAGAAGATGAAGCCAGCACAGGCAAGCGCAGCAGTGCCAAAGGTCGCCGTGAGTCTCAGTACCATTCCGATGATCTCACCTACGGCCTCCCATGAGATTCTGAGATCGAAGTGATACCGTTGGTTCCGTGTCCTGGTGATGTTCGCGACCTGAGAGTGACAGAGCTCGGTTGTTGAGCTCAAGGCGCAATCAAACTTTGAAATCAAGGTCCAACGAGCTTCGCTCAAAGCAGTCGGATCCACCTCCAAGCTCTCGTCGCTCACGTGCATTTCAAGAGCTAGAGGATCATGAGAGAAAGAAGAGTTGGATGAACCTGTGTAGAACTCCCATCCATTCACGACAACTTGCCTGTCAAATGAGTAGAAGAATTGAGTTCCTCTCGACGCCACTAAGGTCGGATTGAACCTCTCACAGTCTTTCAAGAAACCTACCCCAGTGATGGATGCATTCTTGACATGGGGGGATCTTACTCGTAGCACAGTGATGCGGGCATGAGAAACATCGTAGCGCCGATTTTTCCAGAGAGTTACGATTGCAAGATTCTTGTTCACGATCCAACTTGCGATCATGATAACACCTGTCGCTATCAGGGCAACCTGAAATAGGCGCTTGCGAATCACATTGCTGAGAGGTCTTGAGGAAAACATTACACTTGCGGTCTTTGCATCTTGGACGCCAGCCTCTGCTGAGTGGATGAGGTAGTCTAAGAAGCCTCCTGGCAACATTCCCTTCCCTGCTATGAGGAGCGGACTTTGAGCGGCGATAGCCGCTCCACTTGAAGCTTCACTCCTGATCCTTGCTTGCATGAAGAAAGAGAATGTTTGCAGAAACTTGCGACCCTGCTTGATGAGCAAGAGAAAGTTGCTTCCGCGCCCTCTGTCGATTCGGCGACTCTGCAGCACAAGCTTCCTGTGAAGGTACTCTTGATGCTTAGCGGGAGATATCAGAGAGTGCATCTCCATCAGAGCAAGACGAATCTCACAGATGTGTCCCAGCAAGTTGGTCTGAATGGCCACGTCGTGAATGAAGCAAATGTTTATAGTGATATCTCGGTACCCGCTGCAAGCGCAGGAGAGGCGATTTCTAATGAAGACAACTTCAATCTCGTGATCTTCCATGATTTGTTTTAAAGCTCCATTCAGGTCTTCCAGGTTGTCAAAGAAGATGCTTTGTCGCACCACGTCAGTCAACTGTGAAACGTCGCCATTCAAGAAAGTTAGGATTTTCTCAACCGACCTTTGAACGTTCTTGATGCTTGAGAAATATACATTTTCAACCACTGGTGAAGATTTATCCAAGTCTTTGTACGGCACATACTCTTTCCCACTGTTGTTGGCGTGCTCATTGCAACAATATCCTCTCCAATCGCTGCCGATCGCGATGACCTTGCGCAAGAAAATTGGAAGCACAACAACTGATCTCGCATACAATTGATCCAAATTTTGCACAGGAAAGGAGGGCACAGAGTCTGTAAAAGAGCTGACTGAAATCGAGATCATCGAGTCGATCGGGTGTATTTTCGAGCTCCTCGAGCTCCTGCGACTCAGTTTACCGGCAGAAGGCTGCTCCATCAGAGATGTCGGCATCATGAAAGTATGCTTGCAGTTTGGAATAGACTTGGTTGGATACACGGCGAAGAAGTCATTCAACACTCGGTCAGTTTCTTGAAGCAAAGCTTGCACTTCAGGTCTCGCCCTGATTGTTTGCCAAGCAGAATCGAATTGTGCCGCATCTTCTTTCATCTCTTTCGAGGCAGTTGCTTTACGCGAAATTTTCTTCACTAGTGCCAGAGTGAACAATCCCAGAGTAACCAGTAAATATACCCTGAATGTTTTGTTCAAACCATGAGCTATCACTCTGATACACAGAGAAGCTTCAATCAGCTCAAGAACAAACGCCTCCATGAATAGAATGGGGCAAGGAAAAATGAAAATGGTCTGTTGCATGCCATCAGATATCGTCAGCAATACAAACAAAGATCAGACTCACCACAAAGAACGATACCAAGCAATCATATGCCGCAAAATTAGAAGAATTCCCGTTCGATCCAATGTAAAGGATGAGGTTTCCAATGCCATCAATCAAGCCGGAATAAGCAATTATCTACAACATTACAACGTGTTAAAGGTAAGATATCATGAAGAAAAGTAGTCGTTTACCCGTTTTGGAGCCCTAGTGCCTCCGTAATAAGCAAACATTGCAGACAAAATCAATGCAAATCCTTGCACCTCCAACAGAACGAAATGGAGATTTTCGTCCCAAGCACAACTTGCCAGACTGAAGTCAATCCATGTTGGATTTCTTTGATAAGGAGTCTGGATCAGATCTGTATTGACCTTTACCAACCGATGTGGGTAATCATGATAGGGCATTGACATCAGGTATGCATTGACAACCAAGTAGCATCCAACAATGAACGAGATTGCTTGAAACATAGTGTGCGCATAAAGAGCAGTTAAAGGTTCTCTGTAGAAGAATGTGGAAAGCAAGCTCTTCTTGTACAGGTCTTGTAAACCGAGCTTGGAGTTCAGGTGATCTCCTGGCTCAAGCATGTACAACAAGGTGAAGTGCTCTTTCAGTTGTGCATCGAGCAACCTTATCGGATCTTGCTGAGAACAAGAGTTGTCATTATTCATCGGGGTTTGAGGTAAGGAATCGATCTCCATTGCTCTGGCTGAGCTGTATACTCAAGTAAAGGGCACATCATAATGCACGTTTGTAGCCTTCCGCACAGCCATCGTCGTCTGATACAAACAAGCGTCAGTTTGTCATCACGAGAAGCATATTACGATTCATGAATTCATTCGTTATGATCGAGTGCGTGGTATACAGTGTCATAGATTACACACACGGTTGTACCATCCCTATCAGGGACAGTGACTCATCCAACTGCTTATCTGCTTCCTCATCCGTTTGCTCGTCTACTTCTTAAATCCATGGTGTGTTCACACATATCTGAATCTAAACCTCATCATCGTCTCTCTCGTCCACATGGCGCTATCCCTTCCATTCCCCTCCCAAGGAGCCTGCATCCCCTTGCAGTTGCGGTTCCTTCATTTCGCCGCGGTCTCTTCACTAATAATGCACGGCTAAAATCCTTATAAAAGAGCAGGAGCTAAAAATAAAAGGGTTCTGACAGTCAAATGTTCAGGGGACTTCCGACTCACCGCTGTCTTCCTGATCAATTCATAGGAGAGCTTCTAATACGATCTGCTGCCCCCATATTACCAGCTATGCCTTTTGGACACTTTCAGATTTGACTAAAAGAATTCATCATCATCCTGTTGAGCTGCTGATGGCTCCATTGTTGCCTTGATGGTACCGCTACCCCCATCAACCTGCGAGAGAGAAGGGGTAGTGTACGGACAAGGGGACCATCCTGCGCGCAGTTTTAAAAGTGAATGAAGAGATCTCTTCTATTCACTGTGTCCTCGTACTGATTTTTAACTTAACTTTGAGTAAAGCATTGAGCTAGAGGTCGGACATCTCCTTCACTCAAAGTCGCGGTTTTTAGTTAAATCATCACAGTGAGTCTTTTAACTCAACTTTCAGTACTGATTTGAAAAGTTTAAGTTAAAACTGGTTCAGTCACCAGGCTCCGAAGTCCCGGGCCGGGCGGGAGGCATTACGTAATGTCGGCCGAGGCAGTCCGAGGCACACACGGGCCCCGGGCTCCGAAGCTTTACGTGAGGCAGACGTCTAATGGCAGCGAACTTCCGAATACTCAAAGATGTGGTGGCTGGCGGATCGCTCGGCGAACAAGGAAACCCCCGGGCCGGGGCAGCGCTGGACTCCGACGGCTCTCGGCCTCGCAAGACCGTACGTCTCAGGTGATCCGACTTGCAAACGCATCCGGTCCAGGATCTTTCGTCAGCTCAAGGCCTCCCTGTCCTTTATGTCCTGAGTTGGACCATTCCCCCGCCGCGCATATAGTATGGCCGCCGCTGAAGGAATGAGATAGACGCGTACCGGAATGCATCCGCGATGATGGCAGTGACGTTGTAATGTTGTAGATAAGCCAGCTGGGACATAAAGCCTTTCTCCTTACGAGTGCTGGGGCCGTGGGCATTCAATCATGAGCCTGTTCCTATTTCATACTACAACCTGAAGTTCATGTCACTGTCAAACCCCTTGCGCAGCCGAATATCATGCCACCATCGTGGATTCCGCGTACTCTTTGCTGCTCATGGCGAATGTATCGTGTTGAGCTCGCCAAACTTGCAAACACTCGTTGCTTAGACCCTGATGATAGCTTGTTCCATTCGAATTCTTCGATTGAGACAACAAGCCTGTCGACCGGCTGGCTCACGCTCCAAAGAGGTGATCTCACTCAGTTGGAGCCTTCGATTCGCAGCGAGCGATTCGCTCCCTGTGTTCATCTCCTCGCTTGCTTCATCCACCCGGACCTGGAGTCAAATAGGGAAAGGAGAAACTTAGTAGCCAGTCATCACGGCGATCAATGCCTACCCAAACCCAAACATCAGTTAGTTCGAGCTGAGAGCGAAGCAAGACAAGCCAGGCAAAGTAGGGATCTTGGCGGAGGTCACCCACCTCCTCCGACTCAATGAAATGAGGACTAGCCCTGTTGGAATTGGCCCCGAATGCGGGAGCAGGCAAGAGTCGAGGGGCGACCGGGCAGGGCAAAGTGAAACCTCTGATGTCTTGGTAAGGAGTACAGCTACATGCGGGAAATGTACCATGAAAGAGGTTTAGTCATTTTGCGACTGTATTGACCCATTCTAGAAACATGGCCATTCACGGCGACTGCAAAGAGCCCTGGGCCTTTGGAACACAGCGGCCCTAACGAAACGCTTGTGAGCATCAGGGGCCTTCAAGTGAGATCAAGACGTCAGGAGGATCTACTTCGATGGCCGCTGATCATCGTCGGCTCGTAAACCATCGCTCCTGCTCTCAGAGGTCCGGGGGGAACACGAATCATCACAACGATCGGCGTCCTTGACAAGTCGCTGGGCACGCATCCGTGAAAGGAGGAGAGACGAGGGTTAGTGCCCGTGCGAAAGGCTGTGGAGATGGGGTATTGTCAGTGTTGGTATTGGGGATGTATTTATTCAAGGCACTCCATCCTCACCGCGGGTCCACCCGTACTTTGTAAGTATACCTCTGTTTTCCACATTCCTGATTCTGAACGTGTAGTGATTCTCCTTTGGAACGACAAATACAACCTCAACCTTCCAGGTCCCCCCTTCCTCAATGCCCAAAGATTGCAGACAATCATACATGTACCGCAATTTCAGGTCATGTGTCTCCGCAATAGTTATCTGTATGAAGCGCACCAGCTTGTCATTCGAGTCCACAAACCTTGCTTTCCCTTGCTTCAGAGTACCATAAAAGCTCTTGGAGCAAGCGTCTCTGACTCGCCTTCTTCCTCTGACCTGAGGGTTACCTGCAGCCCAGCCTCGCTCGTCCTATCCGAGCAAAGAACAGCATCTCAAACAAAATCCCCCGAAGAGAAGGATTCTCAGTCATGCCAGGGAGCTCCTCAATCTTCCTCACAAACGATTCTCCGAGCTTCTTTGCCAGCTCCCTAGCAACAAACCTGCCGCGACAAAAGCCCAGTACACTTGGAGTCCCATTCGATACTTCCCATGCAGCCGATGGACAAACTTTTTTGAACGGTCGCCCATGCTCTTGTCAAAGAGCGCCTGGTAATCAGAGACAAAGTCCATCGCTGCAAGGAGATCTTGGATCGCTTGATCTGTCTTTCATCATTCAGTTCGAACATATGGCGGCAAGAGCCTCCAGCAACATCTAACCTCCATTCCATCACACTAGCCACACTCATGTAGAACTTGTCGTACGTAATGGCCTCCAAATACTCCTCAGTCCAGTGTCCACGAGTACACCATCAACTCCTCTACCTTCTCAATTCTATCTAGCTCGATATTTTTCTTTGCTCGAGAAATCATCGACGTCGTGGTCACAACCCGCCGGTTGTTCCGGTCCTCTTCTTGCTCCGGGACCATCCTCTAAGGACTCTTCTTAGCGACTCCTCTGCACCATTGCGTGGCAAGTCAGCAATTCTCAAAACTCATTCATCGACTTGTAGCACTTGAACTGAATTCCAATTCCACATCCGCACGCACATCACCATCCATCCCTCCTCTATACTCAGCGATTGTACAAAGGACATGGTCGTCATCGACTTCCCCATCCCTGGAGGGCCTAGTAGGATCCAACCCAGACGCCCGGCCTCACACACTCTCTCCTCAATGAAATGCCACCACTCATTGAAGCATTTTCCTGCAGTAGAGCATCCGCTGCCTTTCTTGTCCAGAGCTGTCCTGATCCCAAAACGATCCACTTGTCCTTCTCCTGGTACCCTACCGCGTCCCCTCCCTCTCGGAGACCTCTCCAACCTGCTCGAAGGTCCTCCTCCTTCTTTCGTAGGTTCTCCTTCTCCTTCTCTAGTTTCTCCTCCTGGTCCGCAAGGTCCTGCAGAACATCCTTCCAGTGTTCCTTGTTTTCCCGTTCGAGATGAAATTTCCGCCTTGCCTCTGCCCTCTTCTCTCGAAGGTCCTCCTTCTCTCGAAGAACCCTCTTCTTGTCCTGCTCTTGTCTCTTGCTCTTACGCGCGGGTTGCTCATCGTCACCCTCATCTTGTCTGCCGTGCCGAGTTTGGCCCGGGCATGTGAGCCCCCACGACGGTGTACGACCAGGCAACTTCGTCGTCCGAACGTTGAACCAGGCACTGGCTAGTACGCTGGGCGGCACTCCGGCTGCTGGGCACTGCGGCAGCGCTGGATGTTAGATGGCCCGGCGGCCGCTCTCGCCGAGTCGGCCACGAGTCCGACGGTCGGCCGGACCGCCTGGCCGGCCGACGGCGGCGCGGCCGGGAGTGACTGCAAGATCACTCAGCGAAGGCCGGGCCGGCGGCCCGCCGGCCGCCCGGGCTCGAAATCCGGTCACCCTCCGAGCCTCATCCCCCCATGACTGCACGGGTGGGATCCTGGGTGGGATCAGGGGTCTGATGCTGGCTCTGATCAGGGGTGGTTTAGTGGTTAGAGGGATGGAGGGGAGAAGGGGTGGTATGAAAATACATTGTTTGAATACGATTGGAGGGGTGGATGAAAATTTGACAGGGAAAGCGTTCAGAAAGGTGGGTCCAGCAGTCTTAGGGTACTGCGTCATAGGATCTTCGATGAGACTCCTGGTAGGTACCATAAATTTACTTGATAGAGCTCTTTTAATATATTACATGAAAGAGACGACTGTTATTCAACGACAGGTTGGACAAAGCTTCGGGGGGAGGGGGTTATTTCATGAGGGGTATGGGCACTCAAATATTTTTGGGTGATCATGGGTGGGGTATGTTGATGGTCGGGTGGGGTATCTAGAAGGGGGTTGGGGAGGGGGGTTGGAAGCAAGGCGGAGAGGAAGATAGGAACAAGAGGCAGGGGAAGGCATCGAAGTACACTGCCGGAGGGACGAGAAGCATAGAAGTTCTCGTGGGGAGCAAGAGCAAGAGGGAAGTCGACATCAGATCGAGTGGACAAGGCTGTCATGTCTTACTCTGCCAGCGAGTCTCGAGTACGAGAGGAGCTTTCTGCGCTGCAGGCTGCTGGTGATGAGCTCAGTCAGAAAGCGGCTGCTGCCCTGCAGACTCTTCTGGACGATCTGGCACAGGCGCATGCAGATGCAGCATCAGCAACTCTCAACAACGAGCAGCGATTCCATCAGCTTGAGCAAGAGACTATCACTGCCCGCTGTGAGGCTGAAGCGAGTGTAAAACTCAAGGATGAAGCCCTCAAGCAGAAGCAGCAATTGCAGGATCAGGTTGCCGGCTTGAACAACGAAATATCTTCCATGCAGAAAAAGATCAATGACACGAATGCCGAGTTGCAGCGTGTCAATGCACAGCTGCAAGAAGTGAAGAGAGACAAGGACGAGCTTGTGTGGACACATGAACGCAGGAGCCAGGTGCTTCAACCCCTGATAGACTTCTCCTTCTCTGCTCACATGCTCGTTTGCAGGAAGCTGAAAAGGCGAAAGAGGAAGCAAACCAGCTGCGAAAGAGGAGCTCAGAGCAAGCGCAGGAGAGGCAGCAGCTGCTGCTTCAGATCGAGGAAATCCGCGACAGTAGTCTCAAGACTCAGGCATCTTCTTGACAAGAATGTGGCACCGTCTCTGATTAGTTGATTTGTATAGAGCGAACTGAATTCAGCTCTGACGAAGCTCAAGCACGCGGAGTCCGAGCTTTCCTTCGTCAGCAACAACTTGAGTGAGAAAACGCACGAGCTCTCTAAGCTATCCACGGAATCTCACTCGAGGGTAAGATATGAGTCCTGGCAGCATGTTTGCTGTGACTTCGCTTCTCAGATCTCACGCCTCGAGCGAGAACTTGCTGCTGAAAAGACCGAAGTCTCTCGTCTGAATACTGTCGCGGAGGAGTGGAAAAAGTCCTGCAAAGAGCAGGTTCATAGTTGGTGCAACGCCAGTGTGTTTCTGAGAACGTCATGTACAGGAAGAAGCATACAGAAACCAGATCGAGAAGGCTCAAACCGTCACGCAAGAGTTCAATGCAACCAAGGCTCTCCTTGAATCAGATCTTGACAATAAGAACAAGTTGTTGAATTTGGCCAAAAGTGCACAAGAAGACAGCGACAAAGAAATCGCAAAGCTACAATCTATGAATACCGCTCATCTTAATCGAGTCCGGGTACACCAGCTTTATTCACGCAGTGCAAGTCTTAGTGTGTCTGAATCATGGATTGCTCAGGTTGCGGAAGAAACTCTTGCCAAAGAGAAAAGTGAGGCTGCCACGAAGATTGCAGAGCTCGAGAACAGATTAAAGGAAGCAGAGAAGACCCGAACTGAGTATCAGGTAAAGACCAGCCTGTCTTCCGTTTGCGCATGCCAGCTCATCTTCATTTCAGACGAAAGTCAACGAGTTGAGATCTGTGGGACAGAATGTACTTGGCTCACCGTCTATGATCTTTTCCCTCATCTTGACTTTGCTTATAGGGAGAGGGCAACAATGAACTTCTCGAGAAGATCTTGACAAGCTCTCCAGCTGCAGTTGCTTCTGAATTTGTTCGTGATGGCCGCATTGCTGAAATCTACAAGGTCAGACGTCACCAAGGTTTTCCAGGTCTAAATATCGTACCTTCTTTAGGTCCTGGAGGATACATGCGAATTGCTACACAGAGAGCGACATGAGCGAGTGCAAGCTGAAGCTTGTCTCTCTGAAGTGGTCAAGGAGCTGCAAGATAAGGGCCCTGCTATTCTCAGGCAAAGGCAGGAATGGGAAAGCGCAGTGCAGGTTTACTGATCGCGAATTTTGTTGTGGTGTCAAAATGAGCTTACCCTGTTCTCAGGCCAATCAAGTTACCAATCACAAGCTAGAGGTAGCTCTTGGTGAACTACAAGAAATGAAAGCAGCCATGGAATTTCTGCGCCTTCAGGTTTCTGGAATAAAAGCTCTTTTTGAATTGATTTAACGATTTTTGCTCTCAGCGCGAGCGAAGCATGTCTGATGCTGCTTCATTGGAACGGCAAAACAAAGATCTCACTATGCAATGTCGTGCTCTATTGGTATCTCATGTTCAACTTCCATTTCATTTTGGTTATGCGATTTTCAGCGAGAAGTGGAAGAGCTGAGAAATCAGCTTGCGTCACCTGCTGTTCAGCGTGCGTTGGTCAGGAGTAGTTCGCAGGGACAGAACCAAGGCACACCCAACATTGATGAGAACAACATGCCCGAAGTTGGAACTGGAGTAGATGCTCAGAATTTCATCACACAACATCTTGTGATTTATAAGAATGTAAATCAACTTCAGGAACAGAACCAGAAGCTTCTGAAGGTGCACTTGATTTGTAGATTATGTTTTGATTCTGATTCATGTTCCTCTTCAGGTCGTTCGCCAACTAAGTGCTGACAACGAGAGAGAAACAGAGAAGATGATGCAACAGCTGCGCGTGAGTTCAACATCTTGGATTTCATCTTCTTTTGATTCACTTTTGCGTAGGAGGAATATGGTAATAAGATAGACGTGGCTCTAAAGGAGGTAAGTTACATGTGACATGACACCAAAGGACACTGATTGACTGGTTTGGTACAGGTCCAGGAGATCCGACAGGAACGCCAGGAGCTCGAAACACGTGTTGCCAACCTTGTGCAACAAAGAGACATGTACAGAATTCTTCTTGCAGAGGCGGACAGGTCTGCTATTGGAGAAGCCATGGGAGAGCAGAGCTCAGCAGCAGTTGGAATCTCAACTATTTCAGAGGTGATGTCTCCCGGCTCAAGTGGAGTGAGGACCACAAAGGACGCAATCAAGATGTTAGAGCAAGAGAACAACGAGCTCAAGGAGAGAAATGAGGCTGCCTTGTCCCTCCTTCGCTCTGAGTTAGCGACTGCACAAGATGCAAAGTTGAAGGTAACAACCAGTCTAGATCCCTCGTGTCTCTCTCTTGTTGTAACATACCTACTGCAGGCTGAACAGCGTGCTGCACAGTCTGAGAGCGATGCCTCGTTCCTCCGGGACAGGTGAAATCTCTTATCTAGCTTGGTTCTACATTCTGGAATTAAGCGGTATTTCTCAGACACAAATCACTCCAGTCTACCATGGACTCGATGAATACTGAGATTACGGGGCTCAGAGCCAAGATCTCTGAGCTCTCCATGAATGTCTCGTCATATGAACGCAAAGTTTCGGATCAGCAGACTGAACTCTTGAATGTCCGTTGGGAGAAGCAGAAGGAGAGTGATTCTAAGGTGAGCCTGACTGTTTTTATCCATAATCTGAGCCAATGACTGTCGTATTGAATCTTTCGTTTCCGTAGATTACAGCAGAGACGTCTCTGAAGCACTCAGAGGCCAAGATCAATCAGCTCAACCAGGTACCTTTTTCATGACTCGACGTGTTGTGCTCAATACATGCAGGAAATTGAAGCAATCAAGAATGAAAAGAATCAAGTATTGCTCATTCCTTCCCTCCAGTTGCTTGCTCACAAATTTGCTCAGATGCAAAGACTCCTAAACCAGATTTCGATGTCAAGAGATGAAGATCAGCGACGATGGTCGGAGGACCTGAAACGAATGAGTGAAGACTTGGAAAGAAAGGAGAAGGATCTCACAGACCTTCGCAGCGAGGTAGATTCTCCTCTGATTTTCAGATTTGATCATGTATCGATTTTCAGGTTGCCAAAGAAAGATCGAAGCTTGATGAAATGAGGGTAGCTTATGAGTACAAGATTGGAGAATTGCGAGCGGTGAGACGTTGAAGATCGAAGAGTTTTCCTGTCATCTGATTTGGTCTGGAAGTCCATGAGAAAGTCAGATGAAGAAATGGCTCATTTGCGTGAAGATAACATCAAGCTGGAAAGTGCTGCGAAGGTTGAAAATGAGAATCATTTGATCTGAGTGTAATTGTTTTTGATCGAATACTTCCTTTACAGAACTCTCAAGAAAAGGCGGACTTTTTCCAGAAGCAGCTCGAGTCTGCAGAGTCAAGATTCAGAGAAGCTCTTTATCAACAGCAGCAGTCAAGATGTGATGATCCCTTCACTGATCCCTTTCTCCTGACAAATCTCGAACAGCACTCGCAATCGAGGATTCTTCGAATCAGGTTCTCCACACATAGGAGAAATTCAAGGTAGATGACGCTTTCTCAGAACCAGATTGCAGCCCCATCGACCAGCCTTGAATCAACAGAAGCTAGTCAAGGATCGCGATACAGAATTGTGATTCTGCTTTTTATGGATGACCTTGAGATTGAAAGATACTTCAACAGGCAGAGAACGATATTGCAGCACTGAAGAGTGAGATTGAACAGTTGAAACACGTCTGCCTCTTTTGTTTTCTCACGACTCCTTTGACTTTCCCTTCCAGCATCGCGACAACTGGAAGTCGATTGCAACGCAGGTAAATAATCGTGGCAAACATAGAGCTTCCAATGCAATAGCATTTATCATGAAGGACCTGCAGTCTCCATGTAGGATTCTGATGTTGATCGTCTCCAGCATGAGCAGGAGCTTACGACTCTCCGCCAGCATCTCGACACTAGCAGGGTAATCGATGAGTTTCAATGGATAGGACAGGCAGAATCTTATGCATACCTACAGGAGAGGGCAGAGAAAGAAAGGGCAGAGCTTGAGGTATCCATCTCACACAGACACCAGTCTTGGTCAACTTTCTCTTCTTGATCCGGATTTCAGGCCCTCCTCTCCGAGAAGACCACCCTCTTAGCACAAAGACAGGAGGTACCTGCAACCTTGCTTCGTGACCGACTGCTGACGTCATGTTTAGGCCATTTCCAAATTGACCGAGCAGGTTTCACATCTTGTGAAAACATTCTTCCAGGGCGCTAGTGACCGAGTGAAAGGTTCGGACTGCGACTTCTGAACGAGATCAGCTTCAGCAGCAAGTCGACACCCGAGAAGGAGGCTTGAAGGCCCAGATCAACCAGGTTGGCATCTGCAGTTAAAAAGGATGTGCAAATGACATGGACTCAGCTGGAGCTGGAGCGAGATGGTCTTCGTGAACGATACAAGCTGAGCGTGGAAGAAAACGAGCGACTTGATGAAATGAGAAAGCAGGTCGGTACTTGTCTGCTGTCTGAGGGACAGATGATGATGAAAGCAGGCCCTTGCAGATTACGAGCGAGAAGTGTCGCAAGTATAAAACTCCTGGTTCTCCAAAGAAATGAGATTGATAATGTTCTGTGCTCAGCATGCCTCCAAGCTGGAGGAACTGCGGCAGATCCGCTCTCGGCTTGGGTCAGTCATGATCAAGCTCGTTGGTAGCAGACGATGTGACATGAATGTTCAGAGAGGTCGAGGTTCAACTCAAAGAATCCCAGACAGCTCTCGAAGTGCGTCATTCCCATCTCATATCGAGTTGCCTGTAAAGGTAATTTTTCTAAAAGGCCTCCAATGGCGAGACTGCTCGCGAGACTGGTCGACTGAAAGAAGAAAACAGAAATCTTCAGGTACGATCATTATCTCACCCTGTTTACCTCCTTGTCTCTAAAATACTATTATCTAGTTGCGCATTCAAGATTTGGAGCAGAAGGTAAATTCCTCCTGACACAATTCTTGTTATACTGACTGTGCAAAAAGATCCAAGACCTCGATGAAAGAAACACTCTGTTGGATTCACAGGCATTGAACAGGCTCTTGGAAACTTTCGATCGGTCACACTGTGCACTTGCAGCTCGCAAAGATTGACAAGGAGAAGGAAGAACGTCTGCTGTCTTTGTCGGCCTCCATCTCGAATGCGGGTATGGCATGCTGCATGTGAATTGGACGTTGACGTGGAGACGAAGATGAGAGCATGGAGCTTCAAGATGACAATGACAAGCAGATGCGAGAGATGCGAGAGCATCTCAGACGGTATGGAAGCATCCGAACCTGTGAGTTGGGCCCTTGCTCACTTTATTCCCATCTCAGGTTGAAACACAAGCTCGACCTGGCAGAAGCTAGGTCATCCCGATTGTTTTATCAACCTCGTTGCCTGAAGTAGACGTTTGCAAGGTTGCTTGACTCCGAACAAGAAGCTGCTCGGGCCAAGCAGGTGATTTTGATGCGTCTGACGTGCAAAGACATGAATGCCTGGGTAGCGTGCAGACCATGCGAATCGAGAGTTGGCGGCGGCGCAATCTAGACTGCAGGTGATGAAGGATACAGATAAACGAGCTGTCCCATAACAATTCATGTCTTGCAGATCGAATTGGAGCGCAACAGCTCAATTCTCAACACCGAGAGTCAGTTCCAACACCTTCAGGAACAAGTTCGCAGGTTTACTGATGATCTTCAAAGGAATATGCCTTGATTACGTGCTCCTGCGCAGCTTGAGCATCTTCAAGGAGAGCAACGCTCAACTTCGAACTGAAGCAAAGGAAGCCCAGGACAAATGCAACGTATTTCGTTGGGCTCGAGTGTTTTGATTTGATGACAACGGTTCAATCAGGCCCTTGAGAACAAGTTGAAGGAACTTGAATCTTCGATCATGCCGCTCAAGCAGGTTTCGAGCAGTGAAATGTTTCGGAAGATCTCGTGATGTAATGTCAAACAAAGAGCATTGCGAAGCTGGAGGCGGACAAGAACGTCCTCGACTCGGAGAAGAAAATGGTCTCTCCTTGCATACCTGAAGAAATTTTTCAGTGACTCCTTGTGCAGCTTGATCAGCAATGCGCGAGATGGCGAGAGAGAGTGACGGAGCTGTCCAACAAGGTTGAAGGATCCAAGTATCACTGCTGGACTGATGCTGGTCATAGTTTGGTGGTGGTGGAATAGATATCAGCGAGCATGAGAAAGTGCGAAGTGAGCTCGAGAAGGTTGCACAATTTCAAGTGAAATCTCGTGATTGTTAATGCCTTGACGACTTTATTTCCAAAGGCGAAGAACGATTTGAAAGATGCGCAAGCTAAACTTGTTGCGATGGTTGGAGCTTTGACTTCTATATCGAAGAATGTCTCCTAACTGTCACTTCTTCAGACGCAAAAAGAGTCATCTGCCAGACAAGCACTGGCTGAGGCCAACACGAAATTGAAGAATGCACTTGTAGGATAGTTGATGGATCAAGGTCGATTGTAACAAGTTGATTCCAGGAGGCGGAAAAAACTGCGCAGACACAAATAGAGCAGGTAAAGATTATCATAAGTATGCTCGGAAAGCCTAGAAGCTGACACATGCTCCAACAGCTCCAAACAGAAAGCTCCAAGGCAACTCCTATCACCGTGGAGGTCTGACCATTGATACGATCTTTTTCCATCTTTCCATGAATTTTTTCAAAAGGCGATCCGTGCGCATGAAGAGTTTAAGAAGATGGAGGAGGCAAGACGTGAGGCTGTTCACCGCTGCAAACAGGTCCGCTCCTACCTCTCGCGCCTCATCTCTATTCCTGATCTCTCCCAGTTCTTGGACAAGAACCAACGTCAGAAAGACGAGTTGAAGAAGCAGGTAGAGTGAATGTATACCTGATGTGCTCTTTTTCTGAATCGAAACTTCTTGTCAGGCCGACGAGCTTCAGAAAATGCGCGATGAAAAGAGCAGCCTCAAGGTTCCTAGTCCATCTTTTTCCGACGAAGCTCAACAGAGGCTGCAGGAGCAGATTGTCCAGGAGCTCGGACAGCAGCAGTCGTCCAACGTCGAGCCTGTGAGGGCATCGCGTGTTTTCTGCACCGACTGAAGTTCTGTGTGTGTTCAGTTGAAGGCTCAGCTTGCAGAGTCCAAGCAGGAGGTCAACCAGCGGAGCGACGGAGGCCTTGATTGACTCTTGGACGCAGATCGAATCCCTCAAGGCAGAGTGCGAGACTCTGAAATCCAACCTTACAAAACTTGAGGTATTGACGGGAAATGTCCCAGCTCGTTGTTCTGACGTGTTTTCGTAGAGCGAGAGGGATCAACTCCAGCTCACTGTCCAGCAGAAGGAGACTGAGATCAACAACTTGAAGAGCAAGGTCAGTCGGCTCCCCATTGAGTCCGCATATTTACTTTATGAGCAGGCAAATCCAGCACCAGACACTGAGGTCTTGCGCGCTTGAACTCTCTTGTTGTTCGTTCACTGATATGCAATCGGCAATGGCAGTTGCAGAAGCAGCTTGATGAGGCGAAGAAAGAGGTACAGCCATTCCATGACTGTCGAGGATTTGTAGGGCTGACTTTGGTCAAGGTGGAGAAAGTGAAGGCAGAGAGGGAGTCCCTGCAGGTTGGCCCTATGGCAGCATCGGGAAGAATCCAGTCTGATGATCGAAACCCTCAGGCGGAGATGAAGCAGATCGTCTCGGGCCTTGAGAGCTCCAAGGCTAAGGTCGATGATCCTGCTTCCTTGTCTTCGCTCGGAGGCTCAGTGTCGACCCAACAGGACAACAAGATGCACTCTGACCGCGCCAACACGCTCCTGCGACAGATCAAGGAGCTCAAGAGCAACGATGCCACACTCAAGTCCAAGATCGCGAGCTTGGAGAAGGAGGTGCGTACAGTTGTTTGCGCTTCCATGTTGATGCTCCTTCAGCTCGATGCCTTCAAGTCGGCAGCAGCTCAGCAGCCGAAGGAGGTTGTTCAGCAGGAGAGTGCAAGTACCGCAGGAAAAAGGACGGCAGGGCACGACCAGGACGCGAGCTCCACTTCTACCAAGCGACACAAGCCCAGCGAGCAGGTGGGACGCCTGCTGGGACTTTCCAGAATATGTGCTGATGTTCGCTCTGCAGAGTGAAATCGCAAGTGAGCCCGCGCAAGCATCTGTACAGCCAACTGCGACATCGCAGAAAGACGACAACGTAATCTCTGCTTCCACGCCCTTGACCTTTCCGTGATCCCTCCCATTCCTCCCTCCCCTCTCTCCTCCTCTCTCCCACTTGCTGGTGAATGATTTTCGCTCGAAGCTGCCCGGCGCTATAGCGCAAGAAGCGGTCGCGCCGCCCTCTGAGGTTCAACCAACTGCTGAGGAGGGAGAAGTTGGCCAAGAGGCGACAGAGAGCGGGCAAGAAATTACTGAGAGCGGCCATGAGGCGACGGAGGGCAGCGGACACGAGGCCACTGAGACAGGCCAGGAGGTGGCAGAAGGCGGTCAGGAGGGAGCAGAGGAATCATCCGACCCGTCCTCTCTTGGCGAACGAGAAGGAGGAGCCGGACCTCATGATGTAGTTCTTGCTGAGGGGACGCCTGCTGATACTACTGAGGAAGGGACGACCGAAGAACCTGGCGTCCTGGCCGCTGACGAGGAGGGAAATTTTCCGGCGGGAGACGCCGAGTCTCTGGAAGACGGAGAGGTGAGGAGGAAGAGACTTGAATGCGCCGACGAGTGAGAGGACCTCGCAGGGGAGCGACAACGAGGGTGCAGGGGAGATGGACACAGGGAACGAGAGGATGCAGGAGCAGACCGAGCTCTCCTCTGTCGAGATGCAGGCGCATCATGGAGAGGAAGAGGCGCATGGGATGGAGGGTGATGAAGAGCACATCGTGGAGGAAGGGGCCGCAGGGTACGAGGGCGGACGATGGAAATGCTGTGCGCTAACAGTCTGGGCAGGGGCCAGGAGGACGTGGAGGAGCTGCTGTCGGCAGGCGAGGAGATGGCGGTCGAGGGAGAGGGAGAGGGAGAGGGGGACATGGAGGGCGCGGGGATGGCTGACGACCTGGCGCCGGTGCGAGGAGCTTGATGTTGTAAAGAGGTAATTTACATGTTGGCAGGACCTGGAGGCAATGGAAGACTCTCACGCTCCTTTCGGCGACGAAGATCAGGGGACCAAGGACGAGTTCCTGTCGTAGAGGAGGCTGTTGCTGTTGCTGTTGCTGTTGCCGTTATTGCCTCATATCAGCATCTTCTGCTTCCCATGAAGAGAATTCCGCTGCAGGAGCAAATCAGCATGGTTGCCTGCCGTCGCGCCACTCTCACCAGATGATCGTGCAGGAAGTCCAGCTCATGTTGCAGTCTCATGTTGTCAGCCTGCGGCCAGTCAAGAGGGCTGACTGGACTCCCGAGGGCACTTACGTGCTGAGAGTGGAGATGCTGGTGGACGATGGCAGGAAGGAAGCGATGCTTGAGGATGTCCTGCATCTTCTGGTAGCAGACACTGCATGTCACCTCGCCCTCCTGGCTGCTCCTGTCCGAGGTTGTCAAGTTGCGATGAAACTCATCATTGGAGTCACTCACCGCTCCATCTCAGTCTCCTCGTCCTGCGGAGCAGGCGCAGACAGCTTCACATCGTGCCGGGCTCCGCCCTGCTCCTTCCACTGGGATGCAAAGTGCGACTCACTGTGTGCGTGCTCGCCTTCAAGGATGATGATCCTCCTGCCGCGAGGCTCTGAGTGCGAGTAGAATTTGTCGACAGATTCTTGCAGCAGCGAGCACGTAACCTCAAAACAAAGTGTCAAGAGAAGCCGGCATTTAGATGTAAGGATACTTCCAGGTCGCGAAGAGACTTTGCGATGGCATCAATCAAGAGTCGATCCTGCCCATCGATGACAGGCGGCTTGTGGACAGTTGGCTTGTGAGCTGGCTCGACACAACCTGAACATCATCATCCCTTGTAGACCTGACTGAAACGCTCACGTGGAATTCCCGGAGAGTGTTCTACCCAGAGGGCATATTCCAGCTCCTCGATCCTGTGGTTGGCGGAGGAAAGCGCGAGCTTGCACTCCTTGGAGCGATTGAGAAGACTGGAAGCAAGTCTAAATCAACTAACCTCGAGCTCTCCTTCAGCTTCTTGCAGTTCGACCTGACAACATCTATGACTTCCTTGCGACATCAAGATTCCTTATCTTACCAGCCTGTCTTCTGCCGCTGAGGTCGCAATCTTAAGTTGTTCCATGAGGGCTGTAAAGACTAAGTGAGATGAGAGAATAACATGTCAGGTCGCAAGACCCAGGTTCAGCCGGTACTGCTTCTCACATTCGCCCTCCAAGCGCAAGACTTCGCTATACCAGTCGAACTGACTGTTGGTGAAAGAGAGGCCTGTGCGCAAACACTCAGCGTCTTCTTCTGCAGTTCCTCGCAACTTTCCATCGCAGGACTTGATACGCTCTATCGGAGCTTCCAACTCGAGGACGAGAACTTCCGATCCATGCATGGTGCAGTGAACGAATGGAGCCAAGTCTGAACTGCTCGGAGAGATAGGTGACTGGTTGTTTTGACTTGTAGAATTCAATTCTTTCCCAGCAAGGATCGTCTTGGGCGTCGGAGACCTTCCTCTTCTTCCCTCTACTTTCGGCATCTCTGCGTCTTCACCCTCACCTTCCCTTGCTGCACATCAGCAAAGTTGTTCTATCCTTCCGTTACTTGTTGTCGACACCTGTCAGCGAGTGAGCCCCTTTTTCACGCTTTCATGCATGCAGCCAATAGATCCTCATTGATGCATGCGTTCACTCTCATACAGCCCATCTTCATCAGCAGTTTGACCTCTCACTCAATCTCTGTCTCGTGCTCTCTTCGTCAAAGGGCCGACTTTGTTGCCTTGTGTTCTCGTTCCCTACAACTACCAACACACGTGATAGTAACTTCCCTCAGATTCTTTTGAACCGCCTCAGTCCTACCTCAATCTCCTGAAAACTTCATCCTACGAGCTCTATCTAGACTCAATCATCTCAGCTCCTTCACCTTGGGCTCATCTTATCCCTCAATGTCGGGATCATCGCACAAACCACAACTCTAGTCACACCGAACACGTCATGCTCTCCTGTTCTCAATCTCTCTTCTACAAGAACTTGTTCAGCCCTTCATCTCTCCATGCTCTCACTTCTCTTGCACTTCCTCCCTGCCCTCGCCCTCTCCTCCTCTCCCTCTTCCCCGAGGGCCCTTGTCGCATGTCAACGGCGACCTCCACCCCCACCACTCCACCCCCTTCCCATGAACTACCCCACCCTCCACTTGCCTACGAAGTCTGTCTGGATCCAATAGTACCCTACCCACCCTCTATCAAACCCTCCACCAAATGTGACCCACTGGTCTCCACGTCCCCAGACCCCCCCTCACCCCCCCACCACCCCCCCAACCCTCCTATTCAGCCCCCACTACCCTTCCTTTACCGTCTCTTTACTTTTATGTCTGTTTGCACACCCCCACCCCCACTGAGTCTGTTTGCGTACCCCCACCCCCCTGGCGTCTCCATTCAATGATTGATAATGACCTCAAGGAGCGACTATGACGATGATCAGTAACTATGACGCACCTCCGACTGACGTTGAAGTTTGAACCCTCAGCATGCTGAGCAGTTGTCATTGCCATCATGAATACCATCTCCATCGTCGTCATCGTCATTGACATGTCAGCTGCAATCTCGAGAACGTCAGTAGACATGATAGCGGACTCTACAAAACCTGCAGCACGCAGGAGACTTGGAGCGTGTGCAGCTAGAGGTGTAAGGTGACCAGAAAGCTATACTGATGGCGCACTACAGAATCATGGAAGTCCTACAGGAGCGAGAAAGGGAGAAGCAATGGAAGTACGCAACACTTGCCGAGCACATCGGCTGACAGGTGAAGATCCCCGTGCTCATGGCCGTCGTGTTCCTGGGGTTACCTCGCCTATTCAAGCCGAACCAAGCGCTGAATGTGTTGGGAAGTTTGCCTACCTTCCATCCAGCGGCATCTCCCAGGATTAAACTTGCGTGACTGTCAACCTAGACCAGGGGATGGAAGCTGTGCAGGAGAGGAGACAAGACTGATAACTCGTGTGCGTGTGAAGCTTCAATATGTTGACGTCTTGCGGATTGAGAAGCCCAAACTCCAGGCTCAAAGCCCCAGCTCTGACTTGATTCCCCACAGTCTGAATGTATCGCTGCCGTAGGTAGGGATAAGGGTCGGAAAGGTAATTCGTCAAAAAAATCTTTGGACTTGAAAGCACTGAGAGCAAGTTACCTGATCTCGTTGTAAATGAAGCAGACTGCGTCTATGGCCGTCCCATTCTGGTTCCGGGATCATGTCAGGTGATCAGATCACACTCTCAGATGGTATCACCGCGTCGACCCGAGGCTTGTTCGCTTGTGCCGCACTTAGTTGGATCAACCATGGATGGTTGTATTGGCATACCCATACCTCTTCCTCTTGATTCATAAGCGCTCCAAGGCCACCTGGTCAAATACATCAACGCAGTCGCGTTGTTTTTGAGCATGTTCTACCTGTGATGAAGTGGCTGGAGTGACCGATATCAAACCAAGTCATATTCAAGGAACAGAGCTGTTGTAAATCTCCATCAGGCATCGGCGTTGTAGTAGGGCTTGACGTGATCTCTGAGAGTGCTGCTGTGGTTGTACCAGCCAGATCAACACACCTGGTGTCGTTGCGGCATAGCTCTAAACCAGGATCCATGTAAGCAATGCTCGGCCATGAGGCATACCGGCAGGTGAGAGCGTTGTTGGTGAGGCTCAGGAACGAGGAATGACCCGCTGCAGATCGATGGTATTGCGTCATTGCCGTGAAATTCACAAAAGCATCTGACGAGATGCATGTCAACTTGTTGTCATTCAGATAAAGAGCCCAAAGAGTGGGGAAAGCACCATTGAAAGTCCCCTCAGGAATCATGGTAAGCTCATTGTAAGAGAGGTCTAACAACTCCAAGGCTTTTTTACCATCAAAGGCTCCCTTGGGGACACTCGAAAGCCTGTTGCCCCTTATTCTGAGATCAATCAGACTTGAGAGACCGCTCAAGGATCCATATTCAATGCTTGACAGCTGATTCATCTCCAGATACAGCGCTCGCATGCCTGTAAGTCTGCTGAAAACTCCGTTGCTAAGAGTTGTCATTTGGTTTCCATCCAGAAAGAGCACCAGCCCCACTCCTGGTAGTCCAGCAAACGATCCCTCAGATAAGCTTGTCAGCTGATTGTTTGTAAGATGCAGATTTCCTAGGCCCGATAGTCCAGTGAATGCTCCTTGAGGGATGCCAGAAAGCTGATTCTCAGAAAGATACAACCTCCACAGATACGAGAGGCCGTCAAACACCCCGACAGAAATGTTTCTAATGCTCAAGGATCTCAAGTCTAGGTTGCCACTACAGTCACCCCAGCCGCCACAGGTCCCCTCCCTTGTCAGTAGCCCATCCTGGGAGACATGGAAGATGCAGTGTCCGCATGTCACGTTGGTCATGGCTCCTTGCGAACGGAGAGATGTTGTTCCTTTCAGCAGATGTTTACTCGAACGCGGGTCCTGCAGTATGGGGTTGTTCTCAAGATAGAGATAGTCTAAGGAAGAAAATGCATCTAAACATTCTTGTGGAAGGACTGAAAGCTTGTTATGCGAAAGATCCAGAAATCGCAAACTAGAGACTTTGCTGAACAAGGGAGCTGTAATGCTCGATATCTGATTGTTGGAAAGATCGAGCATTCTCAAGCTAGACAGCCCATCGAACACTCCTTCCTCGAGAGTTTCTAGGCTGTTACTGGAGAGATCTAGCCTCTCTAAGCTTGAGAGACCATCGAAAACCCCCATTGTGATATTGCTGATCCAATGAATGCCAAGAAACAAAGTTTGGTTGCAATCTGTACTGCATGATCCCTCCCTCGTCAGGAAACCGTTAGAAATGTAGAAAGTGCAACTGCCGCATGTCACTCTGCTCACACTCTGAGCATCTCGAGCAAACATGGCGAGCATGAGGAGAATAGCTGTCGAACCCGTACCGTACCGCATTTTTCCCGGCGGCGAAAGTTCACCCCACCCCCTATAATCGCAAGCTTCCTCCAACCACCCCTTCCAAATCCTGCAATCACCTCTACAATGGTAGGGTGATCGTCGTTAAGGGGTTTTGACCACCCCCACCATCGATTTCTCAGCACCTGACTGAGGGAGTAGTACCCACCGGGCTACTGTAACCCTCAAAACCACCCCTCCGACCTCTAGCCAGTAGAACTGAGGCAGGACCAAGTAAAAAGTAACGGTTAAAACGGTAGGTCAAACGGTCAAAATTGTCGGGGGCAAATCAAAATGCAAGTCCCTTGATTGACTCGAAAAGAGGGAAGGAGACTGAGGAGAGGAAGGGAGAGGAGTGAAGTGAAGTGGAGACGAGAGGAGAGGGACGGAGAAGGAGAGGGAGGGAGAGAGAGAGAGGGAGAAAAAGAGGGAGAGGGAGAGGGAGAGGGAGAGAGAGGGAGAAAAAGAGGGAGAGGGAGAGGGAGAGGGAGAGAAAGATGGGATGAAAGATGAACGAGATTAGAAGTGAGGATTGAAATGAAAGATGAATGGAATCAAGAAGATGATTGAAGGATTCAACTCCGAGGGAAAGAAAAGAAAACAGCACAAGGATCTCTGCAACCGGTCGATGGAGTGCACACAGATGTTTGACCACCATCAGCACATCCATTCATAATTCATAATGATTTCTGACTTTTGAATGCCGAATGATTGACGTGCAGGTTGTGTTTCTTGAGTGCTAGGATATTGCCTCAACACACGTGATCATGATCGATGCCTCTTGTCCTTTCATTCTCGTCCTGAAAGCTTCTCCTTCTGATGACTTCGAGGGAGTCGACAGGAAGTTGGTCAACGGAAAGACTGCCATCCCTCTGATCCCGAAGGATCCGAGATCAAAGTGCTTGTGAGTTTCATCTTGTATCTCCTCCTCAGCGTGTAGTTCTATCCTACCTCCTCTTTCCTTGAATTCATGTCTGCCCTCCTTCCTTGTGCTCCCACCTCCTCTTACCTTCCCTCGCTTACTCTCCCGCCAGCACCTTCGGACGCGACTCCAGATCCTGCCTGCGGCTGCGCTGGGACGGCATCTCGCGAGCTCACGCGTGGGTAGACTCGTCAGAAGGAGAGTACGAGCTCGTGTGCAACGGGAGCGGCAACGGGACCTTCCTCAACGGCACGCGCGTCTGCCGCCAAGTCCTCAAGCATGGTGACGTCATCGGGTTCGGGCATGGGCACGACGTGAGCGAGGGGAGGATGCTGCATCCCTCAGCGATCGTCTACGAGTTCGAGTTCCATCATCCTCCTCCCGCGTCTCCTCGCGAGGCTCTGCGGGAAATCGTTTCCAACACCGAGCCTGTCGTCTCCTCCTCGAAAGGCGCAAGGGAGGAGGAGCGTCCCAGGAGTTCCGAACTTCCTGTTCCGGCTGCCCGCTCCTCGGGAAACAGCTGGCTGACTGCTGAGGAAGAGATCAGAGCTCTCAAGGAGCAGCTCGTGTCGAGCAAGCTGGTGCCTGCTGATGTCAGCCAACAACAAAGAGCGTTTGGCAGTCCTTCGAAACAGGAGATGAAGCGCGAGGAGGGGGAGAGGAGGGAGAAGTTGGACGGCTCTCCTGACAAGTGGAAAGTCAAAATGGAGGAACTTCAGCAGGAGCTTCAGGCAGAGCAGAGCAAGAGGATCCGTGCCGAGCAGCAGGTGGTGCTACGGGAGGCGGCAGCAAAGAAGATGGAGGCGGCAGCGGCAGAGGCGGCAGGATCAGCAAGGATCGCGCTGCAGCAGGCGATGGGGAAGATGTCGGAGACGGCGGAGGGAGCGAAGTTGATGCACGCGAGCGTTCAGAAGGCGTTTGACGCCCAGATGACGCTGAGAGACCTGACGATCGCAGAGCTGAGGAGACAGAGCACTCTCCTGCACAAGGTTAGGAAGGGGCTGGGAGGAGAGAGAAGGGAGGGGAGAACAGAGGAGAACAGGCGAGGGGAGAGCAGAGGAGGACAGGGGAGAGGAGAGGGGGAGGACACAAGGGGCAAAGACATAAGACTGAAGGATGTTGCCTTGCAGGACCTTGAAGAGACGAGAGAGCTGGTGGCGAGGAGGAATAAGGCGGAGGCGGAGGTGAAAGACTGCTGGAGGAGGAGAGGTTGCCTCACTCCTGCTCACAGAAGATAGTGAGGACAGCTATCGAGACGTCTCGTGCAAGGATCGAAGAGCTCGAGGAGGCGTTGAGGACAGCGCAGGCGCGGGAGGCTGAAGAGAAGGTGAGGGAGGGAGGGAGGGAGGCGTGAGGTGAAGTCGAGGCAGGAGAGGAGCTCGAGGCTCGAGATGATGATGGAAGACGCCAGACTGATCGAGAAGGAGTCTGGAAAGTCGCAAGTGCATGAGCTGAACAAGCTCATTCTCAAGCTTCAGTCCGACGTGTCAGCACGCGAGGTCCCCTCCTCCTCTGACCTCAACTCATTCTCTACTTCTCCCTCGTTCTCCTTCCTTCTCCTCCGTCTCCCCTCCTTCTCGCTCCCCTCTCTTTCTCCCTCTCACCTCAAGCTTTCACCATTCTCCCCACCATCATCCACACGCTTTTCTCTCCCAAACTTTCGCTTCTGTTTCTCTTGCTCTACTTATCGTCGTCCTGCAGGAGGACCTCTCCGCAAGGCAACGCGCGTGGGAGGAGGAGCGAAGCAGTTTGCGGGTTAGTCTGGCCCTTACTTTCGGTCAGCTGAGAGATGATGCAGTTTCAACTGGACGAGGAAAGGACGAGAGTTGGGGAACTGCAAGAAGAGGTCTGTGCTCACTGCCGCTCGCCAGCTCGTTCCTGACCGGGAGGCAGGTGGGGAGGCTGCAGGGGGAGGCAAGCAGGGGGAGGATGAGCGAGGCAGCGGGCAAGGACAGGGACGCGAGGCTGCGGAGCCTGCAAGAGGAGCTGGTGGAGAAGGAGAATGCACTTGTGGCGCAGAGAACGAAGTTTGCATCCACAATGGAGAAGGCGAAGGCGAAGATGCAGGAGGCGGTGGCGAGGAACGACCAGGCGCTGGCGCTGGCGCAGGCAGAGGCGCTGGAGCTAAGGAACGTGAGAGACGCTCTGAAGATGGAGAAGGAGACGCTGCGGGAGAGGGTAAGGCAGCTTGAAGACCTTTTGCTGGAGGAGAAGCAGGTAAGGAGGAGAGAAAGGTGTGCGGGAGGTGACGGAGGAGGTGGCAGGGGAAGGAGAGGCTGCATAGTGAGATGGAGAGGAGGCTGAAGGAGCTGAAGAGCAAGTGTGAGAGGGCGGAAGAAGGTACCTTGCTCGGGGAGGTGGCTTCACTCAAGGAGCAGCTGGGAAGGAAGGAGGAGGAGAAGGAGCAGGCGATGCAGAAGGCTGCGGCTGAATTTGACAAGGAGAGGACAAGACTTCAGAGAATGATGGCAAATGCACAGGTCCGAGAGATGAATGTGATGACTGAAACGATGGTGATGGTGGTAGAGATATGACGATGACGATGACGATGACGACGATGATGACGATGACGATGACGATGTGAAAAGAAAACTAATTCTAATGGGAATGTTGATGACAACGACGTCGATCACTACCGCTGTAAGAATGACGGTGACGACACAGAATGAGAGCAAGAGCGCTCAAAAGATTGCAGAGGCAGCCAACTCAGCAAAAGCTTCAGCGATGGAGAACAGCAAGAAGTTGGAGATCGAGCTTTCATCAGTCAAGAGGGAGGTGAGACGAGCAGGAGCGAGGCAGAGATGTCAAGAGCTCCTTGACTTGTTCTCTCTGTAGATCAAGACGCTCAAGGGTCGGAGCAACGAGAAGGAGAGCGCGAGGGTCAAGGCACTGCAGGAGGAACTTCAGAGGCTGAAGCAGCAGAAGGAAAACCTTGAAGACCAGATGCATCAGCATGTCAACGCTGAGAAGAGGGTGATCAATCCTCCTCCTCCTCCTCCTCCCTGTCCTCCTTTTTGCCTCCTCCCTCCTCCCTCTTCCCTCATCTCCTTCTCTCCTCCTTCTCGCTTCCTTCTCTCCTCCTCCTCCTCTTCTCCAAATCTTCCTCTACCCTCCTCCTGGAACTCTGGGCTTTCTGTTGTTTCTCTTCCTCCCTTTGCCTCTCTTTCGCTTTCATCTCCTGCTCCTCACACGAACTAGGACAAGGAAATCATCGCCAAGCTGAAAGCAAGAACAGAATCTCTTACATCACAGGTGAGTGACCTCCTCGCTTCCCTCCCTCCCTCCCTCCCTTCCCTCCCTCCCTCCCTCCTCTCTCATCACTTGCACCTTGCAGGTTGAGACTCTACAAAAGAGCAGAGAAGCATCGGAGGTGTCACAGGCGAAGATGTCGCGATCAGACGTCTCCTCCTCCTTGTTCAGCGGCTCCTCCCACACGGCAGAAGAATACCAGCAGCACATCTTCCTCCTCGAGAAGCGACTGTCAGAAATGGTGCAGCAGCTGTCCAGGCAGCAACAAGCGCTCGAGGTGAGGAGAACAGGAGAAGCGGAGGATGAAACCGAGGGAGCAGAGGGAAGGGAGAGGGAGAGGGAGAGGGAGGGAGGGGGGGGTGGAGGATGAGAGGGAGAGGGAGGAGGGGGGGCAAGAGGAAATCTGGTGGTACTGACATAGAGCCATGGAAGGAGAGCAAGAGAGAGGCAGCAGAGGCGCGCGAGGAGGTCGAGAAGCTGCAGGACGAGCAGGAGAGTTTAAAACTTCTCCCTGCTCTCCTCCGAGAGGCCGAGCGGGCTAGGGTATTCCCCGACCCCCGCAAACTTCTGCTGCTGATCGCGCACAGGACGAGGCAGTTGGAAGGCTGGGGGAGGCGCTGCATGAAGGGAAGAGGGCGAGAAGGGAGGAGACGAAGACGTCGGAGCGGAAGACCGAGGACGCGCAGGTGAAGTTGCGAGGGCGAGGAAGCGCTAGAGGTTGACGATGGTGAAGGTGCGCAAGGAGAATGACATGCTGAGAGAGGAGATCTCGCGTATGAAACTTCAAAATCAGGCTCGTGAGGAGGTTTTCTACTCCTTCCCGCCCTGTCCTCTCCTCATCCCTCTCGTCCCCAACCTTCTCTCGCCCCTGCTAAACTCTTTGCTGCCGCATACCCCACCCCCAACCCTCTCTCCTGCTCTGCTGCCGTGCTCCTTGGTTGCTCTTCCCTTCTCTCCCCTCCCTTTCCTCCTCCTCCCACCGTCCCGTTAACTAGCCTCTCAGTATGTCGAGGGCTTGCGTAAGGAATTGGCGGAGAGGACGGCAAGAGCGGAACAGGAGAGCAAGAGAAGGACAGACGAGGCCACGAGCTCAGGAGAACATAGAGGAGAGGAACAGACGAAGGAACCCTCCTCCTCTTCATCATCCTCCTCCCTCCCTCCCTCCCGGCCCAACTTTCCAAACCGGAGCAGCATCATCGAGACTGACAAGACGGACGAGGCGCCGACGCCTCCCCGGGACTTCCGCCGGAGGGTCCCAACGCCCTCAGCTGCTCCCCAGCTGATCTCCGACTCTTCCCTCATGTTCGAGGCCACCTTCCAGGCTGGAGGAGGTGAGAAACAGGACCCCCTAGCTGGGGGAGGAGCTGGTCAAGACCCTCCAGCTGGGGGTGGAGGGCGGCAGGGGAGGCTGCATGCTGGGCTTGTGGTGGACGCGCACGACGAGTCTGTCAACTCGCTCTGCCAGCTAGACGGGTTCGATGGCAACAGCTTCGCCACCGTCTCCTCCGACAGGAGTCTGAGGTTGTGGAACGGCAAGACAGGAGAGCTTCTCCTCCGCGTCTCCCTTGGCTCCAAGGGCACCAGCCTGTCTGCTGCCTGCCTGCCGAAGGAAGCATTCCTCGCCGCCGGCTCCTCGGAGGGCAAGATCTACCTGTTCCATGGGATCAGAGGACAAGGATGGATGCTCCACGAGCGACTGGAGGCTCAAGATGGTGAAGTGAAGGTGGGAGTCAGACGCTGCTCCTATGCCATTGACAACACAGCCCTTCCCCTCTTCATCCTCTCCTCTCCTCTCTCTCCTTTTCTCCTTCTTTCCTCTGTTCATCTCTCCTCCTCCTCTCTCATTGTCCTCCTCCTCCTCTCTCCTGCTGTCTCTCATGCTTCCCAGGCTGTTGCCCTCTCCATCAACGCCGAGTTCCTCGCCTCGGGCAGCGCAGACAAGGCAGTGCTGCTATGGAGGCGCAGGGAGCAGCAGTGGCAACGAGTCGCGAGCATCGCCGGGCATGCAGGCAAGAAGCGCGAGACTGAGTCGCTCCTCTCACTCGTGGACATGCGACAGGGTCAGTCGTCTCTCTGGCCTTCCATCCCCTCGATCCTTTCTGCCTCGCCTCAGGGTCTTACGACCGCACAGTGCGGATGTGGAGGCTCGTGGAGGAGGGAGGAGGCGCAAAGCTTGCCGTGCAGGAGCTTCACAAGCTCAGTGGCCATTCACACTGGGTGAGGAGGTGGAAGAAGAGGGAGGGAGAGGAGGAGGAGGAGGAGGAGGAGGAGGAGGAGGAGGAGGAAAAGGAGGAGGAGGGCAGAGGAGGAAGTGGAGGAGGAGGGGAGGGGAACAAGGAGGGAGAAGAGAAAGTCTCTGATCCTCACGTCCAACAGGTCATGTCGCTCGCCTTCTCCTCTGACGGCTTGAGACTCGCGTCTGCTTCCTACGATCGCACGGTGAAAGTTTGGGACCTGCAGCAGGGGAGCGTCACACACACGCTGACAGGACATGCTGGTGACCACACTCACCATCCTCCTCCTCCTCCTCCTCCTCCTCCTTCTCATCCTCCTTATCCTCCTCTCTTCGTCGTGTCATGTGATGGATGACGCCAGATCGGGTGACTTCCGTCGCTTTTCTCCCCGGGGGAGGAGAGATCGTCTCTGGCAGCTACGACCGGACCATCCGACGGTGGCGCCTCAACGGAGGGGAGGAAGTGGAGCAGCACGAGAAGCATGTCGGGGAGGTGAAGGTGAGCAGAGGAAGCAGTCAGTGCATGCAGCTGCTGAAGTTCATGCCCAGTGCGTCTGCGTCACACCAGGGGGGCGCTTGCTGTCGGGAGCTGCGGATAGAAGGATAATCGTGTGGCAGGGGCTAGAGCAGGAGCAGGAGCAGGAGCAGGAGCAGGAGCAGGAGCAGGAAGAGGACGGGGAGGAGGAGCTTGTCAACATTTGAATGAAACCACTTACTGTCAGATCTGGGTGTTCATTCTGCTGAGAAGAGTTGAGGTGATTGCTTACTCTGGTGATTGCTCTGGTGATCGCTCAGGTTCAGCTGGGACCGTTCAGTAGGGCCCCCGGGCCCGGCGTTGACCTGCCGCGCCCTTGCCAGGGGCCCGGCGTTCGGACGGCCGCCGGGCGCCGGGCCCGTTGAATCTGGGCCCGAATGATAATGAGGGACTGAATGAGGGCAGAATGAGGGGGATGAACAATTGGTTGTGCGGGGATGAGGTATTAGAATTTCGTCATCGGCATGGTGAGATCTGAGATCATCAGAACGACAGCAAGCATGCAAGCTCGTGCGTTCGCTCTTCCACCACCTGCTCCTGCTCCTGCTCCTGATCCTGATCCTGCTCCTGCTCCTGCTCCTGCTCCTGCTCCTGCTCCTGCTCATGCTCATGCTCATGCTCCTGCTCCTGCTCTCGCTCCTGCTCCCGCTCCTGCTCCTGCTCCCGCTCCTGCTCCCGCTCCCGCTCCTGCTCCCGCTCCCGCTCCTGCTCCTGCTCCCGCTCCTCCCACTCCTTCTCTCCTCCTTTCTCCTCCCTCCACTCCCTCCCTTCACTCCCCTCCCTCCACTCCCTCCATCATTCCTCCCTCTTCCTGCCTTTCTCCCTCCCTCCCACTCCTTTCTCCTTCTCTCCCTCTTTCTCTCGTCCCTGGTAGTCTGCGTTCTCTTCCTCATCCCTTTCCCCACCATACCATCTTCTCTTTGCCTGCGCTGCCCCAAGAGGCAAGAGGCCCTGTCTTCATCGAGCAAGAGGCTTTCATCCTTTCATCTCTCACGCCCAGGACCGTGCTGTGCTTCTCCTTCCCTTACATGTTAGATCTTTGAACTGCCTCGACGTGCAATCATTGTAAGCAATGGTCTGCTTGATGTTGTTCCCTTTCACCTTCTCCCTGGTGCTTCTTACCCATTACATTCTTCCATGTATCTTGCTGACTACAATCCTCAAGCGTTTCCGGTGCTTTGGGGATTTGGATGCTCCGGATTGGATCCTGGCCGAGATCGCGTATCTATCAAAGATAGTGAGACTTTTGAATGCACTTTCTCGCGTGATGTAGCCATGTAACACCTCTGATCTGACAGTCCTCTGTGCGCATGAAACTCATAGCGTCTCAAGTGATCGCCAGCATGAAGGGCCAGCCCCTAGATTACGTCAAGATTGCGAAGCTGACGGGAGACGCGGGGTTTGAGGTCTCGCAGGTGAAGGCAGCAGTTGCTGTCCTTGAGTACATCCTGACGAACGCGGCGAAATACGATTGTGACGCGAATGTGCTGGAGACGGAGTTACAGCAGCTGGGGTTGCCGAAGGAGCATACTACAGCACTGTCACGCCCTTACAAAGAGAGCCAAGAGAGCCTGCGGCATCATCTTGCGAACCAGACGCTGAAGCTGCCAGGACTCACCAAGGTTGACTGGAGGTCGGAGGCAGTCTTAGGCTCGAGCTTGGGTAAGGACGTGCGTTCAGTCTCCGGTCATCTTCTCCTGGAAACCGGAGGCCGCAAGGTGAGCTATCTACATTTTTATGTTGCGCTGACTGTTCTCGCTGCCTTCTGCTTGTGGTGATGATGCATGCAGGTCGGTTTCGAGATCTCACAAGACAAGCTGACGGCCTTGCATGGGGAACTGCTAGCAGCGAAATCTTTGATGGACAGTGTCAAGAACGGAATTTAATCTCCCTGTACAAAATTAAACATAACGTCTGATAGTCATCCCTCGTGAGTTTCGTATCGCATCGTTCACGACTCTCAGCATCGTAAAGATTTTATCCATCGACGTGCAATACAAGATTTCATTTCCAATCTAAATTGGAAGCAGGCTGAAAGGCATTCAGTGCGGACAATGTTTAAAACCAGCTGAAAAAGCTACAACAAAACTTGAAATCATTTCACACTGGGACAACCTGAGCGTTGTTCATATTCCGCAGCACCAGCGTCATGTTCTCTGGCTTGACGGCGATGATTGTTCTGGTCCCCCGATTGCGAGGATCGGGCAGTTCAACCTGAAACCTCCCCGTGCTCAGGCACTCCCGGACGATCCCTATCCTAGCGTTGTACTCCACCTTGCCGCAGAGCCCTTGGATGCTCACGTGATCGCCGGGCGTAAACCTCGGCTCCTCGTCCTCGGGCTCCGGTGGCTGCTGGTTCATAGCGAGGTTGCAATCCTGGAGGAGCGACAAGATCTTCCGCCCGTTGTCATCGCCATGACGGTACATACCCAAGTATCCAAACTGCGGATGCTTGCACTTGTCCCATGTCGACTTGGCCAGACCCAGTTTGAGCCCAGGCTCTCCAGCCTCTTTGATCTTGTTGTTAACAACTCTGATTTGCTCCAGCGCTGCCGTTGCCACGGCCCCGTAGTCCCCGAGGAAAGAGTTTCTGTTCTCGTTGGGCTCTCGTAGGAGCAGCATCGCGGCATCTAGGATTCCCGTGTCTCGCAAGATATCGAAGAGCACGCCGTCGCTCAAGGAGGGCCTTGCCGGGTCAGCTCGAGCTTTCCCCCTCCTCTCCTCCCATTGAATGGAAGCATGCATCCTGCTCCTGGCGTCCCACTCATAAAAGGCCTTGGGCCACTCGCTTCTGCTGCAGTCAAGGATGAGCGAGGCGACTTTGTTCTCATCGAGAGCCCGGAAGAAGCATCTGGGGTCAGCCTGGTAGCAATCCTGCAACGAGATCAACTCGTGCACAGCATCCGCGTACGTCTCGACGACTTTGCAGCGGAGCTGGAAGTGGATGGGTTGGTTGGGTCTCAGTCTCTTCAGCTCTTCCATTGTCTCAAGTCGATGCTGCCCGTCAATGACATAGAATTTGGCTTTCGTTCCACACTCACTCGTGTCGTCGTGCGCTACTGCAATCAAGGATATGGTTCCAAAGTCACGATATCGCCCGAGGTCCTGGAGGGATGTCAAGTTCACACGAACGCGGTTGGATACAACATCATGATTGACTGCACGATTGGTCCCCATGTATTGAAACTCGCAGTTCATCGAGAGGTACTCGGCGAAGCCGATATAGGTTCGGATGTTCTCGCTGCAGAGCAGGCGGTTCTGGGAGGCCAACTCCCCCAACAACATCCTTGCAGTGAACGCGTCTCGGCTAAACCCATTGCTCTGCATGCCTTGATGCTGCATGCCAGCAAACTGAGCACCCACTGCCTGCAGTGCCCCAGGGTGCGAAGGCTCATGATGAGGACGAGGCTGAGGAGGCGAAAAATGAGGTGAAGGCTGTGGATGCTGTGGATGCTGCTGAGGTTCCTGAGGCTGTGAATGCTGCTGAGGCTGTTGAGATGGATTGGAAGGGGCTGGTGGGTCCTTGAAGAGGACAGAGCTGGCAAGTTCCCACAGCTGATTGATGCTCTGAGTCGCTCGGGTCCTCTCCGCCTCGAGATCACCGTACTTGTCAGGATGCCATATCTTGAGCAACCTGCGTCTTTCTGCTGTTGCAATCTCAATGATCTCCGTCCGAGTTTCGCCATTCAGCTCAAGCAGCTCCAACCCCTCCAACCCGAACACGCTTCTCCATTCCCCCCTTGACGCCTGCTGGGTCAACTTCTCCGCGTCTCTCCTCAGGCTTTCCCTCCCTCCTTGGTTGTATTTCTCCCCCATGGAAGAAGCGAACTGCTCGCTGGACTTGAACCCTCCGCCCGTTCTCCTCCTGCTCCTCTCCCTCCCCGCACCCCATTCGTCATCGTCCTTCCTTTTCGACATTTCTCAGATCGGTCGCCCAACATTCGGGTCACAACACCTAAGGTCAGAGAGGGGAAGCGGGCAAACACCGTTACGAAAAGGATGAAAGTGTAACGTGCGTTGACTCTTCGACATGCCACAAATATAGGCTGGCATGGGCAACGAGGGGAGCGGAGGACACAGTGGCAGGAGCATCAGTAGCATCAGGAACGGCTGAGGAGGAGGATTAGGAGGAGGAAGAGGAGGAAGAGGAGGAGGAGGAGAAAGCAGGAGGGTTGGACGGATCAACAAGGAGTGCAGAATGTTGAAGGGAAGGATTACAAGATGGTCTTAGAAGAAAAAGCTTAATGAAGGATGAGAGGAAAGTCTGAGAGCTTGGAGTGCTTAGGAAAGGATGCAGAATCCATGTCGTAATGCTGAACCAGGTTTCATTGCTGGATCTTGCCGGCGACGCATCGCAGGGAAAGATTCGCTCGCACTTGCAATAGATTCATCGGGTTGCGATGAACCATAGCAAGTCAAGCGACCAACACGCCAAACGGGCACTGTTTGGCTTCATTTCTTTAGGCAAGATAACCATCGTAATATGTTTTCTTTCTCCGTAACACATGACTCTACAGGAATATTTTTAGTATCCCTTGTGGTTTCCCGATCGTCTGTTTCTCCATTTTCTCTCCAGGTTCTTTGAACTGACGCGCTCACATTTGTTCATCTCCTAAACCGTACTTTTGCTGCAACAGCAATCAGAAGGCGCGTATGCGAGGTCCTTGGGTCTTCCGGGTATGCTCAATCGCCACCATGAGTTCCAACCTCATGTTGCAATGAAGGTCCCGATGCTTCGGTGTTGTCTTCCTCTCCCAGTGGAGAGAGCGACTCGCAGGTCGAATCCTTCCCCGCACTCCGACCGCATCCTGACGTGATCACAGGCAATGAAGAACTGGCTACGAGAGACCGCTTCGTTGAGGCGGAAGCACATGGGTGGAAGCAATGCCTTGTCTTCAAAGGTGATGTTCCTTGATGCTTGCTGGAGCGTTCACTTCATGACTGATGCTCCTCCTGACAGGCAAAGACTCAAACATTGGCTGGAGCCTACGCGTACTCCCCAACAGCAATGCAACCAACCATTTCCATTCCTGCGCCTGCTGGATATACCATCAGGAATGGAGTATCAGTGCATGGCATAGTCGATATTGCTGCCCCTCTGGATCCCGACACAGGAACGGCGGTGCCGGGAATTGTTGTACCATCGGGCAAACAGACTGCTGCACAGAAGTTGTCGTCTCAGCAAGCAACCGCGGTGGATCCTCGCATGCAGGTTGTTATACCTCAGATGCGCTGCTGCTGTGGAATGGGATGAGATTATCTTTCTACAGGTCAATCCAACCACTGGGGTCGCGCAATCATATCAAGCGGCAGCTGGCGGCATGAATGCTGCTCTGTATGGTCAAAAGATGGCAGCACTATCCTCCCAGACGCAACCGCAGGTGGTTATCTGATCAATGCGTATTACTACATTGTGACTGGCTAGCCAGCAATTGGCTCAAGTTGAGGAGGACGAAGACATGTATCCGACAGAACCAGCCGCCTCAGAGAGCTACCTAGCGGGCCCCGGCGACACCTACAACGTGGGTGACGTGGATGGAAGTGATTTGCGTACATTGATGGGTGTGCTGTCCAGGTTCCGGAGTATCCAAAGCCGCAAGTGTATACGGAGAAAGGAGGGCCTCTGGTTTCAGAGGACGAACCGCAGAAGTTTAACGATTACCCCGAAAGCTCCAGTGCTCTCACTAGCGGCGTCACCTCGTCTCCTCCAGTATATCAGGTAATGAGAAACTTGTCAGTCGATGGATCTGGTTGAAGAATTTGTACAGGCTCCTAAGCCGGTTCCTAACTTCTTCAGTCCTCCTTTCCAGCAATGGGAAGGTTCGGATGCTCTGTTGTGGAGTGTAAAGAGACTGACACGTTTTGAAGACGAAGATGCAGCACAACATGCGTACAATCTGCAGCAATGGCGATTAAAGATTTTGCAGGCTAAGGTGCTTATCACAAAATTTGTTTGGCGATCATCAACTCGTTCTTGCAAAGGTACAACAAGCAGCATTGAGGAAGAAGTTGCTCGACTTGGCGACTGAGAGCACAGATAAAACTTCTGTCCATGACGACCACCAGTAATTTTTTCACGACGTGGTTAATTTAGAAGTCTGACTCTGATACCAGCCACCATCGACATCATCTTGCTTACCGTCGTAGAGATCGTGAATCCAGACGTCACAGGGAGAAATTCTTCCACGAGGTCGACAAGCTTCGACGAGCCACAGGCCTGCAATTGAAGCACATCGAGCAGCAGGTTTACGGCACCGCCTTATAACACCCTCATCTTAGCACCTCCACCCCCCCGCATCGTTTTGAAATGATGGATCTACAGGTCCTTGCTCTGGCTCACTTGACTGAGAAGTCAGTCAAGAACATGCGAAAAGGTGCCGCATCGAATCGCAGTTGTGCGTTCATGATGGAGGTTTCGCAGAACAATCTGATTCCGATCATCAAGCCGATGATCAAAACCCACCGAAACAAGTGGGAGCCTTGCGGAAGCTGAAGGCGCACACAGATGCTGAGTTCAAAGAAATAATGCAGGCGGTCAAGGTCCGTGAAATGATGCCCGTGGTAGCCGTGCAACTTACACAATCATTAGGCGCTGAGGAGTAAGATTGATCATGGCCACGACATAGCAGCCATCGCGGAAGAATCAGCCAAGAGGGATGGTGGGGTTCCTGCACAGGTAGGGCAAGAGAATCTATGAGGTGGGAAGTGATTGCTTTGGTACATTAGGTGGCGCTATGGAAGAAAGTAACAACAGATACGAACAGATAAAGTTTGTTTCTTGATGAGTAAACAGCCTTTTTTACAATTCGATTACTTTACACATCTCTTCAGTATCAAGTCAGCTTCAGTCACAATCACCCTGATCCTCAGACTATTCATCGTGAATCTCATCATATTCTCATGTCTTCCAACGATGTGTAGTGCTCTATCCAATGCAAAACTTCCGGGTTGCTCAGGTCACAGATCCATGCAACATTGTAGCCGCATGTAGAGTTGTTCGTCTGACATTCTGGCCAGGTGTCCAACTCCATCATGTCGTAGCTGCCAAAGGCGCTTTTCTCGTGATCGTTTTCGCGTTTCAACTGCATGGCTGGATCGGACTCCTCCTTCAATTCATGCACGGCAACGTTAGCATTGCCTTCATCGCTAGGAAGAGAAGTCGGCGTGCTTGCGTTCTGGCCATTATCCTTTTCCTTGGGCGAGCAGGTAAAACGCGAGTAAGGCCATCGATGTACTCCAAGTCTTCGACAAGCTGATTTCAAGCTAGAAAGTGAGATGCCCTGCAACGGCAGTGAGCAAATCGAAAAACATTGGAGTTATAGGAGAAGCTTTACCAGTCTAGATGCAGCATCCTCCTGACGAAGATGGAATAAGCTTTGTATGGATGGAAGATCGATCTCGATAAGCAAACCCGATGGAACATAATTTTGTTGCCTTGGGCGTGCTGTGACGACAACTGTTTGTTCTCTGAGATCCATTCTTGAGGACAAATCTTGAGAAAGCAGAAAGAGAGGACAAGCCCTTCGATGTACCGACTGTTTCCTTCTTGTACACGACAGGTAAACAGTGGAAGGATCTTAGTCTCCCCTTACTAAAGCGCAAAGATGAAAAACGAGACCACGTATGTACAAGTTGAAGCGACTGCAGCAAGGAAGACAAGTGTTCACTACAGCAGCAAGACAAGGGAAGGACAGGAGAAGAGGACGGGCAGGGTAGGAGAAGGAGGACGTGGAAGATGTGGAAGCGGGGGGGGGCAAGATAAGGTGGAAGCAGACGGAGTGCAGCTTGTAAGGCTCGAGGAGAGGAGTCAGAGCGAGCCTCCAGGGGTATGGGTGCTGACCCTACCTTAGATTATCATGACCAAAGTATCTAAATGAAGGGGGTAGTGAAGAGGACTCAAGGGTCGAGCTACACCGGGGGTACATAGATGCAGAAGTGTGGTGTAGTAAATTATGGTCCCTGACATGATGCGGATGAAGTTCCAGGGTGCGTACGTACCCCTACCACATGTTACGCAGGGCAACGTACGGGTCAGACATAGAAGTGGTCACATGGGGAATTTCTAAATGTTCTAGGGGGTGGGTATAGAAGAATCTCAACGACGAGATGTGAATTCGCACTGATTGAGATGGAGTGTTTAACTGAAGATGGCGTCTGTGCACACGGATCTGGAGGCAGTCACACGAGCATATTCCAACCGTTGTGTTTAAGAGAATACGGTCTCCCCGGACACCACGTGATCTCTACAGCATCCCTGTAAGGCCTTCACCTGCATGCATCAGTTACCTGCACGAAAAAATATTGTTTGGAGTCAGGCAACCTCTGGACACGGAGATCACAGTGAAAACATGTCTTTTTGCATCGATCCGATTTCAAACCCCCAACGCTTGGTTGGTGGTCACGTGCAAACTCAATTGAGGTTCACATGAAAACCTCTTATCCCCCCTCTGACCCCTTCGGACTGTGCTCCCCCTATCCGATGCCACCCCTACCCCCCTCAGATCCATTGAAAATACCCCTTCTGGAACAGGATATATTCCCCCGTGCCTTGTTTTGACTTCTTGACACATCTTCGTCCCCCGCTCCTACACTTCACGCTCCCTTCCAGCTCCCTTCCTCCACTTTTGCCAACCGAATTTCGTCTACTTCATCGCTATCCCGCTCCACAATCGTTAGTTGTCGCAACAGCTGAAACAGTATCGCAGCTCACCTGCACATTTACACCTTCTTCACCAGTCAAGGACTTGCCCTCGCTCGATTCTTTTTCGTCGAGAAGACCTAGCAGGGGTCAATGATGCACCTGCACGGAAGTAGTATGGCTGAGGGAGGATCTCCCACTAGCCCCACAGCACCTGATGTCCAACCAAATTCGAGCTGCTTGGCAAAGGGAACGACTCTTGACCAGATCGCTAGACCCTCGGGGGATCGTTCCGAACCACCAAGAACGCAGCAGCTTGACGAGAATCAGGTGCGGTTGAGGTTGTATGGATGCCCACATCGAACAAGACAGCTGCGGGCACTTGATACCTCGATGTCACTGATCCGAAGACATGCCACTATCCGAACAGCCCTGGGAGACTTTGCCATGCTGTGAAGCTTTTTCTTGCGTTGTGAACCTTGTTCTTGCAGAAGTTTTTAGTTTGTGATTGAGTACTTGGCACTTAGTAAATTATTCTTTTCAAGTCATTTAGATTTCGTTATCACGTGGACAGATTATGCTGACCCCTGTCTGATCTACATGGGATAGGAATCCATCTTGACCTAGACAGAATAGCTTTCTGTAGAGGAGGGTTTGCCAATGACAGGCCGTGCTTACAGTCATGGCCTCAAACATCACCAACTTATACATCGAAACTAACCCACACATTGTTGCTATCGCTTCCAGTTGGTTGATGTGCCAAAGATCAAGCCTTCGGTTTATGAGACTCAAAGTAGACCAAAGGAGGAAGCCAGATGAGATCACAAAACCAACAATCTCATCGTCATGTGGTAATGAGACGATAACAGTGCAGCTATTGAATGCAAGGGACAATTGAAGCAAACAGGTGAAGCAAACAGGTGAAACAGGTGATATTCAACGCAGGGTGCAATCGAAGCAAACAGGCAACGACTTTGGAAGAGAGATTTTGTGACGCAATCACAATGGTGATTATGATTGCGTATTGTGGGAGTTGAGATGCGGGGATGTATGTGCCGGGGCAGAGGAGTTGATGTTCCACTTTTCTTTCAAACTGTACACATTTGCCCTAAAACGAACATGAAAAATGTGTTCTGGACAAGAGTGAAGAATGTGGACTGATACAGCGTCAGGGGCGGGGTAAGACAATGCTAAGCAAGCAGTGTTCATTTTTTGGGGAAGTAACTCTATTCGACAACCTAACGGAGAAGCCAAGAAGTGTGATAGTAATGTCGATATTACTTATGGTTAGAAGCATCTTGCAAGTGGCGAGGAGGAACAGGTAATGCGGTGGTATCGGTGAACTTCAGTATGATGAGGATTGATGCTCAGACTAGGAGGTACCAGGATGATACCGAGTACCATTGAGCAGGAAAACTGTTGAATGAGCAAAACTAAATGGATGGAACAAGTTCATCAATACAAGTGAAGGCATGGAAGTCTTAGAGGTGACGTTTAGGGTTAGAAGGATTGACAGTGCAGATGATGAACACAAATACAGCATAACCAAAAGAGAATTTGATGCTAGATGGGATAGAGAGAAATGAAAGTTAAACGAGCATAGGAGGAAATGAGATGTGATAGCACCAACGACCATGATTGTGGACAATGAATGTGGGATTGGTTTGAACCAAAATTTTATGTTCCATCATGTACTCACATTGTTTCACCAAGGTCCAAACCTGCCTCATGCCGATGCTGACAACATGGCAGGATGATTGAGACTGTGAATGTATCTGTCAATCCTTTAACCTGTAAATTTGAGCACTGTTTAATTGTTGTATGTACATCTAGCTTGCAAGCTCAGGAAACAAGTCGCTCAACAGTCTCAGTCTGACATGTAATCATCACTACTTGTCAGGAAATGCTTCAGCCATCGGGCACTTTCCCTTGAAAAGTTGCAAACCCAATTGACATCCAAATTTGCCTCATTGACCTGGGAGCATTCCAACCATCGAGGCTCTGTCTGAGCCAACCGGGGCCAACTAGCAGGGGGAAACTCTACAGGATGGGGAGGGTCAGAGAGATTTCGAGAAGGCCCTTGATCTGTATCGTCTCGGCTCACAGCGAGTTCGTCACTCGAAAGATTGTTCGGCGAGATTTGCCGCTGCTCGTCGTCTTCTGGCTCAATGTTGGTGCCATGCAGCCTTGAATACGGCCATCTCCTCACCCTCAGTCGCCTACAGGCAGATTTCAAGCTGGAAAGAGAGATCCCCTGCCGCCATGTCAGGATTTTCAAACAGCAGTATTAGTAGCATAAGAGGAAAATCTTACAAGTGAGGCAGCGGCGTCTTCCTGGCGCATGTGAAACATTCCTTCAATCGTCGGCAGGTCTAGGTCTACGGGAAGGCCCGATGGAACTTCAGCATCTTTTCTAGGTCTAGCTGTTACTCGCACAGTCTGCGCTGTCATAAGATACCAGGATAGTTGAGATTCCTTCAAAATTCACAAGAAGAATTGCAGCAATGTTGAACAAAACACACCAGTTGTGTCATACAAAAGTCGATTCCTGGTAAAGGATGAAAGAAAAGACAAGCGTGTTAGAACTCTATGTACTAGGGTGTGATGGTTTCAATCAGACTCGCTCAGGTTTGCGATGGCAAGTTGAAGTCGATCTGATAGTAGCAAAGGTGGTGGAGGCCGAGGATCCGAGGAACAAGGGGCGAGTGCGCGCCGGCGCGGAGAAGAGATGGGGAGGGTGCAGCCTTGTCGAGCAACGCAATCGGTAGTAAATTGAGGAATACGAGCTGTGCGAAAACACACCCTTTCCTTTACTTCTTACACCAGGTGTCGCAGCCAAGTGGTCTCCGTGCACAACCTGCTGACAAAAAGGTCTTTCCAGAATCTCATTCGATCTGCAGGTTTTCAGTCACACTGGCCTCCGCCACACCAGTCCAACGACATGACGACATTAGAAATAAATTAATATTTATATTTCCATACGTCTCCGTACAAAATACAGTACCAAATCCTCTCTACCAGTACATATGTTCGAGAAAACAACAACTAGTTTTATGCTGTTCGGGCTTTGAGCATCAGCGACTGCCTTTCGATTGGTTTGCCTCCTTCATGTCACGGCACTTGGAACCTCGTGACTAGTGCCCTAAAAGGGATGTCCTCGGCCCCGTTCCTTACCAGCAATTATTTACGCAGAATTGCTGCGAGTGAACCAGCCTGCCATTGCAACATCCCTTACGTACTCATCATGAACAAGTTGATATAAGTGCTCGTCATGAACAAGTTGATATAAGTACTCATCATGAACAAGTTGATATAAGTGCTCATCATGAACAAGGCAACAAGAAGGAATGACGGTTCAGGATGGAGCATATGTACCCGCATGAGAGAGCTGACACGTCTCCTTCATCCATCCTCATTGAGGGATATGAGAGCTCAAGCTTCGTTGATGTTACTTACCAACATCACATCTTCATTGGTTGAGACAAAACAGCTCTTGCTCATTTAAGTTGATTCTATTCTGACCTGACTCTGACTTCTGCGGACAACTACTGTCACTCTCAGCATATTGTTCCTCATCCACTATCCTGCAGAAACTCAGGTTCTTGACCGTACTTCCTTCTCAGAACTTCAAATCAAGAAAATGATACCTTGTCGTTAGTTCTCGCTCAATCCATCTGGAAATCGGAGATGCGCCCGGCCATCCTCCATCACCGTCCAACTTTCATCCTCCATTCTCCACCCTCCACCCTCCACCGAATGAACGTCGAGGCAGAGGTTATCTTTTGCAGATTCATGCAGAGAAGATCTCTCGCATATTTGGTGCTTCAGCCTCAAGTTCGAACTTAGCTGTCTCTGATTGCTCGAGTTGGCTCGCTCACCCGACCGTACCAGCATGTGGCGATCCAAACCGTTGCCTGTTTCACGACCGCTGTTACGAAATTATGTTGGCCAAAGTTGAAAGATTGAAAGAAACATTGAAATATTTCAAAATTTCTGAACGGATCGTGATGCGCCTGCGCATACCGGGACTGTCCAAGAAACGTTGTTTTAAACAAATCCTTATAAATGCTGGTCAAAAAGGTCAAATCGAGCTTCGCACCCTCCCCCGAGGCCGCCTCTGGTCCTGAACCAATCCTTCCGTCTGAGCTTCCTTCACTTTGATTCCATCATAGCACTGTTCAGATGATCAAAATCTCAAAGGAAAGGCTATCGTGGGTTGCCTTCAATGATCATCTGTTTGCCACGATCACGTCTGTTAGCACATTCTCATGAGTGTGACTGACGCAGGGTTATCGTAATAAGAATGCCTTACAAACCATGAGCAGATTGACACTGAAACTTACCGCAGTGATTTTGCAGAAATACACATGCTTGAAAGCCTACTGAGAAAATGCATGCAGTGATAGAAATCTTCTCATTGCCTCAAAACAGTAACATAATCACAAGAAGTCGAATATCTTCAAGAGTTATGCGACGGTAACTAAAGCGATAGCTGCACTTGCCAAGAGAGGGAAAATCGGACATTCTGTAGTTGCTTGCAAGGAAAAATAGGTCACAAAAGTCTACTGCAAAGCCGCATAAATGTGTGTCACGCGCATCTGCGATGAAGACAGAAGGAAGCTTGGCCAGCAACTGATGGATGGCCGTTTTCATGTTCAGATGTGAAAAATAGACGGTTGATTCACATTTTTCAGCATTGTGTATTTTTGTGCAATATTTCTAAAATTATATGGGTTCGTCTTTACATACTGGTTCGAAATCTTTGGCGTTGACAAACCATTCTATCCAGGATGGCGCCAGTGTTTGAACGTGCAAACCTGCGCTGCTGCTTCCAGCTGCATCCTCGCCACTGGAACTATACGACTGTGATGACGAGGTTGTATAGATTAATTCTGCCGCAGGTCGGATCGTCGGATGATGGAGGAAATGTTGTGTTGAGGCGCTTGAAATACTTGTGTCATTATGAAAGCTATGTTCGACCGAGCCGAACCCCGCTGCGAGTTGCGTAGAATTGAGGTCCGGACTAGCAACACTGGGGTGCACGTGCTGAGGTGCATCCGCGACTTCCAGCGCTGTCTCCATCTCAGTAGGGGAATCAGCAGCCGCCTGATTCCGATTCCGCGAGTAAGGCCATCTCTTCACACCCAGCCTACGGCATGCTGACTTGAGGCTTGTAAGTGAAATCCCCTATCAAACGCCGAGTCAAGGATTAAAGTCGCTGCTACACAACCACAGAGACTCGGGCGTACCAGTGCAGCTGCTGCATCTTCTTGCCTCAGATGGTAAAGACTCTCCACAGTCTGTAGATCAATCTCTATGCTTGAACCTTCACGGTCCTCCCCCCTCCTTGGTCGAGCTTTGACATTGACGATGTTTTGCATCTATATGTCTCTCACTGATTTTTCAATCTCGAGCAAATTCCTTCAAGGGCATCATGTCAAAGTATGAATCTGTTTCATTCGATTCCGTCAGAATGACAGCTGATCTTGGTTGTACGGTCACCTGGACATCAACCTTGGACGCTGGACCAGCAACTTTCAATCCTGCTTTGGAATCAAATCAGTTCAAAATCGCATGAACAAGCAGGATCAAGTCTTGAATTTTATCGGTATTGCCTGTACCATGTCACATTACACAGGTGATGGGTTGGCGGGGGAGGATGCAGCACAGCAGACAGGGGTGGTCTCGCTCCAGTGTGATGGAAATATGACGAGAAGGTTGGAGATCAAAGGAGTGTTCAAGATATTTGGCTAGGTGAGCATGCCACAAGCGCTCCTTCATGCCGCTCTATCAAGGCTCGCGTGCAGTGGAGGTCGGGGCGAGGAGAGGAAGTGTACCCCTTGATAGGGAACGGGGGAAAGACGGGGGTGGGGTGGATGGGTCTGATCGAAGGTGTGTATTTAAAACTTTACAAACATTTTAGCGAATAGTGTGGTAGTAACGAAATGAGATTGCGGTACAACCTCGAGATAAATTGCAGTACAACTGAGGTAATGTTGTACTGTGCCACTGGTACACACTGCAAGAAATGTTCGTTGTAAAGTAACAAGATGCGTGGGTCTTCCTCTATTGCTGCGATTCAATAATTTATTGCGAGGGGCCCAAGTGATATCAAGAGAATACATTTTTGTTTACACCTTTGTAGAATTTTTATGGCAAGAAGTCTAAACTAAAATGATTGTAATCAGCTTGGCAGTCTCATCTACGACCCTAGGAGGAAAAAAAAAGATCTCGAGATTTTAAAAATTAGGACGGGCATGTCAGCACTCCAACCTCTTAATTGCCAGGTGTTTTGACTGTTGCGAGTGAGGAAGCTCCCCAACGGGATCGAGAGATGCGAGGTTGTGAAGCCTGTGAAGCCAACACATGAATGTCACGCTATGGCAACGTGCAGATCGACACAACAGACATTCAGCTATCTTCGTCTGCACGGGAGGGATGCTGGTCACCTAGCTCTGTCTAAAGAAAGCTGATTGAAACAACCACCAGGCAGCAAGTTTGGGGAATCAGAGAGCGTACCAGCGCAATGTGTGTTGTGTTTACTCGAACACAACGAGCACGACAGACTGATGCCGTCGGCTACAACATAAACCTATTCCCCTCCACGTCTGCTACACGTGCGGGGCACTGTGTGCGGTATGCAACTGACCACCTTGCACTATTGCAGCAGCATGCTGCACGTATCGAGGCTCGATGCGCTCATCCTGTACCGAGGTAGCTGTTGGATTCAACTATGACATTGCAGCATTTTATTTGAAGCCAAATTAGTACCAGTCTACACCAATTACACGATAATAGCTGGTCATCAAGAAGGTCTATCGCGGAGCATCTTGTGGAGCCCAAACATATTCCTACATTAGAATCAATTAAGAGATCAGCTCAATCATATGTGAAAAGAGGTTACCCTTATCAAGTTCCGAAGGGCATGGTTTTGGGTCAGTGATAGATGCGACAACTACGATGGAGTCAGGAGAACGAAAATATCGCGCATGGGAGACGCGCACTGGCGCTCCTGTCTTGGGAGAGGAGCGATGTCCCAGCGCCAGCCACTCCTAAACGATCTCATCTGACGCGGCAACGAGCAGCTGAGAAATTTCACCTCCATGGCCTCCTTTTCGTAACTGAAACCATCGGCTGCTAGGACAGGGTTGCTCATAGGCTCAAGCTGTGAAACTTTCTAGTCAGAGGCGAACGATCGAAAGACAGTATCAACCGTAATTGGACAAAGAAATTCGTCAGGGATGTGTGAAGAATCGTTGGAGTTGCTCTTGAGAGGAAGCTGAGTGAGGTTTCAGCGTACGAGAGGAGTCACCGGACTTACCTTGACTGATTGACCGACAGGATGCGACACCACTCGTCGTCCCCTACGGCAAAGTTGAGGGGCAGCATGTAGAGGCATTCTAGACCTTCGTGGGTCCAGAATGACATCATCGTCGTCCGAATCCTCCATCTGTGCAGGCGCTGAAAGTCTTTTCCTTGGTTGTTCGGGTTGAGAGGGAACTGAATTTTGTTCGTCGAGGGACAACTTGATGGCAAGCTCGAGCATCCGATCTTCGAGATCCTTCAGACTTGAAGTTCAGGAGAGGTGTTGATGAAAGATGCGAATGAGCACACCTGCGCCTCTTTCCTGGACAAGCTTGTACGCTCTGCCATCGGGGCGCTGGGACGCTCTTTGTGCAGCATGGCAGATACACTTCTGACACTATCCTTGCCGTCCGCCCCTTGGACGGCAATGATATCGCCTGTGACTACTTCCTGCGCTGGGCGAAGTATTTGTAGGTCTATGCTCTCATTGGTCTGCAGGCCATTTCGAATGATTGACAGTACTTCCTGCTAGGGTGTGAAACGGCGAAACAGAATGCAGTCATTCTTACCTTCTCTTTCCCCTTGACACTGCAATTGTTCACTTTCTCGATGACATCGCCGACTTGAAGTCTGCTTTCGGCAGCGATAGACTGCTCCTACACATCAAACACTTTCATTCTTCCATGTCCATGGTTTACCCTTGGAGCTATTTCACGGATCGCAAATCCTGGATAGGCTAGATCCTGTAAGTTGAATCAAGTGATCAATCATGAAGTACCTGAAGATTTTGAGATTCGCATCCCCAGCATCATCACGCTTCCACTCATGTCGACTTGACTTTTCAGCGCCACAACAAACCTGCCAATCACGAGCCTTTAAATGCGTGTCATTGCATCTCAAATATGCCATGACTACCTGTCTGAGTCAACTGGGCATGGTTCAGAGTTGACTGGCTCTGAAGAACTTTGTGAGGGAGGACTTGGATGCTCGTCTTAAAGCAAACATGTCATTCCGTATCCACAACAGAGTTTCTACCTTGATTCCGCTTTGCCTCCTTCTGAGTGGCAGCTATCTTGGCAGCATTGAGTTGCCTGCACGCAGCAGCATTCAATGGTCTGCATTCTTGTCCAAACCATTCCTTCCAACCTCATCCAGATGTGCCTGACGTTGGTTCCCGCCCGCAGTCTCCAGCAACCGCCTCGAAATTTCACATCGAAGATGCCTTCATGCCGCGGCTGGCGACCTGACCTCAGAGCAGATAACAAAATTGCCAAGATTCACCAAGATTTCCTCAAAGTCTCGAGTGTATATTTTATCGCTTCCGAACTCGATCCTAGGAGCCGTCCTGTACAGCTTTGAGACAGGTAACACAAAGTGAGGAGCAACGAACCTGCTGTTCATTGCTGCTAATGCTCGGTCTCTCCGTTCTCTCTCTGAGTTTTCTGATGGTCGGAAATAACGAAATGTATCATCTGTCATGAGATGACATGAATCGTTTGTGCAATCATTAAAGGACTATACCTGTCAAGACAAAACGACGTTTGATCCACTTCTCGTCCCTGGATTTTGGTGGATCTTTCTTTCCGAAGAACCTCAGGATTCATCGTCAGCCACTGCAAATTTCGTCGACTCTCAAGTCGAAGTGAATTACAACCTTCCAAACATTCCTTTTGGCATTTGGATTTGATCATCATCGGGAATTTCTTCTTCTTGCATTTCAAGCAATCCTTCCATCCTCAGCATTGCGCCGCAAACAATCCAATACCCAACTCAGCAGATCTCTAGTGACTGAACGAAGAATCAGATGGCGAATCTGAAAGAAACCGCAGATTGTTCTAGTTAGCGCTCTAAGTACGGTATAATGCCCAGCAAAAGAAATCTTCTGGATACTATTCGATCGTATCACTATTCTGCTTCTCTCTGCTCTCTTCTTCTCTCTTCTGCTCTCTTCTTCTCTCTTCTTCTCTCTTCTTCTCTCTTCTTCTCTCTTCTTCTCTCATCGCCGACTAGTTGTAGCTCCTTTTTGGGGGTAAGATTAGAAAAACGTCAAGCTGCCATGACTCCTTGAGGCGGACCCGTTGCACACTGGTATGCACGGCCGCGCCTGTGTTGCGGCTCGATTTCTTGTTCATGGCGGGGCGCATCGACCAGGAGGTGGAGGAGGGGCATGGGTGATAATGACGACAGGAGCAAAGGAACGAAGGCATGCAGAGATCGTCCTCCTGTGGCTTGCACTGTTGCTCGCATGCAAGGTGAGAGGATCTGCCCCTCAGGCTTCATTGCGAGGCTGCGAGAGCTGCCAAGTTAGGAGGGATAATGGTTGCTGGAGTCGGATTCGGCTCAGGGGAGGAGCAAGCTCTCCTAGAGCGTCCTCTGAGATTGTGGAGATAGAACGAGAAGATTCGGAGATCTGCCTGGAAACGGCAAAGAAGGACGTGTTCGATACTTCGTCCTCTGACGAAGATGTCTTTGCCTCGTCCAACTCCGAGCGTGCGAAGGAGGTGGTGGTTGTTCAGGATGAGGAGGAGAGGCTCGAGGTCTTCAACAACAGCGAGTACAACGAATTTGACGACCCGGTGTTGAATCCCTCAGCTCAATACTTCCTTACCAGATGCCCTGGAGGGAAAGCTGATGCTGGCAACTACATTGGAAGTTGTAGATACTTCATTTACCGGCTGGCTGATGAAGCCTGGAGCGGAGAAATGGACATGGCAACCTTGAGGATGTGCTTTCAAGCTATGAAGGCATCTGAACTGGTGATGGAGCCTGGAATGTTGAACATGTGCATGTTCATGGTTGCTGGAAGAGCGCACGGTGGAGACGCAGGTGTGGAAGACGGCATGGCCATATTGGAATGGATCCATGAAGAGAACAAGACAGCAGGAGGGATGGACTGGGGACTTGATCGACCCAAGAGAATGAATGGAGAAGATTATGCTGACATGATCCATGAGCGACTGAATTACTCGAGCTGCGACGAGCGGATGCGAGACTATCATCCCTGGACTGACTACGCCGGCAACACCCTCCGATCTTCGTATGAGATACTGCTGTCTGTAATTCAAGGAACGCCTTGCGATACCCGCATGTCACTCATCTGAAGAACTTGTTGCAGGTGCTGGTAAACATGGAAAGGCAACCCTGACCGATGCCCAACGAGTCATAGACGAGATGATTGAGTATGGAGTTGAGCCGGATATGGGCACTTACTCGCAACTCCTGCTGACTGTCGCGAGTTTGGCCAACAGTGGAAGGTGACAAGTATCGATCTCATCGGGGATCTAAGATGATTGTCACAGGGCTTCCATGCGTGACGCCAATGCGATCATGGAGCGCATGATGGAGGAAGGAATTAAACCATGTACTCTGACTTATGGATCCTGGTGTGCAGTCGTTGCGTCTTGTGCCGGCAACGAGGAAGGAGTGACGTGGCGCGATGGAGAGGCGATCTTGGAGATTGTCTACCGCCTAGGAATCCGACCTGATTCGCAGCTTTTTTGTTATATCATGAAAGCAGCCGCCAACCAGGCAGAACGAGGAGTTGCAACCCCTTGGAGTCCAGGCGAATATGTCTACGATCCTGTCCGAGATGCAGAGCACATCCTCAAGCTGATGGATCGTGTATATCCCAAGATGTATCCTGGAGATAGCATTCTGGATGGATACATAGACCTGGTGAAAGCGGCGGTGAAGCGGAACAAAGCTGGTATAAACGAGGCAAAGGTGCGAAGAGGGGCTCTTTTACTTCATTTCTTTAAAGTTGTTGCAGCGAATTTTGCAAGTACTGCAGGAGGTGGATGATTCGCTCTGCCACATCGAGGACGGAACCGTGCGGATAAGATCTGATTGCTGGGAGGACAGACCGATGGACTTAGGCCCCAACATCGACTTCTTCAACTCTTATCTCGAACTAGTCCAGCTCTGCTTCAATGTAAGTTTTCTATTTCTTGCCTTTCACTCTATTCGCCATGTGCAGTAGCTGTGCAGTAGCTGAATCATACGCAACTCCTCCTGTCATCCAAACTACATTGACTTGTCTTGGCAGCGCGGGGGCGCGAACCTTGCGGATATTTTGCAGCCTGTTTTGCTACTGAAGAACTGGTCCTTGGTAAGTTTCGATCAGCTGCTTGTATCATGCCCACATGATTTTCAGGTGGGGGACTTGAAGACAAAGACGATCCTCAAGGATATTCTGACCCACCAAGAAGAATCTTGCGGAGGGTGCAGAGAGCACTCGTGCCACCTTCATGGCCCACAAGTCGAAGAACTCCGAAAGCAGGTGAATTCACGTTTGTCTCTTTCTTCTCTTTCAACTTGTGCTGGAGTCGGTGACAATCTTTCATAGTTGGAGGCGATGCATGATCTTCCCTTTGACCTGATGTGGCTCCGCTACGAGAGGAAGTACAAACGTGAGCCGTACGTTCAGAGCGTTCCAGGTGTTCGATTCCGTTACGACGAGGCACCTCCAGAATGGTTGTACAAGGACATCTGGGACGGGCTGAAGGCGATCAACTGAGCGGGAGGTAATGGTTTCCCCTCAGCTTGAAAAGTGCTCATTGAGGAAATCGATGATCCTCGTTGCAACCTGTCAAACTATCAGCATTGAAGCAGCTTGTCTGGATTGCGCCAGATATTCTTCACCGCTCTCTGCGCATGCAGGATCACGTTGTGGCCGGCGTCTCGTGCGACGAAGACATGGGCGTGAGGGAAAAGTTCTTCACATCGTCGCATCACTGTGAAGGGGACAAGCTTGTCCTTCTCTCCGAATATCTGTCGAAAGAGATGATCAGAAACGACAGAACGACAGAAAAGAAGAGAACTGCAGAGACAACCACAACGAGATGCACTACCAGGAGTGTTGGAAGTTTCTCTCTGGACAGCTCCTGCAAGATTCCTGTGTTGTCTGCCAGCAAGTTTCCTTCGCAAACGAAAGATTGGAGAACAAGCTGTCTTGGGCAGCGCTACAAGGGATAAGAACTTGAAGACCAGAAGAGAACTTTGCTTACTTGATGCTGTGTCAACCAAAGCGCCGCGAGGAAGCGGAAGGAGTTGATGTACTGCATCATCGCCCGCTGCACCAGTGCATTTTTTTGTGTACTATAGAGAGCAGCCAACTGCCGAGAAGAGATGTCAAGCCTGGATTCTACTCGTTCATAGAGTGCTTACTTGCTGAGAAGTTGGGCCTAGCAAAGAGGACAAATGCCTCAAGACAAGCCCTCCCAGAGGCGTAGCAAGCCTGAAGAAGAGGATGAGTTCAATGGCGATTTAGGCTTTCTACTCACGCTGAGACGAAAGGAAAGTTGGCATAGAAGCAAAGACCTTTGTGGAGCAGATTCAAGCTAACATGCTTGCTTCTGAAATCTTCATCCTTCTTGTTTAGACCTGAGAGGGGGGAAGTGAACAAAAGAAAGGCCTGAATGTACGGAAACCGGCTGCAGGGGCGATCAGAGTCAACGAAAGCACTTTCTCCTCGTTCTCAGTCGCAAAGATGGTAGCGACTAGGCAGCCAAGAGAAAATCCGACGAGGTGAATGCTCTTGTTGAGCTGCTTGTACTTTACAAGAGGTGAAACCATTCAATTGCAACGAAACCTTCAGGCTCGAAAGGAGGCTTGCAAGCTGCTTGGACAGCAGGAAAGGAGTGTAGTGAGCGTCGGTAGGAACAGCTGAGTCTCCGTGTCCTATCAAATGTCAAACAAGCTCGATGCAATTGCTGCTCAACCCCAAAAATCGAACGAGACGACGTCCCAACCCTCCTGCATGAGCGAAGACTGGCAGATTGTCAAAGGAAGCAGACGATTTCCCGCTTCTGCGCACCATGTAGGAAGACCAAACATCGCAAGTCATCGACACGCCATGAAGAAGAACGATCGTTCCTCTTGCCACTCCTTTCGTTCGCATGTGACGATATCGAACATGCGCCAACTCGGAAGGTTCTCCCTGCCAGGTATCAGCAAACCACAGTGGCTGTGCATCAGCTACATGCTCCACTCGATCAAGATAGTCTTGAGGGACTTCAGCGGTGAGCTGCTTGATGGTCAGAACTATATAGCAGGAAGATCAAACGACCAGCGGGTAGCTGAATCTTGCGATTTCGGACTTAGATGGCAAAGGAACGATGACGTGGCGATATTGCTCCTCAGATGACCCTTGTAGGCCCTCTGTCACCTTCACATGATGTCACAAAGTACTCATCAAAGAATCGGTATCGTTTCACACCTCAGTTTCCAAAACGTTTGAGCTGCTCATCCCAGTGAAACTTAACCTAAGAATGGTCAGCAACGAATCTAAGTTGGAGGCTTTCAAGACTGCACCAGAAAATTTCTTTGAAGTGATCCAGAACCAGTTTTTTATCCAGGCCAAGGAGGAAGAGGAAGTGAGAAAAGACCCATATGAGCTGTACTTTTCGTCAACGTAGTTATGATTTCTGAAGAAAAACTACCAGAGTGAAAGAAGATACCACAAGGATTAGTGTGAACAACACAAATCCACCGACAAAGAACCAGACACCTGTGGTGTGATCAAATGATCGAAACTATTCAATACAATGTTCGCGTACCATCCTCAGCATGTCTCAAACATGCAGTAGCAGGCGCAGCCTGTCACTCAATCAAAAAATGCTAGAACCGTGCAACATAGATCAAGGTTGAGAGATGGTATTCGAATCATGGCATACCATCTTCGTGGTGATCTTCAAGTGACCACAGGTCTTCTCCCTCTCCCTCTCCCTCTCCCTCTCTTCCTCGTCCCTCCTCCACCACTTGGATCCAAGCACCACCATAGTCGGGGCGTCTCCTGGCCCCCTCTGAAGGTTCCCTAGTTTACTACGGTAACTAAATTATTTAGTCAAAAATTGTGTTGACCATTGAGGCGGGCCGGTCCAGATGACATGAGGTGCGTTACAGATACCGTTACAACTTTGAAGGACTGCCATCTTTCGCAACTTCCTCGTCATGCTTGGCATGATAGAGTCTACCCCACCCCTTCACTCAAGGATTCAATTGGGTCAAGGAAGGGGGTACTCGGTAGAGGGGAGGAATGGCTCAGCCGCAGATGGCAGATCAGGTGCGTGTACGCGAAGGCGAGAAAATGATGACGATGAGGGAGAAGAGTAAGTCTAGAACGATGAAGAGCGTTGAGATGAAGGGTGGGAGAGAGAAGATGGCTGTAGATGGATTGACATCATGGTGGAGAAAGAGTCGGGGATAGTGGTCGCGATGCGATCTCAGGGGAGGTTGAAAAGCAGCAAGTGCGGGAGAGGAGAAAGACAACAAGCAGAAGAAAGCAAAATAGCGAGAAGGCGCCAGGTTGATGAAGCGAGGAGCAGAATTGGAGATCCAGGACGAGGAATATGAAGGGAAGGGATTCACGAAGGGGGACGTATGATTCGTAACTATAGTGAACTTGTGAAGCAACAGTGAGCTTATAGGTTTATATCCCTATAGTGATCTGTTCAACTCTAGGTGTGAGGCTGACGAATCAAAGTCGACCTGGAGATCCCCATCGGGAGCGAGACCCTTGATACACCGCTGGACTTGGTCTCGTTTCAAGAATGGCAAACACGATGGAACAGGTGGCCGTAACTGATATCTCTCTGCCATTATGACATCTGTGGAAGGAATCTATGATGGAACAGATTCTGAGAGCCAGAGACCACTATCAGGTAATGACCTGAGCTCATGTCCCCGGCCCGGTACGCTCACGTTGCTCGAAAGGTCCTGGGATTGGAACGAGATTGCAATGAGATGGACATTAAGAAGTCTCATCGGTGATGCAAATGGCTCGTGTGTGCCTTGGCTTCTGTTCTGAGGAGACTTCAACAGAAACTTGGTGAGGCTTGTTCATCCCGACAAAGTTCACTGCAGGTATGACAATCAGCTGGGCTACTATGGTTGCCCCTCACTTGCGTGCACTTCTAGCTCCGACAGCGAGATGAAACGGACAGAACGAGCGTTCAGAGCAGTGCAGGTATAACTTAGTTTGGTACTTGTTTGGTGGAAGATGCTTCTTCATTGCAAGCTCTCTAGGCGATCGCAGGTTTGAACTTGAGTGCAGGTCGCGTATGAAACCCTGTCACTTCCACACAAACGCAAAGCGTATGACCTGCAACTTAAGATGCAGGTGTGCACTGGGTTGTTGAGAGTTTTCATCGCCCACGATTTTGACAGGGGAAGAGTGCGCAGTTTGTACCCGGAGAAAGCAGGTTGGATCGATTTTCAACATGGGTAAATTTTTTGATTTGAACTGTGAAGCAACTCCGGAGAGGATTTGGACGCAGAGGATGGTCCGACGACTGTTCAAGTGCTTTGTGTATATGGCCGAATGTCTTGTTACCAACTCTCTTGCTCTGCAGTTCTTCACGATGATTCTGCAAATTCTGCTTGCTGTCACGATTCATGTTGCAAAGACAGCGTTAGCTGAACTTCTTATGTTCCATACTGCACAAGCGCTTCCACTTCAGGCAATGAAAATACATGTCTTTGTTTTTTTTACCATTTTTGTAGATTGCGATGTTGGCACACATATTTTTGTGGGCAGGTAACGGTTCGCCGTCGTGCTTGCGCCATTGATTTGAGAATGAAAGGTTTTGGATGCGGGTTTCTGACCTCGGCGATTTGGGTCGGTCTGGGTTATACACTGAACAATGTATTATGTCATCTAGGCTCAATCCAAGACTCTTGACGTTGCTTTCTTTGACTTCAGCTTGTCGGAACGAAGAAATTGTTTATTTGGATCCTCCGTCTCGGAATCTTGCAGGTTGAGATTGGTGGTTGTAGCATGTCACACAGTGATCATACCTTTCACAGTTCGAAAACTGGAATACAAAAGGAGGAATTCCTTTCTGGGCCTTCGTATTTGTCACAATCCACTTACAGATAGGTTCATCAAATCACATCCACAGTCATGTATCTAATATTTGGCTCCTCGCCTGCAGCCTATCAGACTTCGTTCTCCTCTGCTTTCATATCAGGAGTGATGGCAGGCCTGACAATATTGATCGGTACCTCATGTACCATCTTAATTTTCTTCTTACCTTACTCAACAGGACTCTTAATGCCGAACATGTCGTTTGGATCGAACGCGATCTATGTTGGAGGAGGTGCATGTCCACCGCTGCCGGCATATTGACAGGAGTGAACATTTACTTGCAGTCATCGCATTTGTCGGAGTCTATTATTGCAGTGTCGACGTATTCGGTGCAATCTTCGTCGGAATCCTTGCCTGGCACTTCCTCCAGGGACTCCCGACGGTAAGAGAGCTTGTGTTACAATGGCCTTGTTCGTGGGTTTCACATCACAGACTTTTGATCTGCGACACAGGTTTGTCTCGGGACATTGGGTATGGTATTGCTGTACATCGTATATCGGTGAGCCTTTGACTCTTGCGTCTCTATGGTGTTATTCGGTTGACTTGCGATCAGATTAAGCATATCAGTCTTGCTGTTTGTCTTTGCATTGGTAACTTCCGATGGCGATGCCTTTCTGTTTAGGTCACTTTCTTTCTGTCAGGTCATCCTTTTCTTGGGGTCTGAGCAGGTAGAGCTTGTTTCTCTACAAGCAACGAGCTTTGTTCGTTCGGTGGACTCAAAATTGGCTTGCAGAGCTTACTCCTCGTTGTCATCGTTCTTCTTTCGGCCATCATCTCGGTGGACACGTTTTTTGTGCATCTCAAGTCCCGTCTCATTCACTTCTAGATCTCCAACTATGGCTTCTGGAGCTTTTTCCTCTACTTCCTCGCGGTGTACGGGGGGAGGAGAATGATCAAGGGGAAGCGCCTCGGCAAGAGGATGGTGAAGCCTCAAGCTAGAAGCAGGCACGAGCTGAATAGAACGCTGCAGATCCTCTCCGTCGGGCTAATCTGGTGTCTCGAGTGTGGTTTCCTCTCCGGCATGCTGGTGAATGAGAAGCGCTTCATGCTCTCCCTTGCTTATGCAGCTTTCAGTGTGCTTTCATCTCGTACATCGCAGGGGAGATCCTCGTGGCGACAAGGGATGTGGAGCATGACGATGGCGTATGTGAAGCCCAGCGGCAGGACGAGCAACTGATGTCTTGACAGGAATATCGACCTCGCAAGGATGGAAGCGCAGGAGACGATGGTGATGCTCTTGACAAGAACGATGGCGCATGTTGAGAATCTGTGACAGGCAAGAGCAAGAGCACGCCCAACGCGAAGAAGAACAACAAGAAAGGTCGCAAGTGAAGCCTGGAAGGCGCTGACTCGAATATTCTTTCAAGTAAAGATCCTTTCTCTTCTTTCCAGCTGCTATGTCGCCACGTTCCGATCCGAGCTCGCCTCATTTTGGTTGGCTGGAAAGAGTGAGGGCAGCAATTAAAGGTCTCCCTGATTCCCTGTAAAAAATGAAGAGGCAGCAATTGCCATTATTCCAAGCCCACCTCAGAATGATATGAAAGTGATCCGCAAAACTGGGTGACCGTAAGGATCCATGCAGACCAGAGGAGGCGATGGAGGAGGCGGAGGACGAGAAAGAGGAGGAGAGGATCGAAGAGGAAGATAACGAGGGATACCCAGAGGAGGATTCTCAGCACGGACTGCTGAACTCAATCGTCTAATCGATGTATGCTGCTCTCCCGACGCGCTACTTCTGTTGTTATGTTGTCGCCATCGTCCTTGTACTCAAAGGACGACAAGTCGATGGCATGTCTGCGACTTCCGGAGGACATCTCAACACCTACATACCGAAGGCTTCAGTCGAAATGTTGCTAGATGAAGCAGAGGCCGCGATGAGGTTCTCACGATTCTCCTGCTACTCGTCCTGACCTCGAATGCTAGTCGTGGGGAGGTAGAGAAGGCATTGCAAACATACAACAGAGCGATCGCAGAGGACCCTTCCTGCGAGAAGTAAGCTTGATGTCACCGCATGGCGATCCTAAGGCTCCTGTAGGCTTTATGCGTCCAGAGCAAGTGCGCTGTTGAAGATGAATCGTCTGCAGGAGGTTTGACGCGCAGTTGGGTTTGTGAGCATGTGATGTCGAGCAACAGGCGTTGGATGATGCGTTCACTGCCAAGAGACTGTCAGGTTGCAAGATACTCGTTGAGCTGACAAGCAAGAATCGGTGGACTCATGTCAAGCAGGCGATCGCAACAAGAACATAATGCAGGAACTGCGGTGAGAGCCATGTGCTGAAGAAAGCTGTTCTCATAGAGCGTTAGGGAGGACGCGATCGAGCAGGAGGAAGAAGACGTTCTGATCAAGTTTCGAATCAAGACGACTCACCCCTTACGTGTCGGAGAATGTGTCTACATCGCTGGTGCTCGCCAAGGGCAGCGCGGAACATCATTGATGGCTGCGTTCAGGAAATCACGCAAAGCTTGGAGGTTGGGATCCAGAGAAAGGACTCAAGTACTTGATGTCTATCTTCTTGCAGCTCCGATGAATTTGATTGCTTGCTTCAAGGCTGCAGGAAGTAGCGGAAGGAGATGAAAACTCGGCGACTTCAGAGCGCTTGTGGGAGGGGTGTCAGATGGTTGATTGCAAGGATGCGGTAAGGACTTGTTCGCATGTCGACCTGCTTGCAGTCAACTGCTCCTGTCCTCTAGGAATTTCTGCTGTACAAGTACGTCACTGGGTACCCAAAGAAGGGAAAGTGGAGGTGCGAAGCACTGGCTGATGCTGTTGTTGAGGCGTGAGCCAGGTGGGAAGACAAAGTGAAGCTGAGATCGTTCTCTTCAAGTGAGAGGGATACGTTAAAGAAGCACAAGGAATGATCTCTGCTCCCCTGCTCTTGCCCCTAACAGTCTCCTGCAGGCGAAGACGCAAGAGGAGAAGGGCAACGTCACGATCTTCCTCAAGGATGACGGGGAATTCAACGTGTTCGTGGACGAAGACGAGGAGCCGGCGTCGCCTCAACGAGCGCCGCCGGGGTACTCGATCTCGGAGTGTAGCTCTCCTACCTGTGATGCTGCCTTTGATTTCAGGTCGAGACACCAACAAGGTCAACAACTTGCAGTGGTGAAAGACAGTCCAAGCACAAGCTGTGTCTCCTTTCAGATTCAGGTGAGTTGATTTCCTGGACGGGGGCAAGAGGTGTATGCAATAACTATGAAGAAATTCTTCTCCCTTCCTCTCTTTTACTCTCCCTCCCCCCCGTCCTCTTCGTCTCCATCCTGTCATTCCCTGACAAACGCTCTCGTTTCCACAGGTAGAAACACAGTTTGGGGATGAAGTCTACATCTGCGGCTCATGTCCTGAGCTCGGGAGTTGGGTACCAGCACTTAGCAGGAAGCTGATGACCAACAAGGTCAACTAGTTCTGTCCTCCGAGACGTTCTGCCCTGCTAAACTGTACACGGCTCGCAGGAGATCTATCCGGTCTGGTTCACGGACATTCAGTTTCCTGTTGATGGTTGAAAGGTAGCCTCTACGCTCCCTTGCTCTGACCTGCCTGCAGGAAACACAATCAAGTACAAATATCTCATCCGTCATGCTACGGTTCGATCCTCCTGTCCTCCGCACGCTTCACTCCTCGTTCTGCCTTGACTCCTCCCATTTCCCGTCTCTTGCTGATTTTTGATGCCCCATCTTCTCCCTTTCCCCTGCTCCACCTTGTATCGTCCAACCCCTTCCTTTACCCCTTCTCGCCCCCGTTGCCTCGCCCTCTCTCCCCCTCACTTCCGCTTCCTTCTCCCTCCCTATCTCCCTGCCTCTCCATCCTCTCTTTTTTCTGCCTTGCTCCCTCTCATCTAACACGTCAACAACAGCAAGACGAATGGATGTGGGAGGAATCGATTCACGACCGAGAGGTAAAGGGAATGGGGCACAAGCAACCTATGACTCAACTTGATCAGATCCTCCCCATCGGTGAAGCTTTCTCTGTGAACGACGGCAGGTCAGGCTGAATTTTCTCCTCCTCCTCCTCCTCCTCCTCCTCCTCCTCCTCCTCCTCTCCCGTCCTCTTCCTGCTGTCTATCTGCGAAATGCTCCTTGTTCCCATGCATCTCCTTGCTACCGATGAACCTCTCCAATCCTTGTGTCCTACCTAAATTCTCTGTCCCTTCATCCTCTCCCTTCCTCTGCCTCCTCCGCTCTCCTCCTCATCATCCTCGACAGGTTCAACGTGGCAAGACGGCAAATCACTTTCCAGAAGCTGCGGCCAGCAGGAGGTGAAGGTCAACCCATGATCGACGACAAGACGATCAAGTCTCAGATACTCACCCTCGAGAAGAAGAATGCTGCACTCGAGGTTTGAAGCGACTGCTCCTCTCCCACCTCCTGCCCACCTGCGAGTTCTTCCTCTCGTATCTCCTTGCTCTTCACCCCTGTTTCCTCTCCCTCCTGCCTTGCTCGCCTCCCTCTCGCCTCATCCTCTCACTCCCCGATCAGGCAGATATCTCCGAGCTGCAGAAGAAACACTCCCTCGCCCTCCAAGAGGTCGAGGCCCTCCGAGTCCAGGTGAGGGTCAGCAGGAGCGTCAGCTGGGGATTGACGCTGATGGACATTCAGTCGGGGGAGGAAGGAGCCGAAGTTGCCCTCGGCCTCCTCACCAAAGTTCAGGTGAAGCGAGAGCAGCGAAAGTTTGACCGACTGACGAGCGGGACGAGCAGAGCCAGCTGTCAGCCCTTGAAACAGCCAGGTGACATCTGCCCCCAATGCTCATCACCATCGTCGTCACCGGCCACCATTATCAGCAGCATCTCTACATCATCAGCATCATTGCATCATCACCAGCACCAGCACCAGCACCAGCACCAGCACCAGCATTTGCATCATCATCCTCACCTCCAACAATATGAACATCAGCAGCGGAGTTGTCGTTCGGGCAGAGTTTGTCACCACTGATCTCCTCCCCTTCACTAGGTCTGCCATCGAAAAGAGGACGGCAGAAGCAAAGGTAACAAGAGGGAGAGAGGGCGCGACATGACTGACGACGCTCTTTGTTTTCAGATGCAAATTCGAACTTTGAACGAGACCGCGATCGTAAGTCTGTCGTTCCCTCAGCTCCTCGGGCTCACGACCGACTTAGGAATCGAAAATCGCCTACGAGAAGTGTGACGAGGAGATCAATGCGACTAAGGAATCGTCTCCTGCTCTCTCAACCTCTGACTTCATCCCTCCTCTCCTCTGCTTCTCTCTTTCTCCACTGCCCTCGTGGCTGATTGTCGACGTCACAGGCGGATTGCGACATGTTGGCAACAGAGCTTGTTCAACTGCAACATGCTCTGAAGAAGGAGAGTTGAGATGACCCTCTCAGCAAGACATTGATTGTTACTCTTCGTGATCTCAACAGGTCGTAGAAGATGTCATGCTGAAACGAGACGCTCTGCAAAAGATCGAAGAGCAAGACAAGCAAGCTGGACAGGTCGCCAGCTACCCCTTGTTCAATCTCAAGCCATCATCATCATCATCATCATCATCATCATCATCATCATCATCATCATCATCATGGTTTTCTCCTAAACTCTTCCTCTCTCCCTCCCTTCTGTTGATTCCGAGAGCCTCGGCTCCAACTGCCGCATCGCGCAGCTTTGTCACCTTCTGGGCAGGAGCTGAGAATGGAAGTGATCAAGATAGGAGAGCGCATCAACAGCATCGAAGGTCATCGACAGGCCTCTGCTGTCTGAGTCTTATCTCAACTTCTAGGACAACTTGACGACACCGGGCGAGAAGAGCTGAAGCGAACAGTACATGACCTGGAGGTCCAGGTGACGGGATTGTTGCAGAGAGAGTCTGGGATGACAAGTTGGGAAAGGTCAAGGATGCAGAGAGTGAAGCGCAGGCGAGGTCCGATCAGCAACAGAAGAGCATCGAAAAACTCAAGAAGGTAACGATTTGCCAAGTTTGAGGAAGGAGGAGGGGAGGAGGGGAGGAATATCGTAGAGAATTTAACGTGCGGGTCAAACTATTAGATGCATAATGAGTTCCAATCAAACATGGAAGCTCAACTTTCCAAGATCGCATCGGAGGAGAAGGTACCTGGGCTTCAGCACTGTTCCTCCTAACTCATGCAGGCTACTGAAGTACAACTCCGGGAAGTTGAAACAGAGATGGAGAAAGTATGTTCCTTTCTCCCCTCCTCTGCTATCTCATGCTTCATTCGACCTTCCCCCTCTCTTCCCACCTCCTCCTCTCCTCCTCTCCTCCTCTCCTCCTCTCCTTCTCTCCTCCTCTCCTCCTCTCTTTCTCTCCTTCTCTCCTCTGCTTCGTTCGTTCCCACCTCCCTCCATGCTTGCTTGTTCCTCGCTCTCAAGCAGCTTCAAGGTCGCAAAGGAACTGGATGAGCTGCAGCTGCAGCACGCGCGGGTAGCTGCTCGTCTCACCGTCTCACCGCCATCACCAACATGCTTGCAGGCAAACAACAAGACGAGCGAGCTAGCGGAGAGCATGCGAGAGATGCGAGACAAGTGAGGGAGGGAGGCAGGAGAGAGGAGACTTTGACGTCACGTCAGACTGGAGCAGCAGCAGCGGGAGGAGGCGGAGCTCGATCAATCGGTTCGCCTCCTGTCAAGACCCTCTGATGATGACGTCGAGATGGATGCAGATGAAGGAGAGGAAGACGGAGAGCCAGCGAGATATCGAGGACCTCTCTCGTGATCCTCCTCCTTTGCCACTGCTCCGACTCACGTCCCAACCACCAGGAAGGCTAAAATCATCGGAGGAAGAGCTTGCTCTGCTCAAGGTTTGCTACAACTACTTCTCCTCCATCTCCCATTCCCCGCTCCCGCCCCCTGCTGTTCTTCCCTGCTGACCATCTCTGCTAGCTGGAAGAGCAGAAGAACACTGCCAAGAAACGACAATCAGAGCAGACTTTGCTACATCTCAAGGGACAGGTGGCTGGGTTGAGAAAGCGCGAGCCATTGAATTGAGCGAGGCTGGCAGATTCTTGCCATCACCCGCTACTTCGAGAAAGCTGTCAACTCATCGCAAACGATTGAGACTGATGTGAAGCTCCTCTCCTCCCGCTCCCTCCCTCCCTCCCTCCCTCCCTCCCTATCTACCTACCTACCTCCCTCCCTCCCTCCCTACCTCCCTCCCTCTCCCCCTCTCTCCTCTTGTTCTTCTGCTTTTTCTACATGTTCTTTTGTCGCTCCGTTCGATACTTCTCTTCTCTTCTCGATTTGTGACGAAATTTGACGAGTTGTGCTCACTTTCACATACATGCGCATCAGAGAATGCCTTCAGTGATGGGGAGCTGCAGGTTGAGAGGCTGAAGCAAAACATCACCGTGTTGGAATCAAAAGCGCGTGACATGTACCAGCAGGTCCATCCTGCCCATTGAATGCTTTCAAGTCCACAATCTTATTCCTTTGCAGTCAAGTCGGATCCAGCGGTTGGAGCAGGACAAGCTCAAGTTGTCTGCGATGTTGACAGATGCTGTGATACCTGTTGATGAGATTCGACTCGTTTGACAAGGATGTTCGATAGCAAACGACGCATGATCACTTGAACGACGAGTTTGTGCAAATCAAGGTAACGAGAGGACTTCTGAGGGCACCAGCCTGTCGTTGACATGCATCCAAGACTCGGCTGAACGAATCAGACTCGAAGCTGCTGGTAGAGTTGCGCTCCCTCTTGATACCTCGCTGATCGACACGTTGAAAGGAAGTTGAAAGGAACAAAACCAAGGAACTAGCGCAGCTAAACGACACAAAGGTGACAAACTCCCGTGCTGACCTTGATCGTTGACTTGCCTCCCCGAAGGCCCTCTTGACCCTGAAGAGACAAAACGTGACGTG